ACGACTCCTATCTGGGTGACATATTCATTGCAGGGGGTGGTATTTACATGGTAAGCCCTATTTTTGTCCATGGTGGGCCGTTATACCCTTCCCACGTTCGGACGTTGTCAACATTGGGTACGCGAGGCACCTGGGGAAGAGGACGTATCCGAACGCTGTTGCGTACCTGGGAGAGCTTCCGTTGGCCGTTGGGAGAGGAGGTTCTGTGCTTCCACTCCGTTGGATACAGTGCGCGTGGCACGAGAGCCACGAGGGAGGGTTGCGGACGCGAGAGCGTGTCCTTCATTCTGTGTTCAGGAAGCTGTCAATGGCCTTCTCCTCAGATGGAGATGCTGGAGGAGCTGGGAGCGAAGGTTGTTTAAAGGTTAATATTTATGCACCTGTAGTTGCGAAATATGGAAGTAACCGTGAGTCTTATCCTCCCTCCCACTACCTAATCTTACTTCTCCAGTCACAGTTCCTGTGTACAACCACGGCGGAATTATGGCTCCTGCTGCTCCTTCTCACACCCTCCGTCTCCCACCTGTCGCTGCGTAGGTTACATCTATGTCAACCCGTGCAACCCGCCATTCGACCACTGGGTCCACCAAGGCCCCAACGTCATCATCACCTCCATCTATGACCAGCTCTCCTTCGGTTTCCGAATTGGTGTTGCCTCTGTTTGACTTTAATGCAGAGCATGCGGGGTGAACAAGCATCTGTTGCTGCTCAGGTCGCGTGTTTGAGGACGGCGAGTGTACGTGCACTCGCGAGGGCCCAGGATGCGGCCAGCTCATCGGCGTTGTATGTGCCTTATCTGTGCGTTGGTCTTGATTCTTTTTGCTTACTGATCTCTCCAGAACGGCCTCGGGCTATGACTCGTTCCATCCTGTCGTAGACGGAAAGGTGACTAGCGACTGGTTTCTTCCCTTCGATATTGGACGGGGACATCTGGGCTGTTGGGGCGAATTCACTATTCATTGCAATCATAGTCGGTGTTCGATTTCGCCTGCTCTCAAGATCTGGAATTCTAGACGATTACGGACGACTCTGAACTTAGATGTGCCGGATGCTGTAGCACGGTGGCACCCTTGAAGCCCTCACAGCGGTATTCATCGCAGTCATCCGTGAACGATAATGGGAGCAACTTCTGGAAAGGCGACACAATAATGGACCTATCGGTAAAACCATCCGACACCCGGAGCTCCAGCAGTGTACCGTGTATCTGAGAACTACATAATGTTACAGGGTACTGGCACAGGATACGTTGAATCTGCCCTCCCTTTTACTCCTCCATCGGTTTCTGATGACATTTCAGATTCAACAGAACCACGACCTTTCAGCCTTACTCGGCAGCCAATGAAGCCTTTGCAGAGGAGCTCATAGCGTACTGGCTTCCGTTTGTGCGCTCGGACGACCCGAAAACTTTCAAGCTTCCCCGATTGCCCGTTTGGAGGCGATACTCCCGGAAGGCAACAAGCATGGTTCTGAACGCTGGCCCAGAGGCTGATGACGGTCAAGCGGCTGTGAGTGGGAGTAGGGTTGAAGTCAAGGATGACAAGGAGACGACGAGATGTCGGCTTGTTGCAAGCCAGGTTCGAGAACAAGGAAAGCGTGTACTTTTTGTATTTTTCTGTGAGCAACGCCAGGGCGTTTTTCTTCATAAAAATCCTGTGCTTCGAAAACCGCCGCAAATCTTTTGCTGATACCCAATTGATACCCCTCGCATCTTCTGAATCCTTTGCCTTGTACAATGTTTTAGTGTTCTGGCATGACGCCAGAGCCGGGCGAAGATCGCCTGACGTCGTTATTTATTGTTGTATACGCGTACGATTTGCGAGCCCCTCATTGGCTGTCACCTTTCCTACTACTAGTACCCGTCGTCGACGTGGGTGCCCCGTCCTGCTTGCTCATTCCCTCCCACCGTTCAAAATGGTCCAGCTCACGATATCTGCCGCGTCGAAACCCCCGCCGTTTGCCCGTGGGCTCCCTTTGACGATTGACGTCGCCCCTGACGCGACAATTGCCAGTGTGAAAGCGACTATTGTGGCTAATTACCCGAAGGTGAGCCTTTGGTCTTTGGCATGGACGGTTCCTGCGGATACGGCAACTGCTTGAGTCTATGAAAGCGTCCCCTTGTCACTGGTGAAGTTCGCAAAAGAGACACGCCCGTTTCTCGAGCTCTGCTGTTTTTCTCTTTTCTCTTTTTTCTTTTTTCTAGTCTCCGTCTAAGCATGATATTCAACTTGACTAACTGCTCCGTACCTTTTCTTTCTTTTACACAGTTTAAGTCTGCACGCCAACGCATCACACTGAAAGGGGAAAAGAAGCCACTCATCGACGAGATGTCCCTCAGCGACGCATTTGGTGGGCAGTTCAAGGACGGTGCGGAGCTGCAGGTGAAGGACCTCGGGCCGCAGGTTAGCTGGCGGACGGTGTTCGTCGTGGAATATGTGCGTCTCGAATATATATCGTCGTTTTTTCACTGTTGACTCTCACGTCGCATAGTTCGGGCCGCTACTCGTCCACCCGCTCTTCTACCACTTCCCTCGGCTTTGGTACGGCCAAGATGTGCAGCATAGTACGATTCAAAAGTGTGTTGCCTTGCCTTATGGATTGGATTTCATGCACTGATCGTGTATTCTCTTCAAGATACGTCTACACGTTCGTCCTGCTCCATTTCATAAAGCGCGAATTCGAGACGTTCTTGTACGCCCTTACTTCGTCCTGGCTCGCCGTAATCTTCTCTAACCTCTTCGACAACCGTTTAGCGTCCATCGGTTCTCGCAAGGCACGATGCCCATTTCGAACATTATCAGGAATTCGGCACACTACCACATCCTCGCTGGTGCGCAATTAATCCCTCGATTCCAAGAAACTTGTAATTAATGATACCATGCAGGTGTTTTCCTCGCGTTCGACGTCTACCGCCCAAAATACTCCGCGACTTCACCCTACATCGTCAACACCATCCGGAATAACGAGACCTTCCTCTGGATCTGCGCGGGCATTTGGGCTGTACGTCCTCTCCCTCCCAGAAGAGTCAAACACGAATTTTAAATTGATTCTATTTAATTCCAGTTCGCCGAACTCTCCAACCTGCACACCCACCTGACTCTGCGAGCCCTACGACCAGAAGGGACGCGCAAACGCAGCATTCCGTACGGGTACGGATTCAACCTCGTCTCGTGCCCCAACTACTTCTTCGAGATCATCGGTTGGGCAACAATCGCCGGCATGACGAACAGCATTGCTGGTTGGTCCTTTCTTCTCCTTTGCCCCTCCTTTCTATTGGCCATTTGTGTTTTTTCCTGTCTCCGAACCCTTTGCAATTCTCGTCTTCGCCATTCTGCTTCTTTGTCTTATCTGCTAACGGCCAACTCTTCTCCCATAGGCTACGGTTTCCTCGCTGCTGCCATCTGGATCATGAGTATTTGGGCTGCGAAGAAGCACAGGAACTACAAAAAGGATTTCGGCAAGGAATATCCTCGAGGACGCAAGATGCTCTTCCCTTTCGTATGGTAGACGTGGGCCCTGGGAAGGCGACGTTTTGGCCGAGACCTGCTCAACTAGAAACTGACGAGTCATGCTAATCCTTAATGTTTTATGGTAATAATTAAATATCATGTTTGCTTATTTGTATGCTATGGCCAAGGCTTTGCTTCTCCAGAGGACAAGATTCATGAAGTTTGCAACCGACCAACGCGATTTTGGTTTCAGGTCCAATCAAATGATGCATTTTTTACATACGGAATACATATATGTCGTGGTGGATGTCGTGGATGAGTATGAACGATGAGGCGGAATAAGGGGATATCGCGAGGGAGGTAAGTAGGGAAGTAGTAAAGTAAAATGCAATGCAAGGAAGATGGAGCAGGGGCACTGGCGAGGAAAGCCAACCAACAAAAAGATCTCAAGAACAGAACCTGATGCGAAGTGGTGTATGTAGTGGTGCAGTGTAAGTGGCATGCAAGGTCCTGCTCTTGCTGGGATAGGAGACGGTGCAGGCCATGACGCTGGTAGTGGCGTCTATGGATGGGCGAAATGTAGCTGAACGTCGGAAGCCTGACGCTCCGTTATTCAGCTCCGTGTCGAGGTGGTCGCAGAACAGCGAACAAGATTCTGGCTAATGACGACGACGAGCCTATGCTTGTCATCCCAAATGAGCAAAGAAGAGGCATGCAAGCACGAACGTCCGAAGGACGACCAAGAACGAAAAAACCAAGAAAAGAAAAGAAATAAAAAGAAAAAACTCTCCATCCTTCCATCTCTCCATAAGCTCTAACCATCCTCTACCGAAGTCTATGCAGCAGGCTGCCATGCATCGTCAAGCCCTCCAACCCACGGTGCGCTCAGCGGGAACGTAGCACTTAGCGGGCTCGGGCCAGGCGAGGGATTCCTACTGTGTGGCCCAGCCCTGAGCGTTGAGCTACCGAACGAGGTGTCTGCAGCGGCGGCGGCGTCGGTGCCCATCGTCGACCCAGAGGCCATACCGCGGAGGCCGGTAGTGGTATGTGCAAGTGGTGGAGAGCCAATGATGGGCGAGAGGGGTGGCTCGTGCCCATGACTGTGGCTACCGTTGCTTCCCGATCCAGACTGCGAATGGCTTCCACTGACACCACCGCTGCCACTGCTTCCAGAGGCTGCTCGCCTTTGACCTGCGCTTGAGCCGTGCATGTCGATGCCAAAGGCGGACAGGGCAGGAGAGATCATGGGCCCGTGGCCGTTGCGCTTCCTGTTGTCTGAGTTGATGCTGCCTTGTCGCCCGAGCGAGTGTGCTGCCGCTGAGTGGGAACTGGAGGCGGCGGAGTGGGCTGAGGGCCGTGAGGAGGTCGAGTTGAGAGAGCCGGCGCCGTGTCGTGAAGCTGGTGCGGACCCGGTTGAGCGAGAGGAGGGGCTGAAGTGCGAACGCATGGAGTGCAAAGAGCCTTGTTCGGACATGAAGGCGGGGCCGACGTTTACATACTGTTCGTTCCATTTGTCACAACAAAGAAGTCAGTCAACTGCGGAAAAATAAAAACCAAGTGCTTACCAAACCAAACGTCCCTCTCCTGCCAGCATCGCTTGCCAACCCACCACCCGCACGCGCCATGGACATCGAGCGCCATCCCTGCTCAGCACCCGGAGGAGCATCCTCCAACACATCGATTGTAATGCCCGCTGCATGCTGCGTCAACACTTGTCCTTGCCCTTGCTGGTGGTGCTGGCCCTCCGCACCCATCCCAGACACCGCAAACGACGGTGGAGATGCAGTAACGTCCGTCATACTAGAGGTCGTGCCCCAGCCCGTCGAGGCCACGGGGCGGATCGTCTCCAAGCCGGGCGGGGGGAACGGTGTGCCCTTCGTGCTCGTGCCGACGCCCGAGCCGCTGCTGCTGCCTGTCGTCATCTCCTTCAGAGAGGCTATCGACGTGAAGTGGTTCAGGGCCGTCGGAGCGGGCATGTCTAGGACGTCGACCTCTGGCGAGCCGATGGTGAAAACTGGCGGACTACTACGGCCGTGTGATGGCGATGGCGAGGACGTGGTGAATGGGTCTTCGTATGCTGGTGGGCCGGCGAGAGGGCTTGAGAACCATGTGGGTTCGGAGATTTGCACTGGGGGTTGGGCAGGTTCGGACGGCGTCACTGCTCGTGGTAGAGGAGCGATGGTTGGCGTTCCAGGTAGGGATGATGGAGCATCATGGTATGTTGTTCCGGCACTACCGCCGCTGCGTCCGCTTGTGCTAGAGATCGGCCTTGTCCCATCCGCGAAGAACCCTGTCGGGGCAGCCCGCCTCATTCCAAAACTATCGGGGGCACCAACAGGTCTGTCAGGGCTGAGGAGGGCCGAACGGCCTGTCTCGATGTCCTTCTCGCTGAGGGGCTCTGCGTCATAGGTAGGCGAGTAGGCATATGCCCCTGAGTTCCGCGGCGAGTCGAACTGCTTGAACCAGCTCCTGCGTCCGATGTTCGCGAGTGCACCGAGGCCGAGCGATTCGAGGAGGCCGCTGCCGCTGCTCGCTCTGTGGCTTGGTCCAGCTTCGATTTGAGGTGGCGAGCGTGGAGCGAGGTCTTCTGCTCTGACACGTTGGGCTGTGAGCACTCGGGCTTCTTCGCGATCCTGGAACGACGATTGGTGGGAGAGGTAAGGTGGTCTTGGGGGTTGCAATGCCGGTAGGAGAGCAGCTGAGGTCGAGTCGGGCTCGACGAGGCGAGGAGGTACCATGGGTTCTTGAGAATATGCGTAGGCGCCGGTGTACTCTCCGTCTCGGTACTGCTCCTGACCGTCCGTGACGACATGACCCTGGTTCATAGGATCCATCGTGCCACTGGAGACTTGGCTCACGCCAGACAGACGAGTATCTGGTCCTGGCTGGCTGGGAAGGAGGCCGAGGCTTGGGCGATCCAACAGCTCTCCGAAACCGGAAGCATTTGAGTCGGTCGAGCCAGACGAGCCAGTGTTCACAACGGGTGGCGGAACGCGAGAGGATGCTCCTGGTCGAGAAGCACCTTGGCCACCAACTTGAGCCATGCCAGCCGCAGCACCAGCCGCGGAGGTCTCTCCCGCAGTGGCTGCACCGCGCTGCTGAAGGAAAGGATCGGCTTCTTCTCCACTGTGACGAGGAGACCCCTCTCCTGGGGTGCGGCCGCCTGGAGGCACGATGTAGTAGTCGTCATCGTCGAGGGGCGAGACGCTGGTGAATTGGCGCCTGTTGCGTCGTCCTTTGTACCAGAGGAAGAAGAAGAGTGCAAGGACGAAGAGGAAGATGACTCCGAGGATGCTGGCTACGATGACACCAACAAGCTGACCTCTGGAAAGACCAGTCGATCCCGTTGGGCCATTGGTAGGAGAAGGGGTTGCGGAAGAAGTGGGTGAAATTGTAGGTGAAAGTGAGGTGGTCGTCGTTAGTGATGTTAGTGATACAGATGAGGTCGTAGATGAAACGGAAATTGAGGAGGTGAGGGTGGTCGGAATTGAGGAAGTCGTGGTGGGTGTCGCAGAGGTCGTGGGGATAGATACAGAAGTCGTGGGTGTCGCGGTAGTCGTAATTGCTGTCGTGGTGGTCGCACCAAGTGTGGGCGTCACCGTTTGCGGTGTGGGTGAAGGGAGGACGACGGTGGCAGGCTCCGACGAGCCACCGTAGATGTATAACGAACCAAGTGGTATCTGTTCGCCACAGCACTTCAGTTTGCACACAGAGGGGTAGGAGCGACGTGGCACTCACACTGGGACCAAAGTAGGTCGGTGGCAGATACAGTATGGTCGTGGAGGTGGTGACGGGGGCTCCAGCCGCGTCCGTGATAACCACCGCAGATGGTGCCAACCAAGGGGGGTAAACCTGCGTAGGTTGCGCCATCTCTCTAACAGCTTTAAGGGTGTTGTCGTTGTCGTTGTAATGGTTTTGTACAAGTGGTCTGTCTGGCAAAATAAATCGTTAGTAGTGAACGTGGGTGGCTTCTATCCTGTCGAGGCCCGTACGTCGTCAGAAGCGGCGTTGAGAGGGCAACTGGGTGACGCACGAAGACTTTGGGTTGTGATTTTGGGTGTGGTGTAGAGGTGGAATCCGTGAATACGGAGAGGGAGGTGGGGATGCGCGGAGGAGGAATGGAGAAAGCGGCCACACGTCGCGCGAGCAACTTGAACCAACATCACGTGAGCCCGTCTACGATCACAAGTCTTGGCGCTGGATTCTCACCTTCCCTTACGTCCTTTCCGCGAGCTTGCTGGCCTCTGGACCCCGGGATGCGTCGAGGACGAGAAATGAGGATGAGGATGACAACCGGAATCAAGCACGTTTATCGGAGGGTTATAAGGAAAAATCACAGATCAACCCATTCGGACAGGGGTTTGCACAGATTGCGAAGGAATAGATTTTCGGGGGCAGAGTGCGCAGCTCTTCGCCCGAGGAGACAGAATATGGTTATACTTCTATTCCCACAAATGATGATGCTCTCCTTCCTCCCGCCTCTCAGCTCCCCTAGGCGCCGTTTCTACAAGTCTTGGGAGGCGGTCGACCGGACAAATGTTGGCCTTTCAAGAGAAAGAAGATGATGTTCTCCCAGACGAGGGAAATACTCGCGGCGCAGCGTCTGAAGGGCAGCATCTCAATGCAGCTGCATTGCAGCATAGCGAAAAGGTTATAGATAAGCCAATAACATGATGAATCGTGACATAAATACGAGGTAGACTTGATGAATGAAGGTGCTAGTGCACAGCCTTTATTAATGAACATATCAAGCCATTATTATAATTAGCGCCCATCGACGATTGCTCAGCGGTGGTCGCTGTATTTTCACGAAAGGAAGGTTGCATTGAAATTGAGCCAATGGAAACTGACAGCTTTGAATGAGATGAGATAGTAACCACCCTGGGCTTGAAGTGTCTGAGAGCATGTCGAATTTTCATGGCACTGACAGGGTGCACCAATAAGAACGATTTTGGCTAGATACCACTCTCCCACTGCGAGTTTTATGATAACGGCTTACTGCCTCTCAAGCACCTGCCGACGAAGTAAGTACTAGACTTCACTCTGATTGAGCGGGATTTGCTCACCGATGACGCGCTATCACCTCCCCAACTCGTCATCGAATAATTTCGCCTCTACACCAAACCCCCTTAACCCTCCTGCAAAAACTTCACCTCCTGTGATGGCGCCTCGATATTAACTTCTGGCCCGCATATAATTCTCCATGGGTTGCTTCCACAGTAACGTTGTCCAATAAATCGCATTTCCTCTGGCATAGTAGCATATCGACCAAGGGAAACCTTCGTGGTATCGTAACCATGAACCCGGAGTGCTAGAGTCTACACAGGGACAACTCTCTTCAAGAACTCCAGCTCCTTCTCCGATGCCTCTCCGAAGAACTTCTTGCCAGCGTACAAGCCCTCATGGGACGCTATACAACACCAACCAATCAGCAACCCGGAAAAAAAAACAGCACGGTAGAAAGATAGAGAAGAGAGCATCTACTTACACCCAACCAAAGTATGGCTCTCTCCCTGTTGCACCTTCTCCGAGGCAAGCTTCGCGCGTACAGGCGAACACTCGATGTCTGCCCCGCAGATCATGACCAGGATCGGGATTTTAACCGACGAGGAATAGCTGAGGGGATTGTAGAAAAGGACTTGAGGGATGCTGGAAGCTGCGACCTGTAGGATTCCAACCTATTAGCCAGGTCGAGATGGAGGGTGTGAGATGAACGTACACGGTTCTCCCAATCACTAATCATCCAACATCCCGAATGCATAAAAATCAGAAACGAAAGTCCGAAGAAAATAAAAAAATAAACTGACGACTCCTCCGGTGCCATACTCTTCACCGCCTCCAACACTCCGGCCGTCGTCATCGCTGCCACCTCCCCCGGACGACCCGCGCTCTGGATGTACACCGGCTCCGACGCGCCGAACATCCCGAAAAGCTTCTTAATGATCCCAGCGAGGACGTACGCAGATGTCTTGACGAGCCCGAAGTTGAATGTGATGGGGACACTGCCGCCGACGTACGGGTTGGAGGCGATTATCGCGGAGAGGGAAAGGCTTTGCTGTAGAAAGAGGGAGGTTGATGAGATGCGTTGGTGGGAAGTGAGTGGAAGTGGAAGGTGCGTACGTCGGAGCCTAGTCGTATAACGTGCCCACCTAAAAAAGGAGTCAGAAACATTGGTAGCAGATGGAAAGAAAGGAAGCACGCACCAGAGAAACTTGTCCCCCAAAGTACGACCCTCGACCCATCATACTCCTCTGAGTTCTGCCTCGCGTACTTGATCACAGCTTTATAGTCCTCCATCTGCTCGTTAATATCTACGACGTTCCGTGGAGTTCCATCTGCAGGTAGAAGACGGAGTGTGAGATGGAAAGAGGGGCAGGAACGCGAAACCCCAGCGAAAGACTCACCCGAAGTACCCCAGCGCCTGTAGTCGAACAGAAGACACGCGTACCCGTTCGACGCGAACGTCTCTGCGTATGCTTCTAATGACATGCGTTTCGTACAGGTGAAGCCTGGTGCCCTGGAGTACAAAATCAGTCGACGATTCCCAATATGTGCACTCCTGCCCGACATCGTTCGAAGAATATCCATGAGGTTAGGACGAGAAACGCACATGACAATGACAGGATACGGCTTCGCATAACCCCCAGCTGGCAGAAACCGCCATGTATCAAGGTTCCATTCCGGTGTTTTGCTCGGGATTTGGATGGTCGTCTTCTCGAAGGACGTTGGTGTTGACATTGCTGCTGGTGTTAGGGTTCGGAAAACGAGATTTCTGAAGGAAAGACGAAAGATTGAGACGGGTTGTCGCGAGTGACAAGATTGGTACTTACCAGAGTGTTCGTTCAACCAAGCAACGTACTCGACTGTCCAGAGATCGCGTGGTTCAAGCGTCGAACGGGCTTCGCGGTGGAAGCAGCGCCTCCCGTCTTATGGCCAAAGGCCGGGTGAGACTCCAACGCGATTTGTAACCAGGATGGTCATAGGCACAGCGCATGGGTGACGAATGTCGACGGCAGATAGTTGAGGTGGTGGAGAAGGATGAAGTTCACCAAATATTGACGCCACAGGACGCTTCTGATTGGCTGTAGCCGGATCGAGGTTAGCCGCGGATGGAAATCATCCGACCACTCTGGAAGAAGACTCGAAGCAGCTCAAAGCTGCATCGTACACTTGAGACGGCAGGAAATTTAGGTGTGAAGTCAGGATAGAAATCCACATAGAGGAGAAGAATGAAGAAGCATGGAATTTTCGTGGGCCTAGGAGTACAAGAGGCGGTATGTTTGTATGGATGTAATATTTGACCTATTGACATAGCGAGGGGAGAGCGAGATCACAGGAAAGCAACATGAGAGCAACATGAAAGCGTAACAGCAGAACGTCGTAAGCATGTCGAGCAGTAACTCGAGGTAGGTATGTGAACCAGTAGGGGATACAATGCGTGTAACGATAGCCAGATGATTTTTAAAGTACAGCCTGAAAGAAGAGGGAGGGGAAACAACGTTGAAGAGCGACAGTGAAGAGCGATTGCGTCGACGGGAGAACGAAAGCATGATGAGAGCGTGAACTGAAAAGAGACTATTAGTGTATATGCTTGAGATGGCACAGAGTTGAGAAGGACATACCGAAACTTCAGAGTAAGCGATACCATATTCGACACTGGAGCATTTATTGCGTACGAAGCCTGCGCGAGCCGCGCTGCCTCTCCTCCTCGTCCTCCTCGGGCGACGTGCGCGAATGGGGGCGCCTCGATCTCGACTCTGGGCTGGGGGGCATGACGTTGGGCATCAGCTGTCCGTGGCCAGGGCTCATCGTCATCTGGCGCATAGGCATCTGCGCAGGCATCATGGACGATGGGCCTGGGGGATACCCCTGCCTCGCGTCGACCGTGCCGCGCCTCAACGGACGATGCTCGACGTTCGCCGGGGGAGCGTAGCTCGGGTACGGGCCCATCCCCGCAGACGACCCAGGGCGGCCCATCTGCATCTCGGGGGGTGGGTACGGCTGGCCAGGCGGGTACGGCGAGCGCTGCTCCCATCGCATGTGCGGGCCAATAACGTTAGGCGCCAGCGGGTAGTTCGGGGTGCCATAAGGACTTACGCCGCTCGGGCCCGGGCCCATGCCAGGCTGCCCGCGGTGCTGGTGGTCGAGGAGCGTTGCGTGCGGATGCACGTACCCCTGCGCACCGTAGACGCCCTCCTGGGGCATACGCATCGGCTGGTGGCCGCCTGGGAGGAGCATGAGTGCGGGGCCTTGTGGGCTCGAGCAGCGGCGCGTCGTGGGCGCGTGCGTACCTTGGTGGTGCGCCCGCGCGAGACGACGTCCTCCTCGACGCCGCCGTCGGAGTAATCGTCGTCGTCATCTTCGGTTCGTCCGCTGCGTGCGCGGCCTTGGTCTCGGCGCTTGCGGTCGCGTTTGTTGCCTTCGCCTTGTCGGATGTCGAGGGCCCAGTAAAAGCCCTTACCAGGATGGCTGACGGGGCGTTCGATGCGGACGAAGATGGCTTTCAAGGAGAGGTTGTGGCGAATAGAGCGCTGGAGACAGGGATGAGGTACTGGGCGTAACTGTAGAGCGAAAAACATACCTGCCACGGCTTGTCCTTACTATCTTTCCAGCTGGGGTAGCGTTTCTCGATCTCGTCATAGATCTGGCGAAGGGTCAGGCGCTTATGCTTGCTTCCACAGATGGCTAGCTTGATCAACGTCGTAATGGCGGGCGCTTTCTTGTCGAACGGCTCGTCGGGGAGGGAGCTGAGGTTCAAGAGGTAAGGATAGGGAATTTCCAACGTCTTGCGGAGATATTCCTCCGTCTCCTCGTCGGATGGGAGAGGAAGCGCGGCGCTGGAGCCTGGAGGAGAGGGCGACGAGTATTGGTCGCTGTCCCAAGAGTTCTCAGACTCTGACGGACCGGGAGAGTGGGAGTGCATCATAGGGTGGTTCATGTCCAGGGCGGAAGAGAGGGCATTCATAGGCGGAAAGCTTCCGCTGAAGTCGATAGAGCTGGGATCAAAACCGCCATACATAGAAGGGTTCATATGCATGTGGGGGACACCCGTAATATCCTGTAAGGTCCATCAGTATCGCTGAGAATGCAACGCTGGTAGGTGAAACTTACGGAAGGCAACGAAAGAGGACCTGAGGGTCCACTAGGACCAGGCCGTCCATATCCTTGGGCGCCATGGAATGGAGGCGATTGCCCAGCCAGGGGATACGGTCTGCCCGCTAGGACGCCAAACGCAGCGTCATCGTCAGTGTCGACCTTGATGTTCGGGGCTGGATCGAGGTAGTCACCTCCTGCGTTAGAGTCCGAAGACCCTTCCGGTGAAGGTGGCTGTCGATGGTAGGAGCGAGGGATCTGGTTAGAGATATATCCTCCATACGGCCGACCATCATAGCCGCTGTGAAGGGCGCCTGGATAATTATAAGCCATGATACTGATGGACGTCGACGTGGGTTCATGATGACGACGATAATCGCGGTCATAGGAGGACGATGGAGGGTAACATCAAGGTAGATGGAAACAAGAAAAAAAAATACAGCCCATCAGTACAGCGATGGACCCACAAACCGGCAGCACGTACCGAGGGGTAACAGGTCAGGTGATGCGTAACGCGATAGTGAGGTGAAGGGAAAAAAGGTGATGGGTGAGCGAGGATTGCTCGGAGAAGTTGGAGAAGGTTGTAGATGGGTCTGCAGATGCGCCAACAACTGTAAGATGCTGTTTTCGCTGACGATCCACAGTGGAAAGATGGCAGGCTTTTATAACTTTCGTTGTGCTTTCGTGACGAATCTCCTTTGAAGGCAAAAACGCTGAATTAGTTATCGAGAAAACGACCAATCCGACCTCGGGATTGTGCCCGACCCACCTTTTTCTCGGCTATTCCGGCACGTGGGGAGAGGCTGTCTGCCATATGAGGGAAAAGTGCTCAGAACTTCCCGCTCATGGCAAGTCTGAGGACAGCCTCGAGGCCCGTCGACATCGGTATGTAGGTAAGACCGGCCAGTCAAGGATGGTATTCGACATCCGATTGGAGGAGAGTCAACGCTGTTGAATTCCCATAGAGAGGACGGCGGTTTCAGATACCAGATGTGGTGATTTCAGTTGTAGAACGTCTGTGTGTCGGCGCGCCGCCCGCCCACGTCGGGACCGACGCTTTCCCACTTGGGATTTCCTACAAAAATATAAGCATCAATACTTCGGCTGATTTCTAGAGACATACGAGAAAGAAAGTGATTTTGAACATCGAAGTGGATGAAAGAGAGAAAGGCTGAAGATGTTGAAGTCGTGGAAGTGGATGATGTACATAATCAGGGGGCTTTCCCAGGAATGTGATCTTACCGAAGCCCGTTTCTCCTTTGCCTCCTCCGACGCCCGAGCCAACATCCTATTCTGCTGCAAAGAAGCTTAATGCGCGCTCATATACACGTGTCTATGATCCGTACCTTGCTCATAAGAAGGAAGCAGCCAGCGGCAGCGCCCAAACGTCAGAATTCGAAAATTAACGAGCTCAAAAAGGGCAGAAGACGGACAGCCCTGCGGAAGGAGCGCACGGATGGAAGGCAGATCCCTTCTACGCGACCTAGCTGTCTTTATCTTATACTCCTGGGCTCTCGGCTTGCTGTCGTCACCCATTACTCAATGCCACCCACATGCAAGCTGGCGAGAGCTTCCGTTCTATTTAACCGTCGAACAAGACAGACAAGCATATGAGGTGGATCATCTGTTTCGTCCACTATATGTGTCTCCCCCAGACCCGGGATGCGAGAGTGTCCATACTCCTGTCGCCCACCTGCCACTTCAGACAACGTCTTCTGCTCTAGCAAAGCCCGTTTGGATGCCCGACACCCACAGTGACTGTGAGTGGGTCTTGTCACGATGCACAAGGTGGGTCCTGATGCATTTATTCTTGTGTTATACGCTAACTCTGCATAGCGATGCGGTGGGTCCGACGACAGGCGCAGTCGCCGTTGTGGGCGGCGTCTGTGTGCGCATCATTCCCGAAGCTATCCTTATGGTGCGTAAAATTGCCCCTGTGTGTCGTACGCAATTCAAGCCTCCCTGATAGGCATATTAAATGCCGCGAGTTGGACGACATTGATTTCGCGACAGCACCTTCTCCCTCTGTCATCGAAGCAGTGCTTTGAGCACTCCAAGGTCGATTCGCTCTTATGCACTTTATCTCCGTCTCTTGACGATCTTAGGTCTTCTTGGTACCACCACTGCGGTACAGGGAAGCTCTGCTTCCTTGTGCTTCCTTCAAGCCGGCCACCATTCTGTAGCCCCAGCCTAGGTTTCAGCCTTTTGACCGGACAATTCGTCACCCAGATCCACCGACAGCATAGTCTATCTGACATGCTTATCGCAGAACACCACTTATTCTCCTCGATCTGCACAGTCTATCTTCCCTGTCGTCCTCGATGCGGACGAGGAACGAGGGATTACTCAATGTTATACGGTCGCCAAGTCCTCTCTGCTGGCTATATTTAACCTCGACGGCTCTTCTGGCACGTCGATGCTCAGCCTTTGTCTGGGGCAACAGCACTGATGTCCTTTTGGACCGAGACGCCGCTTTCCAGCCCCATCAGTCATGGTATTCATCTAGGCTGTTCCCGCTGCACCAACGACAATTGCTTCTCGCCACTGGGTCATCCTTAATCTTATCACAATTTGAGTCGTCTCTACCGATATGTTCGGCCGACATCTGCATTGTTGGAATGACCGCTTGTGTCAAACCTTGAACGGCCCAAGACCTCCCAAGACTATACAGTGGCTCATCCGTGACTTAGGGAAGAGGGGTGCGTCAAGTAAATAGATCTGGAGAGAAATACACGAGCAAGTCTGCTGCTAGGAGTGGTACGATGTAAGGCAATTGAATCTTGATGTAACGACACAGCTTGTATCGACGGAAGTGGAAAATGAGAAAGAGAAAACTAGGAACGAGAACAAACAAGAGAACCAGACTAGTCAAAAGGTGAGGGATATGCGAAGGGAGGGGGGATGGTCAAGTAAATGAAACGTCAGTCGACATCAAGATGAAATATACTAGTGTATGTGTATGGAGGCAGACTGTATAGGCGATCGTAAACGTAAGGGAACTGGACTTGGGATACAGTGGATGAAGGCAGGAAGGAATTAGAGAAAAGAGACTTGGAAAGTGGTTGAGCACGTAACGGGATTGCAGAAATTTAAGGAATGATATCGAACAACTCGCCCTCTTTCACGCGAATCTCCACGACCTCCACCTCGTAGTCCGTCATGGCAGAATTGGTCGACGACAAGGAGGACGAAATGAACCCTCGAGAGTTTGGAGGAGAGGTCGAGGCAATATCTAGAAGGTGGCAGTGTCAGAGATGCCACATCTGATACTAGGATGAAAGGGTGGCTACTCACATCTGTCCTTGATATACGGGGGAACAAAGAGGTCCTATGGAGGCATTTCTCAGTAATATTCGGGTAATAGTCCATGGAATGAGTGCATACCTGGTTCCAAACGAAGCCTTGGCTCCTCTGGATCGTCAAGATGGGGCGGAGGGTGTACATACGCTGACGCTTCTTCCTCTGGCGCCTGGGGGGCTCCGGGTCGGGTTCGATCGCCCTCTGCTTGCCCTTCACATCCTTCGGCTTGTCCACCTGTATCTCCTTAGACTCTCCGTCGGCACCTTCCTCGTCCATGTCCATGTGATCGATGTCGGCGTGCTCACCGTCCCCTCCAGGCGCCGTGGGCGAGGAGGTCGGCTGCACGTTGTCCTCCGAGTCGCTGACGCTGGGCTGTTTGCCCCGCGGCGGGTCGGGATAGTCTTCGTCGTCCTCCGAGCAGGAGTCGGAGTCGGAGTTGCTGCAGTCGTCGTCGTGGATCTGCTCGTAGCAGGCCCAGGTGGGCGGGGAGGCTGCTCGGCCCATGGTGCGCCGACGGAAGTAGTAGGGGTTGCCTGCGGTGCTCATAGTGATGGACAAATGATAATGCGGGTGAGTATGTTGCTAAAGGTGGTGACAGTTAAGAGGCAAGTCGGAGAGCGGCGCGGCGACCTTGAGGCTGGGTGTGATTGTGTGAAGAGTCGCCGATTATGGGGTAGCCAATATATAGTTCCCCTAATTAGGCAAGCCCCTGTCGAGAGACGTGACTCATGCTCTACCATCCCAGTTTCTACCACCACAGTCATACGGAAAGCCTGAGAGTACACTACCAGTCAGGATAATTGATACGTGCCGAAATGATAAGAGGTTGAAAGAGTAAGTATTAACGAGACGCTGAGCCGGCCATGATCAAATGTCTGTCATCTTATCTCCGAAACTTCCTCAAATAACCTTGTAGGCGCCAGGACCAAACGCGATTGTCGAATACCTTGCCATAAATAAAGGGACCTTCATGCAATCCACTCTCACCTTACTATACATGACCATCCTGTGAGCAACTATTTTAAGTGTATCGTGAGGTAAGAAATTGCCTTCAGGCAGAATATCTTCACATGAATAATTGGCATTCTGTCAGGCACTGGGGAAGGAACGAGCACCAGTTTCCCTTCTCTTCCTTCAGCGTGAGTACCGAATCTTTTAATAGCTTACCTAAAGGATTAATCTTCGAACTCAATTCGAACTGCGCGAATTATGTCAGAACCGTTGCAACTGATTCCGGCAGTAGTCGCTTTCCTATTTCTCACAGAAACACGACGTTGAAGGGCATAAGACTAGGGCGCTTTAAGTTGCCCCCAGGACTATTAAGATGCGGAAGATGGACCCACAACTGCATGCCGCGGGATTCGGACTCAGCTTCCGGCGTGGAAGCCCGCCTTCATGCGAACTCCGCAAACTGTCAATCATCTTCTCGACACTCAATTTCCCTGTCGTACGTGGTGAGGTTCAGATTATTCGCTGGGTCTTAATAATATGCGAATTGATAAAGTACCAATATCTGAGATACAAACTTAGGACGTAGTGCTTGTGCTCAGGGCCGCTCCCACCCCAATGCACGCAAGAAAATCAGAGAAAAATACCATGTATGTCAAATAGCAAGGATACTACTGTGAGGCATTCTACAGTGGACGGCGAATATAAGCAATCAGTACCACCAGCGCGACAAGAGCGAAGAAAGCGCCCAGCGGGCGCTTAAACCGACTCAACGGCGTTTGCCGTGTCATTGAGTCAGCGTTTTATTGGAGAAAAAGGAGAGAAAAATATTCTACTCACTCATGATAACTGTAGACTCTGGCTGAGAATAATATACGAACCAAAATCAAGCCTGTGCCTATCAGCCTCGGCCCTCCGTCTGTGCATGCCCGCGCTTTGGCCTTATTTGTCTATACCCCTAAATCCGATGATTGGAGTCTCCTCGTATGAGTCGTATCTACTCGTATTGATCAACGTTTCTGTTTTTCCTCAAGTCGCTACTACAAAGAACCCATGGCGAACTCCAAATACGCTTATGTGCGCAACTTTGAGCTGCCGGACCCCCTTCTCCCTGGCACTTTCATCCTGTTTCGCCTCGATGGGCACTCATTCCATCGGTGAGTCAGACACTTCTTTCCAGTGCGAATTCAGCTCAAAATTTCTCTTAGATTCGCAGACAAGCACAAATTCACGAAGCCGAATGATGTCCGCGCCCTTGAACTGATGGATCACGCCGCTAAAGACGTCGTGGAAGAATATCCTGACATTGTCCTGGCGTTCGGAGAGTCAGACGAGTTTAGGTGAGCACAGCTTGAGGTTTGATATGGCTGGACGTGATACGTCGGAAGTGATTGGCATGGATTGGCAGTGGGGAGGGAATGGGTTGCTTGATGCGTCAGACAGTGCCAGTGAAAATGCGATCCTGGACGTGAAAGACGACCTTGCGGTGCGCGTATCCCTTCCTGGGGTTTTATCTTCGCGATTTCGCCAGGATTTCGCATAGAAGGGCATGTGATCTGCCAGGAGATAGGAGTTTTTGTTGGCTCGAGGAGGAGGGGTTGTAGAGCCAGCATGGTCTGTGGCAGATGACCGACACATAAGTTGGAATGGGCGAAAAACTCGGCCCGTCTCTTCTACAGACTGGATCTTCGTGGGGTCTGGCCGTATGGGACCGATTCACTACGCAGATTGGCGTCAACCTCGCACGGGATGTGTGCTGCGCAAATGACACGCCTTGACAGCTAGCTTTGTTCCTGTACATCTCCCCTTTTCGCTCGTATCTCCTCCGATGCGTCGCTGTGGACATTCTACCCGTTGTCTATTTTTGCCTCTCCTCCCGCTTCCTCTGTCCCTGCAATCGCCATTTGGCATCCTCATAAACATCCGAGCTGACCGACATGCCAGGACAGCTTTCTCCTCCGAAAGTCCACCACGCTATACAATCGTCGGCAGTCCAAAATCGTCTCAACTTTAACGTCGCTATTCACCTCGTGCTACGTGTTCCATTGGCCGAAGTACTTCCCCGATACTCCACTTCAGTACCCGCCTTCTTTCGATGGCCGGATTGTGCTCTACCCAACCGAGAAACACGTACGAGACTACTTTGCGTGGAGACAGGCTGATAGTAAGTAGCCTTCGCATCCTGCTCCAGGTCGTTCTTCGCCGCTTATTGTCCTCCTCCTTCGAATCCTAATAGCACACATCAACAATCTCTATAACACAACGTTTTGGGCTCTGGTTCAGCAAGGCGGACAAACCACGACCGAAGCACATGCTGCGCTGCGGGTGAGGATCCATTATCTTGGCAGAATAAATTTAGCCCTTCTATTGAGGGTTCGTACGCTGTCAATCGCTGATATCTACTCCCAACAGGGAACACTCTCCAAGGAGAAGCACGAAATCCTCTTCTCTCGTTTCGACATAAACTATAACGACATCGACGCGAGGTATCGGAAAGGCAGCGTTTTGTTCCGTGAAGAGGTCCGTTTCTTGACAGCGATGCCACCTGTATCTCATTCTCGCTCCTTACCCCAGATACCTGAAGATCCACAAGGCGGCACAAATCCCTCGTCAGGACACAAATCCATTGTTATTGAGAAACGGCCATCGAAGACAGAAGAGAAGACGGAATCATCCGTGACAAACGAAGCTCAGGGCGAAGCTTTACCAACAGAAGGAGCCACACAGAACCAAAAGACAAAAAAAGCCAAAGAAAAGCGCAAGCAGCAGCAACCTTCCAGAATAGCTATCCAGCACTACGACATCATTAAGGACGAGTTTTGGGATACACGGCCCGACATTCTGGCCGATTGATACTTTGGTCGTACGCTGTTCACAACAGGATCGATTCTTACGTGTATTTTGGTTGTATCGAAGATTCGTTCAATGAAGGAGTCTCCGTTTAGATACACCGATGGTGCTTGGATAAGCCCGACGTTTTCGTCCCTTCTCTTCCATCGTTACCGACCGAAGTCGAGCTTCCAACTCCGCAGCTAGTAGCTACGTCGGACCGAACATCTGTGTTCTGACATGGGCATCTACACATCTCGTCAACGTCGACGCAATGTGATCCAATTGCATTGGTTCAAAAATTCTCCTCAGCGGTCTTTCCCCCACAACAGAGCCAACTTCACAATCATAGGTGAACATTCGTGTTCTCTGATCTAAAAATACAGAACAATTGTACAACAGAGACAACATGTGGGCATTACTTCTAGCAGACGAACCACGTCCTCGCAGGCGTCATCCGCTTGTCTCATTCTATACCGTGGCAAGCAGATCGTCCTCGAGCTCCCTCATCCTTGCCGCTTCCTTCTCCTTTTCTAGTTCCTTCTCGCGTTGGGCTTCATGTTCTCGCGTTAGCACGTACGAGGGCGTCATGTACGGCTTATAGTCTAGGTGCCGTTTGACGTAGAAGCACATATATGCCGCTGAAATGAGGCATGCCCCTAGGCTCGAATGCGTAACTCTGTTAGAGAATGGAAAGGAGGCACATGGAGTCAGCGAGACACGAGGACAGCAGTTGGGATAACGCTTACTTGTCGTCATCGAAACGATACCACTGCGATGAATTCAAGATTAACCCGACTGGATGACGAAGGACAGCACACACCTCGTCATCAAAACGCGCAAAGTTGGTGTAATGGCCGTTGTTGATCTGGCCTTCGTGGTTGATCACAGCAAAGAGATCGTACTCGTACATGGCCTCTGGGCCAATAGCCCTAATTGAAGAAAGCCGTCATAAATTTAAGGTTTTGCTCCAGGTGGCAGTCATGACAGGAAGGAAGGGTCGGACTTACGACGAAGCGGGCCCGCTTTGTTCTTTGACCGTGTCCTTCATAGCAAGTGTGGTATACGGTGACATATTGAGGGAGGCAGGGAAGCGGATAGCAGCGTCAATTTTACGTGCCGAAGACTTATCGTTCGTCTTGTGTTCAAATCGCTGTGAGAGTGGAAGACAGAACGGTGAATCGGGGGTTCGGAATAGAAAAACAAAGTCGGGGGTGCTACCTTGAACTGAAAGCTGAGGACCGGGGGAAGCTTTCGGATGCTGAGCCTCTTACTTGCTTCCTACCAAGTGAACAATGGGTTAGAGAGGCAGATCAACTACTCCACGAAGCGGGAATGGAGACTGCGGAAACGTACATGGGCAGCCTTGCCGCACTTTGCGCAACTGTACTCCTTCTGACCGAGCTTCTCCGGTTGAGTGAACCTATTTTTGTCGAACGAATTCAACGTATGGAAAAGGGCCGGGTAGCAAGAAACCCGAACCTGCGTAGGCAAGCTCCCAGGGTATTCTCAGCAGAGGCTACTTCTCCTCCCTTCCCTTTAAGCTCCAGACTGATGTCAAGCATGGGGTCGACGGTGGTGGTTACGTTGCCGCAGCGTTCACATTTGACATCACTCTGCAGCTGACCAGCAAAAGTGGAATGGATAATACAGTTGCAGGAAACGTTCGTGAAGCCTCGCGACGTCAGGTGTATTTGATTCAGTGCGCAGATAAAGAATTCGTGTGCGTCTTGTTGGGCGTAGCCTGAGAGCTCAGAGGATGCTTTCCAAGTAGTGGCTAGGAATGTGATTGGGCCATATGGAATTGTATCGTCCGAATATACCTGCGACATAATGGATATCCAATCAAATATTCCAACGAATCTTCGTACCTCGGTGAAGAGTTTGTCCATTTCGCAAGATGTACAATTCTCCGACTTGCACTGCTTGCAGTTATGTTTGTCGCTTAAGAAATAGTTGCGGAGGAGAGGATTGTGTACGAGGCATTGCAGAACCACATTCAGGAAGCACGTCTGCCCAAGATTGAGGAGCCCCCGTCTACCTACATGGAAAATGGTTAAACGCACTACACTCACGTCTATTGACTGCGCGACCCACCTTGGCACGGAATGGCCTCAGATCCCTCAAGAGCACTTGCTTCATTGGGTGTTGGGGACCATTCTTTGTACGGTTCTCGCAGCTTCCGTGAGACTGCGGAATGCTAAGCATGAAGATGGCAGCAAATGGGGGAACTTACCCTGAAATTTCGTCTGCTTCTCTTCAACGGCTAGCACCGTCGCAAGATGTAGACCGTCAGCTTTGGCATCATATATGAAGTCGTCGCATTCGGTACAGAAAATGTAGCCCGTTCTGGGCTCCACGCCTGCAGCGTGTCAGCGAGGGAGGTGGAAATCAGAGAAGCAAACGTACAGAAGCAATGACCGGTGTTTCTCAGGTGCTGAAGGACGTGATCATCCTTCCAACATCCAGCATAAGAGCAATGCAAGCACGCAAATGGTCGTGAGAGAGCGATATCACAAGTACCACAAGTCGGTGCTGCTATCTGTAGGAAGCATCAGCTACAAGAATTCCATGATGATACAAACACACTTTTCGTCGTTTGGCTGGCCGGGGACGCTGGGAATGATATGCACTCCACGACACAACGGAGGTGAATCTCTTCAGTATGCTTTCGCCGTATCCGTGGTCATTAAATACGCCAATTATATGAGGGCAGTCCGAAACACCGGTAGCCATACAGAAATCCGTGAGAGTCCGTGTTAAAAGTGGTGAATTCGGGTTGACTTCGTCCTCGGGGATTACAAAGAATTTGGTAAATCTTGCAGTTTCTGGAAACAGAATATCATACTACCATGTGGACGAGTTCAATGTAGCTGTTTCTGCTGATATTGAAAGGTAGTCAGCCTTGCCCTTGTCGTGTTGCAGGCGACTTGGGGTTGGAGGAGTTGATCAAGGCGTTACGGTTGAGCGAATTTGGATGGACGCATTGAGAAATGTCACGTCACATGACGTCCCTCTCATGTCCGTCACGCACCTTCCGACAATGTTTGAACTTTGGACGCTCAACTCGCCTCTCACCGTGAATAATATGTAAGTACTATTTCAGCCCAGCGCGCGTTACCTAACAACCTCTTAGAGTCCATTTTTTTTTATTAGAAGCATGGTCTTTCTGCCATCTGGCCTCTTTTCCTGTTTTAAACCGAGATTACAGACTGACACAAGTCAGAACGGCCTGACAAAACGCTTCAGGCAGGATTCATGTGTATTCTGCGATGTTTCTATCGAAAAAGGCTTCCAAATTGCATATGAGGTACTGCCGACTCTCACTAATCCCTGTTGTCCCAATTCAATCTTCTTTGCAGGATGAACATTATGTCGCCTTTCAAGATAGAAGGCCTGCGAGTCGGCATCATTTCCTCGTCATTCCGAAGGAACATGTCGGTACGGTCCTGCTCGACCACATGCAGGATCTCGTCAGCTGAGTCTGCGCAGAAAGTGTCCGATCGTTACGAGGCCCAGATGTTGAAATGGGTCCGCCACCTATTCTTCTTGAAAACTTGCTGACCAAGTATAATCTAGTTAAAGACATGGAGAACATCGGGAACACCGTTCTTAGCAAGCTAGATGTCCCCATTACGATGCGCAAGTAAGCTTATTGAAGTTGTCAGGTTGTTTGCCGCTCACGAACGCTGATAGAATGGGCTTTCACATACCGCCGTTCAACTCGGTTGACCACCTGCATTTGCATGTGCAGGGTCTTCCGTATCTCTCCAGTCGCCGAGCCGCGAAGTACCCAATCAGCATGGGCAACAGGGATTACTCGAAGGGTTTGAGTTGGTTCGCGGAGGTGTCGCAGGTTGTATGTATCCTGCAGCAAGGAAAACGCGTCGGTGTTATGCCTTGCTAACGTCCAGCGGTCGGCCACGGCCGTTCGGCAATAACACACAACTCGCCACTGCCGCTAAATTAGACACTCAGCCTCCATATGCACCACTCGAGCCACGCAGCATCCATTGCTATCTAACACTATTCTGTTGCACCAGGTCAGCTGTGCCTCGTTCGTAATAGCCCTGTTCGCTGAAACCCTTTCTCAGGCTGTTTAATGTTTTTCCGAGTTTGTGTTCATGGCCAATGCAAACTGCCATCCTTATCAAATTTCTGCCCAAAAACATTCGAAGGGCGATAGCAAGTTCGCTTGATGCTAACCCTCATCCATGGGACATGATTCGCTCTCCCAAACCCCGCGCGAATACACCCTAGTCTAGGGGGGATTCCTTTGATATTGCAGAACGCTGATGTCGCAGAAGGTCCGACGTTGGTTTGTAGCCCATTGACATTAAATATAGACGCAGCTTCCAAAACAAAGAGGACGGATAATGTAGCCCATGGAATCTCCGTCGATTGGTGTATCGGCACAGGTTTCTTCCTCTTATTTTTATGACGAATTGTGACGCCATCTTGCTGTCGAGAGCCAGGGATTTGCCCCCCATTCTACGGCCTAAGACGACTGGTAAGCACTTTGCCATCGTTCTAGATCGTCTATCCGTAGTGATACCCTTAACCACAAGCTTCGCCTCGTCGGCATGCTGCAAGACTTTGAAGCATATTTCCAACCACGAGTCTGCCCGTTACTGCCGACGAGTAACGAAGTGCACATGTTGATACCCCTGTCATCTCCGTTCTAGTCGCCGACTTTGCAAAGCAGCTATTTTCTCAAAAATACAGCGGGCGGAGATCTGAAGCCGATTGGAAGGACGAAGCTCAATCCCTGGGAGGTCCGTATGATAAACAGGGTCCCAAAAATAGCGGCGCGCCATAGTGCAGGTTAGCCCCGTTCACCGAGCTATATTTAGAGAGTACACCGATTTGACGCTCCAAAGGTATTCTCCCTGCTTAGAATGGTTGACCATACGGAATGCTGAAATAAACCTCCTCGATGGAGTATCTCAGGTTCAATTTCTCCAATAACCTCGTTGCGATCTAGACGACAGATTACGGATTTCGTTCCCAATAGAACGGCAGTACTATCTCCTCTCGACCACTTTCCGAATGCCGTTCATCGTCTTCACGGCCGCCAGCGAGCAAAGTTGGGGCTTGTGATCTTGCTTCTTGCTAGTCGCTACCCACCGTGCACCACTGTGGATTATCGGAAACAGTGGTTTGAATGACTTCCTCAATGCGTGTAGTCAGGCTCCAAGTCAGTCCCTGAAACATGTAAGTACATTAACTCACTACGAACTCATCGCCGATTCAGTAAACCGTTTCGTAGCTTTGGAAATTATCGTTTCCATTATTGCTGGATATCCTGTCTCTGCATGATAAAAGATCATTCGACCGCGCGGTGAATCACAGATGTCGTAAGCTTCGTACGTTGGATGCTTAATTTTTTAAAGGAAACTCGGCAGGGTATCTCCGCCCCCATGACACCTTGTTCCCTTCAAAATCGCCGTCTTTTCGATGTCATTTCAAGCATGGATCCAGTTCGTATGACCTTCCTTTGAACCCTGGTCGACGCCAAGCCTTTCTGCATTGATTTGCGAAGTTATTTTTGTCCTCAAGAACCACTAAGGTGTTGATCAGTTCCGTCTAGATCATTGCATTCCATTCGCTTGCATGCAATCAAGGTCGATGCAGTTGGAGCCCAATGGCTACGGGACATCCTGCCGCTGAAGTCAAATGCCAAGGTCTTTCCATGCGTTGGACTGGTTCTTTCGGCGATTTAAGGAACAAATGTCTCAATTGAGGACGATTTCAAAGTTTTGGAGGTGAAGAATAGGATCAAGAACTTCGAAAGCAGCAGGTGTCACTATCCCGAGACTTCCTGCTGCACCTTGGGAGCCTCATTGCGAATATTGTCTTTGGTTCTTGACGCGTCAGACCGATGCAACGTACGCTTCAGGCCGGGATGGACTTCGCTATGTTGCATTCTCTCTTGACGTATAAAAGGGTTGCGAATCGGGGCTCCAAAAAACAGCAGCCAAGGTTCCAACCCTCAGCTCGACTCCAACATGCTCAGCGTCGCCTCCTGCACTCTCGCACTCTTGCTTTCTTCACTCGCGTTCGGCGCGCCTCAGGGTGATCCCGTCTCAGCGAGCGTCGCGGCCAGTGTTGCGGCCAGCGCTTCCGCTGTCGTCTCGTCGATGGCGGTCTCCGCTATGTCGGCTTCGCAGGCAAGGCCAACGTCGACGGTGGTCGTGCCCTCTTCGACTGGCAGTGCCCCCTCAACTCCTACCGGCCCTTTTATCGACCTGGACCCAAACGAGCCAATGTGGGACCCGTCCACAAAAGACCCACAACCCATAAGAGGTGGTCTCGGGGCAATCATCATGGGCCCTACAGACGTCGACACTGCTAGGAACAACCCTGATCTAGTTGCCTCACCTTCAACTGATCACGGTAGCGTGTAAGGCCTACTTTCATTCGTGTATCCAACGTTCTTCGCCGCTGAAATGTTTTGCATCCAGTAAAAACGCCAAGTGGCCCTTCGCCTTGAGCCACAACCGCCTCCATGTGGGAGGTTGGGCCCGCCAACAGAATGGTAATTAGAATCTCCTGACACTACATATTAACTGACTTCGCCTTCAGTCAACGTCATGCCCATTGCCACTGAAATGGCCAGCGTAAACATGCGCCTCAAGCCTGGTGCCGTTCGGTGAGTCACTTCTTGGTCTAGTATATTCGCCTTCGTGTTAACATTCCCATACCTGCAGTGAACTTCACTGGCACAAACAAGCCGAGGTAAACCCCCAGCATTGACTCAGGCTTCAGCGTGATCTTGAGCTAATGAAACTCCTTGATAAAGTGGGCCTACGTTCTCAAGGTAAAGCGATCTTGCGGACCTGCTCCGCCTGTTATGGCACTAACTTCATCTCCCAGGGCTGGACTCAAGTCACTGCCGTTGACCAGGAAGGAAAGAACTTCGTCGAGACTGTGGTATGTCCGTGCTTCTAGGCAGGGATTGCTCAGGCATTAATTGATGCCTCCAAGGGTCCTGGAGATCTTTGGTTCTTCCCAGCGGGTGTGCCGCATTCTCTCCAGGCCACTGACGACGATCCGGATGGTTCTGAATTTGTTCTGGTGCGTCCATCGTGCCCATGCCGTTGCATCCACATTCATTGTTCCGCATTCCGCCCCAGGTTTTCGATAGCGGTGACTTTAGTGAAGATTCGACCTTCTTATTGACCGATTGGCTTGCCCATGTCCCGGCTGGAGGTGCGGACATTTGTTATAAGGAAACAAACACTTTGACTGACTAGCATTCTTCAGTCCTCGCAAAGAACTTCCAGACGTGTGTTCAATTTCTCTCCGAAGAATTTCTTTTTAAATCCTCTCTTCTTACAGTGACATCTCTGCCTTCGCCCACATCCCAGCGGAAGAATTATTCATTTTCCCTGCTCGTAAGTGCGAATACACGCTTGAAACGAAACACCACACATTTTTTCTGGCATTTAGCTCTCCCTGAGGATGACTCTAAAGCACCAAAGAGCCCTCTCGGTGTCGTCGACAAACCATACACTTTCGCACTCTCGAAAGTCAAACCGACTCAGTTCAGTGGTGGCACCGTCAGGATCGCTGACTCTCGGACCTTCGAAATCTCGAAGACGATCGCCGCCGCGGAGGTCACCATCGAGCCTGGTGCCATCAGGTAAGCAGCAACATTGACTACGAAGTCGCAGCGACTGAAAATATCTTGAACAGAGAGCTTCACGTAAGAAATCTGCTTCCGTCATACAGACATAAGGTACTGACCACAGACAGTGGCATCCCACGCAAGATGAATGGAGCTTCTTCATGTGAGACCCAGAATTTTCTTGTTCTTCTTCTGGCCTCTAATTCCCATGTCAGTGAGGGTCGCGCTCGAGTGACCATCTTCGCTGCTCAATCCAATGCGAGGACCTTTGATTACCAGGTATGCAGAGGACACAGTCTAAATTCTCGATCCACGGCTTATTTCTTCTCCAAGGCGGGTGATATCGGTTATGTTCCTGCAAGCATGGGTACGCTAATGTTGAATCATCTGCACGGATCGTTCTAACCCTCGTACTTCCCAGGCCACTACGTCGAGAATATTGGCAATACGACTGTGCGCTTCCTCGAGATGTTCCGTACTGACAAGTTCGAGGACATATCTCTCAGCAACGTGAGTGCTATTGCCTTACCATGGCCTCCCTTAGACCGAGGTCGATTTTTGATTGGCAGTGGCTCGCCTTGACACCACCCGCGCTCGTCAAGGCACATCTCGGGTTCGACGACGCCACCATGGCCAAGCTGGGCAAGACGAAGCCAGTTGTCATCGGTCCCGCCAAGGCTTAACGAAACTACACACCCTCTAGTGAAACGATTACCGAATGTACTCCCCCTGTATTATATTCGTGCAGCTATGACTCCTCTGTTCTATTCTTACGACTTGCGATATTTTTACGACGCAGTTTCAAAAATAAAACTCTGTTCCTCGCTATCTTCGCTGTCCACATCCTAAGACTTGACAAGGTCTCGCAAGCACCATTCGAAGAGTTGCCGGGCTTGTATGGCTTTGACTCTGTCTCTGACGTGGAGTAATGATTAAACAGGGTTCCAGGAACACCGCAGATCCTTCGTTGACCCGTCTCAAGGAGATCTCGTCGAAGAAGCGATGTCCGAGGCCTAACAGAAACACTTCGTCCACGTTGTGGTGTCGATCAGGCCCATCCGGGAATCAAACGACTCGCACCGCATTGGCGTTCGCGAGTCTGTGACGTAGTATCCGCATTCTTCGTTGCCAAGTAAGGTGGCTGTCCATGATAAGTCAAAACGATGGTTCTCCGACGATTGTTCTCCGAAAGCCAAGCAGTGCTAGAGGACATGCGCTGGACTACAACTAGGTGAGCCCTATGCAGATAAAAAGTGCTCGTAATAGGCCTAGGTGGAGGTTGGGGGGAAATACTCCAAAATTGACGCCGCAGCAATAAGAGTGCCAAGATATAACCTACACCAGCGACTCTTGCACGCGAAGTCGTTGAAAAGACGAGTAAGTGCGCAGACTAAGCGGCCGAGTGCTGGTTCATCTATACAGTAGGAGGTTAGAGAGCATATCGACCGTCTCGAAAAAAGTGTCCGGCCGGGGGGAGGACGTCGCAAAGACATTGGTCAATTAGGACAAGCAACAGTTTTATAGGGATTAAGTGCGAGATCACAATCCTGGAAAGAGGAGAGAATATTCTCCGGGCGAGAAGGCTAGCGCGAACGAATGAGGCCCAATGTCCGGATGACCTCATCGGAGCTCCGAAGGACTTTATCAAAGAGATGTAAGAAAAAGAAAAAGATGGTCGATCGCCGGATCGCCGGGGAGATGGCTGTGAATCATCCTGAATCATGTCTCTGAGAAGCCGGATGATATACGCCCTCGATGCGTGCCCCTGGAGGAACCTCTGTTGGCGCAGGGGCAAATGCAAGTAACAAGCGAAAGATGGCCAGATTAAACTTGAGTGACTTTGAATTCGTAGACTTCGTAGTGGGCACTCCGCTATGCCCGCGACGTAGGCCTTTGAGGGTGTCCGATGTTTTATGAACACAAGTAGCGGGGGCCTTTTTCGAGGTGGAGAGTAGAATTGTTGTATACCGTGTCGTCTCGCAAGATTTTTTCGGTTTATATACCATTGAACGAAATTCGTTCGGCCCCTAGTCGGCAGACGTTGACCAAGAGGGCCGTTCATCTGCAATCTTGTGGTCGTAATTACTTGTCTGGCGTAAGAGACCAATGGGGATGGTAGTTCTATTGGTAACTTTTTGGCATAGATGCTTCGGATCGTTCGCCTTCGTTCCCTAGTAAATATGGACCTGTTCAGAAAGCAAAAATAAGTAATCGGCATCGTTGAACCGCGAATGGTCATCGGAAGAGTTTATCAGCGACTTCAGAACAGGAAAGGGTGCATTTCGAAGAACTTCTTTACCCAAAGGGCGAATTTTCGAACGTCGTGGTCCCTGCACTAAATCTGAACACCGCATGTTTGAACTTCCTGTCCGTTGGAAACACTGCGGCTTGATGGATTCCTCAAATGTATACGTTGTTTCAGAAGCTGAGGATGCGCACCGTTGCCTAATGTCGATAACAGATCCAGATAGGTTGAAGATCTTGCCTTTTGACTCTTGAGCGGACACCCCAGGAAAATATTACAGGCCAAGTCGGTGAACGATTCCAGTCCACTTTTAGGAGTGTTAAAAATCTTCGTCTAAATGCCAAAATTATTAATACGAACAGCTTGCGATGTCGAACTGGCAGCGGGTTTGCGACGTGGTTCAGCTTGGGTTCCGCGCTCTGATGGTTAACAATATCAATACCTACTTCCTGCGTCTAAAATCACAAGTTAAGCACAGAGAAGGGGGAAGTGTTACAGGCATACCGGAAAAGAGTCGTCTAGCTCATCCGACCCTGAATTTGCCTCCGTGAAGGCGATGTTTTTGTTCCTGCTTCAATCCTTCATGGGTGTTGCAATTAGATGACGGCACAGCCTCGGCAAGTTCAAGCGGAGCTTCAAGCCTTGAGCAGGATCTGAAATCGCGGGCCGGACCTACTTACCTCTTTTGACATCTTCCCACTCACCCTTCAAGGACCCAAATACACATTTTCGTCTTTGATACATGCTGTATACTGGTGCGATCGTCGCGTTTCGTGCATACATAGACCAGGTATTATTGCCACAATTTTCCCGAAGAAGCTGCAATGAAGGGACCATACAACAGGAGACTCTACTGCGGGAACAAAAATAGAGCCGGAACTGAAGCGGATTATCTTCAAGTTCTATCCAAGAACATTGCCACCGTTGGTGAATATACGTAACGACTCCAGCGCACGGATCGTTCAACTCATGACTGCAGCAGGGTTGTGACGCCATCGGTGAGGACATTGACAGATACACGATTCAGGTCGGACAACTATCAGGAGCTATTGTGCTTCGTAATGAGACGTGTGCCATTCGCTCCTAAGTCCCGAGCTTCACCGAAGTCGCTGAGTCCTCCGGGTTTCTAAGGACACTTTCACGTTTTCAAGGCAAGGTTGAGGTCACTATCGCAGTTTTCGTATGCCTATTTGGTCCCAGCGCTGTCCAGGTCCGTCCTGGTGTTTGTAATGCAACCGATGGTCGGAAGAACCTCCGCCGATATCGCACAAATACACGGAAGTCGCAACCCATTTCCTTTGCAAACCAGTCGATAGAGGTGAAGCCGATTGGAGGATTGAGGAGCCCGATGCTTCTCTCACTACCCGTCTTCTGAGTCGCAAAAGAGCAGCGCGGTCTTGTGGAATCCGCCCCGCTGACCGGTCTATTTTTGTCAATCCGAGCGATTTTTTTTGTTCGGGAACATTCGTACGAGGTCCATTTACGACCCGTTTGCTGGTCCTAGGGAGGCGAGCCATCATGGCAGGGTATCTTAGGTTCAGTTTCCCCAGTCACCGCTTTCAATCCACTAAGATATCATCATCAGCAGTGTCAGAGACATTCAGTCTTAATGTCGCCTTCAACTATGACGTGCCGAATTTGCTCGCAAAGCCTATGTATGCTCCAGTTGTCGAATGGGTCACCCTTTCATAACTATACGCCCCTATCCGCAGCTCAACTATTTCCAGCTTACGGTCAAGGAGTCTCCGTAATATCTAGCGTGGCCTGTAATGCTGTCATCATGCACTCAACCTTCGACCTTCGAACAACTCTGCTCATAACGACTTGAAGTTGCAAGCTCAGCTCCAAGAGCATGTTCCCCTCATGCGGATCTAAAGGTGGCTTGGTCGCGTTATAAAGTTGGCATCGACCATGGACAAGACAGCCCCGCCGGCGTCATTCGGCACGCGTTATTCATAAATTAACGCCTCAACCGTAAGTTTAGTCACCTCCATTTATACTATCATCAGTGCTGCACCTGTTACATTCCAGGTGCTCCTTAGAGTAAGAGTACCTCCGTTGCTCCGACGTTGCCCTTCTGGCCGTGTGTATGATAGCCTTAATGGGCGGCAACGGGGATGTTATTCCTGTGACCTTCACGCGAGAGCTCCGCGCCTGTGCTATTCTTATGCCTCCAGCTTTTTTTTTTCTGACGCGCACGAGTTTTCTTCCTCTTTCGTGTTTTTCGCGTCACGATAACCGGTTGTAAAGGCAAGGACCAACTAGAATGCAGGTTACCCGTTCTTCGCGTATAAAAGGACACCGATTCAATGAAGGACTGACATCGAATCCCCCCTCTGCTCTTGTTCTCGTATCTCTGTCATGATGATCAGTGTCGCGTCTTGCACTATTGCACTCTTGCTATCGAGTGTTGCCTTTGCCGCACCAGCACCCAGTTCTGCTGCGTCCAGCATTGTTGTCAGTGCAACTTCGTCGTCGACTGTGTCCTCTGCGCCCGTCTCTGTCTCTTCTTTTTTACCGACGACGTCAATAGCTGCAGCGACTCCATCCTCGATTGCTGTTGCCTTATCCTCTACCGCAACCGTCCCTTTCATCGACCTGAATCCAAATGGCCCTTTATGGGATCCCTCCGTCAGTGGGGTTCCTCAGGCCGAAAGAGGTTCTCTAGGGGCAACCATCATGGGCCCGACAGACGTCGACACTACTAAGGCCAACCCCGATCTTCTGGCACCTCCGACTACAGATCATGGTAGCGTGTAAGTACTGACTTCGTGCCTTTGATTTCTTTTTCCGCCGTCCTGACTTCGACGTCTACAGGGACAACGCCAAATGGGCATTCAGTTTGAGCCACAACCGCCTTCAGACTGGAGGCTGGGCTCGCGAGCAGAACAGTTGGTGGACGCGTATCATTTAATCTTCGCGATATTCAATGATTTCCAGTCGGCGCCATGCCCATTGCCACAGAAATGGCCAGCGTTAACATGAGACTCGAGCCTGGCGCTATTCGGTACGCCACGTTTCTTCTCCGCGCATACAAGGCTATTTACACGTCGTTCCAGCGAACTTCACTGGCACAAGACTGCAGAGGTCAGCTATTTCAGTTCCATTCTTATTATCGTTTGCCACTCACGCCCAAACGCGACGTAGTGGGCATATGTTCTCAAGGTAAGCTGCCTTCTCCGATGAATCGTTCGCTTCGAGTGCTAACCGCCGGCTTCCAGGGCAACACCCAAGTCACTGCAGTCGATCAGAATGGAAAGAACTTCATTGGCACTGTGGTAAATTGATAAAAATAACTGATGAGATGCGTTCAATCTAACTTCACCTAGGGCCCTGGTGATCTTTGGTACTTCCCGCCTGGCATACCCCACTCTCTTCAAGCAACAGGCGACGACCCAGAGGGTTCTGAATTCATTCTGGTATGCGCCTAATAATTTCCGCTTATCACTACCTTGCGTTTGACATGGTCCTCCAGGTCTTCGATAGTGGTGCTTTCAGCGAAGATTCGACCTTTTTGCTGACTGATTGGATGTCCCACGTTCCGGTCGAAGGCAAGCGCTTTTTGAACTACTTCTAATTGCAACCCCTGTATCCAACGTCCTACTCTAGTCCTCGCAAAGAACTTCCAAACGTGTGTTCTATCTGCGCCTCATGAAACGTCACGCTCACAGTTTATTTCTGTTTAGAGATATCTCTGCATTTGCTCGTATACCAGCCGAAGAACTCTACATATTCCCAGCTGGTAGGTCCTCAATCATTCACTCCACAGTAGCCTCTGATTCCTTGAACGAAAGCTGTTCCGCCTGACAGCCAGCAAGACCCAACCAGCCCTGAAGGAACTGTTCCCAATCCTTTTACCTTCGCGCTATCGAAGGTTCCTCCGATGCAGCTAAGCGGCGGTACTGCTAAGATCGTGGACTCTACCACTTTTACAGTATCCAAAGCAATCGCAGCGGCGGAGGTCACTATCGAACCCGGAGCTATCAGGTCGGTCAAATTTTGTTGATCGATGACAATGATCTTGCTAATTCTGCTTATCGTTCATGTAGAGAACTGCATGTAAGTCATTAATTACCGTCATACATTCGTACGCGAAGCTAACTCTTAAACAGTGGCATCCCACACAGGACGAGTGGAGCTTTTTCATGTGGGTTCTTTCCGTGTCCGAGTCTATTCTTGTCTAAATAATGCTCTATTTTAGTGAAGGGCGTGCGCGAATGACGATTTTCGCTGCCCAATCCAATGCACGGACTTTCGACTATCAGGTGAGAGAAGTCGAGTATAAAGCGTCTCTTGCGGTCTAATGCCTCAATTCATAGGCTGGGGATATTGGTTACGTTCCTGCCACGATGGGTGAGAATGGCTTTCCACTTTGTATAGACATTTCCTGACCTCTTCCGTTATTAGGCCATTACGTCGAGAACATTGGTAACACCACCGTGCGTTACCTTGAAATATTTAACACGGCCGTTTTCGAGGATATTTCGCTCAGCAATGTTTGTGCTAGACCCAAATACCTATGTTAGCGAGTTACTGACCACGTCCTCCTTTCAGTGGCTTGCTTTGACCCCTCCAGAATTAGTCAAGGCCCACCTTGGCTTCGATGATGCGACCATGGCCCACCTAGCGAAGGTCAAGCCAATCGTTGTCGGTCCCGCTTAACGAAACAAATATGAATGCCCACACGTTGGCCACGAATCAAGACAATCCTTTCTGTTATATATTTGTACCTCCAGGCTCCTCCCTTTCCACACGACACGTAGGATATTTTTATGACTCGACAAGAATAAACGCTGTTCTAAAAATATCCAAAGCGTTGACGAAAAATCAAGTACCATTACCGTTGCGCTAGCTCCAGTGTGTTCATCGGGCTTTGAAAGGCTTCCCTGCTTCTATGAGCTCGTGGCTTCGGGAAAGATGGTGGAGTAACAACAGGGTCTTGCTAGATAACAACGCCCTTGCCCCGGAAGAGACTTGGTACCCTGCCTATAATCTCCCGCAGGAGGCCATTCTCCCGAAGTCTGACTGATAGGGAGGAAGAGCTATCAGTTGACATGTTAGATTCGAATTCTTGAGATAAAACAAGGGATTCGTTTTGGTGGTGGTGAACGTCTGTTTGAACTGATGCATCATGATACGATACGGGAAGGTCTTGCTCGCTTGTTGAAGCCCTGAAGGCAGTAAGAGGTCTTGTCTTTCGAACTCCATGCATGGTAGATCTTGTTTTAGATGCTTCAAAGTTCGGCCATGACGAGATCCTTCCCTGAATGCTGTCCTCAAAGTAACTTTCGGCCACAGGCGGCATGGACGGTCGTGGAATATCCTGCGATATCCTGGAAGCTGATATCGAATTCGCCGTGCTCGGGGTGATAAGAGATGCATCGAGAGTATCATCACGAAAATAGTCCAGGTCGCATAAGGAAGGAGGGAATTCCTCGAAGAACGACCCAGACGGGCTCAAGGGAATGAGGGGGAGCGTCGTTTCGTAAGATGATACGTTGCCGTCGCCAGTGCGTTCTCCCTGGGTCCGGCAAATGTCAGGGTGCCCTTCGGCATTGTTCTCAGGTTCGAGGTCGACTGGTTGGGACTCGAGAAGCGTGATGACAAGGACATCCTGAGATAGAATATCGAGCAGAGGCGTCGGGTCTAGTCCTGAGCCGTACTGGGAACTACGAGGAAGATTCGGAGGTTGGTCGGTCATGAGCAGACTAGTTTCAAGAGCGTGAATTGATGCGCAGGTTGACATAACATTGGTAACTTCAGCCCCCGTAGCGGAAGTGCCGGAGGTGCTGAAGAACTGGCTCTTTGGACCGGGTTCCGCATTGCTTGTGCTGAATTTGGGCGGTGATAATGATGTCAAAAAATCATCATGACAAATGCAGCCGTCATTCGTGGCGTCTGTCCGCATAGACGTAGACGCGCCATGAAGATCGAAAAAAGTGTAGTTGGCATCTAAACCGACATCAGGTCGTTTGAATGCACAATCGAAGGAAACAATAACCGTGACTTACTTTCAACAAAGGCAAGAAGGCTTTGGCTACCGTTGTCCGGGGTAGCATCAAGCAAGGACGAGGCCTGAACATCAGCAACAAGGCAGAGCAACTTAGTTCGGGGCGAGCTGACGATGGTTGATCCATCCGACAGAGAAGAGAAGAGAGAAGAAGAGTCCTTCGCTGGCAGGACCAGGAGCGTAGGGTGGTTTGGCTGGGCATTTATATCCTCGTAGTTGATATTTGTTTGAGCTTCAGGGTTGTCGCTCGTTGCTGCCGAAGCCACAAGATCTACCGTCAACTGAGCCCTAGAGGTGCCTAAAGCAGACCCAGATAAACTAGAAGGAGATGGCGGCACAATCGTCGGAGGGTTGCCCGAAGTATTTGGGGTATCTACCTGCAACAAATCTCGCTCGTTCATCTTCGTATCCACTCCCAGAAGGTGAGAATCTCCGTCATTACGACACGCTGACTGTGGCTCGTCATCTGCGATTGAAATCGCCGCAGCCCCAGGTCCGACCTGCGAGCCAATCAGCCCGGAAAACGAACCGGACAGCATCGTATCACGAGGCAAGCAGCCCCCATCTGGAGCGATTGTCAGTCGATCCAAGGCACCTGACGTCCATAAAGCAGTCAGCAGCAACGATTCTTCGTGTTCGAGAGGTCGATCGACACCGTCATCAGTAGACGGCAGGATAAAATGGTGTCGGAATGGCGTTTGGTCGATGGTGACTTCGAGCAAAGGTGTCTCCGGAATAGGAGACAGACGTGGGTGCTCTTGACAGGGGATAGATGTCCATTGGATGTCTGGATGGTCGTCAGGCAGCATAGTCGGTGGAGTCAGGTCCAAGGTCGACATCTCTGGACGTTCTGGACGACCAAGGCCAAGACAGACTGCTAGAGGTGTCGATGTTACGCCGGCTCGCAGATAACCATCGCGTCCTTCTGACCAAGGCGGAACGAATAACAAAGAGGAGGGGCATCCGGCATCGTTTATCGGCGTGTCATCAGCGATAGACGGGGTCTCCAATGCGGAGAAGGCAGCTTGGATGACATCAGCACGAGGTCGACGCGTGCATTCGGGACTGGAGTTGCTCGTCGCCCCGCTTTCGTGGCCAGAGGTTACTACTGCGGTGCTTTGAATATCATCGATGGACGCTGGTTGTAGACCATGGGTTGGGGTATGCGGAGATGATAGCACCGACGAAGGCAGTGGCAGGGTCGTCGTGCTATCTGGGGCCTGAGCTTGAGCTCCAAGATGACTCTCGGAGCCGTACCCGGAGCCATCGTCGTGGACCGTCGAGGACAGAATGGGGCTTTTTGCAAAGTCGATCTCCGACACGTCGCGATGACAGATTAAGCCCGATCCCTCCAATTCTTCTCTCTCGATCGAGCTCGAAGGAGATGAAGACGTTGACTCCGACCAGCTGGTCCTATCAGGGCATCCGGCGTTCAGGTTTCTTGGTTCACCTTGACCTTGGAGCCCGTTATGAAGGGTATCAGACCTTGCGTCATGGTCATGATCAAATGGTACATTCATTTCGCTGGTAGTTCCTGGAATATGGTGCGTGATGGGAGATATAGATGTAGATGGCGATGGCGATGACACGGGGGGGTCTGAGGACAGGGAAGGCTGGCCGTCAATGCTGAATGGAAGATCTCGCGAGGGCACGTTCTCGACGTCGGCTTGACTTTGCGATGCAGATTGGATTGGGCTTCGGTTAGATGGCCCATGAGCTGCGTCATAAGACCCTTGGAATGTAGGATAAAGCCTGAAAGCTCCGGGAAAGAGAGGAAACTCAATCTCCGAGGAGGAGCAATACGATATTTCATCATCCGACGAGCTTGCTTCGGCATCGTTGTGTCCGTCTTGAGAGTCGCCTGCTGGGGATGCTGAGGTCGTGTTTAGAGATAGATCGCTGGAGGTGATGGTCTGAGGCTGTAAGTTCATTTCTTGTTGATCTGAGATGATGCTTGGGGGCGGAGATACAACCGAAGGGCCGGATGACAATGCAACAGGAGCTTCTGACCGTAGGGCCGTGAAAATGTCCATCTCACTCCGCTGTTGTTGAGGAGGAGTGACGATAGGGTATAAAGGTCGCCACGGTGCATCTTCTGAATGGCGTGAGGATGGAGGATGCACTAGAAAGATTTCTGATGCCTCTAGGTTAGTCGCAACGTCCTCGACGGAGAGACGCGCGCTCTGATACGATGAGTCTTGTTCGCTATCCTCAGAGTCTGCGTCGAAATGATGTCCTTCTTCCTCATGGTCAGGTTCGAGATCAAAAACCACGTCTTCTTCTAGCTCTCCATTTGCCGGGAAGGAATCATTATCTTGAGTCGCATTCTGACGACTGGATCCTATTTGAGTCGCGTCGCGACGATTTTGTTGTGGATGGATGTCATCCCTCAGCGAGTCGAATTGTGCTGCAAGAGAACGCGGACTCCGTGAGTGAAGGGAAATCAAGAACTCGGGAGGAGCTTCTTGTAGACGCGTTAATGCTTCTCGAACTCCTTGGTCGCCTTGGGACAAACTATGGCCGCCGTAAATTTCAAGACTATAGAGAACTTGGCAATCATAACATACATCTGTAGATCCTGTCCTTGAAAATCAAGAAATGTCCGCCCGGATATTCCCTTCAGAATGATGTACATGGCGGTTTCGGATGCTCTAGGAGACGATATTCCTTTGACGAGTTCAGCGAGCTCGTAGTTGTCTAGGAGAGTAATCTGCACGGATTGTAAGTTAATCATGTGCACTCCAAGTTGAATATACCGAAGATCGTACAGGATGTGGCAATGGAGGAGGGCGATACATAGTTCGTGCCTGTTCCATGGCACCAAGTGGGTAGGAAACCCAAGATTTATGGTATTGATGGCGGCTGGTGGGGAGAAAACGTTACGGCGCTGGGGGGATCAAGTTGCGAGTGAAGACGACGCTGATTCCGCAAACGGGTCTTATGCTTTAAGACTCGTGCATTTTGTTCAAGAAGGCAACTAGTTCTTTGCCAACACGTGCAGACCACATGAGTGCTTTGGGCGCCTAGATAACGCTGCTTCAAGCTCAAAACGCGAATCCTGGCGAGAAAACTGTTCAAACGCACCAGACTGGGACAAGTGCCCTAACTTGTAGCGAGTGAAGGCCGTGCATGGTGCCCTAAATCATCTCTGTCGCCCAAAATGGGTTTCCATATACGTCTCAAAGATAACGGAGGCGTTGCATAGTGTAAAAGTTGCCTCGAGGCACTGGACGGTTCCAAGTCGCGTTGACACCGTTGAGCCCAGCAGGTTTCGGCACGTGGTTCACATCAACCTGCCCTAAACTCACATGCTCAAAACAAATTTCTCTACCCTTGCGACTCACTGAACGCCATCCATGACGATCTTCAAATGCTGTCCCTTCCTCCTGAAATTTGTTTCGCGAGCATGAAGCCAGGAAACCCATGATGGTACGTTCTCTGGCCATCTGTGCTTCTCTCGGAGAGATGAAAAATTTCCTACTTTTCTCGAGTGCGATTGTCATACCTAGACGTCGTTACGATGTGTGTTCATTTGTCATAGTTACACTGACCGGTTCTCTTCAAGTCTCAGTGCTGAAGCTTAATTCTGATTTTTCTCTTCCTCCAGGAAGTATGTTATCAATGCGCGTACCCTTATTCATGGGTCAGGATCTGGCGATGTGGGGTACTTATAAGGATGCCAGTGAGTTTACCCTTGTCGTCTTCATTTTTTCCGCGCTTTCTTCTTCATCACGATGATTTAAAATCATTCAAACTAGAGTATCTGAGTGCCGTCATGGTCCAATGCTTTTATGTACCAATCACTGAATTCTCTTCGTCATTCGTGCCAACCTTGACATACTTGCTGATCCTCTTCTTTAGTTCTCTAGCGCGTCCTTAGCTGAACATCCATTACGCGTGAATCCTGGATATGATCCAATCTGGTGAATGTTTTCCCCTCTTCCTCGAGTGATGATACAAAAGGAATTACCGCCTGAACCAGTCCTTACAAGGGGCTGGTTGTGACGACAATTCCATGGCTGTATTTTATATACGCTGACTCTTTCATCTCGTCTTCTCTATCAGCATCGCGTCCTAACCGATATTTTTCTCTTTTAGGACATTAATTCTTCGTCTTACGGTTCGTTCTATCCACCCCCGAAAGGCAAAGCTGGCCTGTCGAACTCCAAATGGTGAGCATTCATCCTTGCAAGCCCCTCGTATGATGTTTTATCACGACGGTCTTCGTATTCACCCTGCCGAAAATGCCCGCCACAGCTCAAACTTTCGGGCACCCCCTTCTGATGCCTCTTTTCTTTATACAACTTGTCGACGATTATGCTGATCGTTACTTCTTAGGTTCTGTCTTCACAGCCCTTTTCGACGTGTCTACCGTCGTAGATGCTTGGGGACGATTCAAGCGGATTCAGAGGACTCATAAGCCTCAGCTAGCTTGCGGGGATGAACTACCACATAGCATGTAACAATGTCAGGATTTTCGACTTCACTATAAGGAACAGAGATTCGTTTTTCAGCGTTGATCTGTCCTGGACGGCTTCGTTACATTCCCACCAAGCACAATCCATGCCCAACTTACATGTATTGAGACACTCACAGATCATCGAGACACCGGGGGTATTGTATATGACGCAGAAGCGGGTCAGGATGGGTCTTCTGCAGTATGTGAACCCTCTTGCAATGTGTCTCGACTCTTGAGTTCGAATGTGACGTGTGTACTGCCTCCAGCATGGAAAGCTGGGTCAATTACTGAGATGTTCTGTTATATGATGACGGTTGCTCGGATGATATCGATAGCACTGTAAGTAGTAAAATGCTCATCGGAAGATTCGGAGGACTTCTTTTACGCTAGGGTTAGTGCTGCTTTCCACCGTCGACTGAACAAGGCATTCTGAAATACGCGATGTTAGAATCTGACCTCAAGTGCAATGCACTGTACACCGACCAGCATCACTACCTTCTGGTACCAACTTGTGAGATTTGTATTGGATTTAGAACAGCTCGAGAGTGGCCTAATATGACTGGGCGAAGAACCTGCTATTCCCGACAACCACTGGAGGCGAATCCATAACAAGCTGACTCTCATTCGATGGGCATCCGTGTTCCAGCGTCGATGTAGTCTCAGCGGGAGCGGTACTTGCATTCGTAGCGATGAAGCGCATCCTGGGAGATTCAATAGACGAGGGCGACAGCGGGATCGTGACAATTCCCGAATGTTTTCTCCTCAGAATTTCGCGAGTGTTGAGCATTGCAAGAAGACTGTTGAGGTACACTGTTCGTAGATAAAGATGTTGGGATACGTCGAAGAGAGCCAAACTAGAGGCCCACATTTACTAAGGGCGAAGTAGATGCCCATGAATACGAACTCGTGTGGCCAAATGGCAAACTAGGAGAGCAGACAATCAGTTAACAGGAAAGAGCGCCAGCATACTAGAAAATTCGGCAGACAGTTACGAAGCAAGCCGTAGCGCATAATCTGCATGAATACGAATTATGGGGTTTTCCTTAATGGCGGTGATGATAGTCTGACACCTACGAAGTTAGGAGACCTATTAGATCGCGTCGAGGATGCACAGAAACAGGCGATGACGTACCGGTATTGATAGTATAGAGAATCAGTGCGTTGACCAATGAATCCGTCCTTTCGTCCTATCAAACCAGTCTTGACCATCCGACATGACATCTGCTTACGATTTGTGCCCAGAGCGACTTCGGTCCAAGAGGATGCAAAGGGAAGTGGTAACGAGGCCATCCGCAATGACACTTCCACCCAGAGCCGTGTACAATAACCACTTCTACGATGTCAGGTAGCTTTAGGTATTTGAGCAGAAGATAGACGCACTGATTCTAGAATAAGCCGAGCATAGGATCCGTCGACGAAACCGCGGGCAGCAAATGCTTTGAGATCAAAATTAAAATGAGCATGTAGGACGGCATGCCTTGTTGAACCGACCTATGCCCGTTGCTATTATCGCGAAAGGTCGTAAGGTAACATCGGGATGTGGAAGGTTCACACTGTTGCTTTACCGAATACAAAAAGAGAGAAGGAAAGCTGTGAAATCTTTTCAGCAACGCCAATCTCTCGTTAATTCACCGATAGAATTGCTTACTATCACGAAGAGGAGCAGGTTTTTGCGGCCACTCACTGAGGTATGAATCAGTAGCGGTTACAAGACATTTTTTCCGCACAGGGGCTTACAGAGCCAGATTCTCCTAGCAAAGACACTGCAGAGGACAACGGATATATGGTTTGATCTCGCCAGGACGCAACGACGGAGCTCGCCTTCTAACAATCAGGTCGCTAACGCACTACCAGCGAGTTAGATAGCAGGAGGCGGGATAGTGACGAAGCTTACTGTCAAAAAAACTTGGCCCTGAAAGCCGACGAAATAAGAATTGAGTCTCGAGAAGTTTGACAATACTCGCCAGTAAACTCCTGTGAAAGGGCTGTCAATCTGGGTGCGCGTGTGCTCCTAGATCGAAGCACTGACCACGTTGGTTCGCTCAAGGCAGCGACGTTCGAAAAATTGGCTATTAGGTACTGATAGATCCCATGAACCATGAAAATCAAATGGAGGCAGTCCAAGAACCTAGACAAAATTGCGTCAGCTATGGGCTCTCGATTTGAAGACTACGTAAGTACCATAAAAATGCGATCTGGTAAGATCTGAATGTGTCACAAAGGCTACGGACCCATCAGAAGAGCATACAAGTGACTTGAACGCCGGATTGTCTCGCATGTTTCCTTTGAAGAAGATGAAGGTCTGCAATGAGGTGATGCCGAACAGTCTTAATGGTAATTTCAGTGCGCTGTCCAAGCGATGAAGGCTAGATCGCTCACATCGCGGCAAACACCTCTCCAATGAAAACTGCGCCGAGGGTTCGATTGAGGTTGACCTGGGGCGAGGATGAGTCCATGGTGATAAACTCCTTCAGGCTCCTTCAGATTCTTCCACCACACGACTTTATTGCATTGCGAACTCCGAGGGCAGACTGTAGCTTTGCGAAGCTCCCAGGCGGCCGTGCATGCCACATATCACTCACTGTTCAAAAGATCAGCATCTCGTCGCAACAACAGTGAAAATCTTGAGCCTGAAGCACATGGAGCAGCAGTTCCAGACACGGGCAATCCCACCGGCACTATACTTGCAGCCTATCAGCCACTATCTTGAAACATTCATTAGTTAGGTATGCCATCCGGATCAAATAAGAGAGGCGTCGGGCCCGGGATAAGTGGGCACCCTATCGAGCGTGGGTACGCGGTATCTTCGCTCACAACATTCCAGGCGATGATAAGACGCGCTCGAAGTGTCGAAAGCTTCTTATATGCAGGCGCAGGACTGTGTTCTTTTCAGCCCAGCCCAAGGAAGAGGTAACCTAGGCATATCCCTCTTTGGTATGTTCTCAGACACACTCGTAGGTTTGATAAGGCTTGCGTCTTTCCAAACTCCAATTGTGCAACAGCTGTATTATACCCCTGTGAGCTTTTCGTGGAGACGAGCGATAGCAAGACACTCACTGGGATGTGAAATGGCGAGCGGAAATGAAAGATGCAGAGGCTGAAGTATATATCAGAAAGCAGGGGGGTGCTTGAACATAGTCTCCAACAGCCCTTATCCCCAAGACGAGGACACAATTTATTCAATTTTGCTTTAGAAGTACACGCCATAATCCTTCGACCATCCAATCCTAGTCCTGAAATAAGCCGAATGAGACGTTCAATGAAGCCAACAAAATATCAAGTTAAGGTCCTTACTCTAGTCTAATCCTGCATTGGCAGGAGCAAGCGCTCTCCGAGAGGGTGGGCCCTGCGTAGGACCGCCGAATAGAGAGGACATCATCTCGCCGAATGGGTTCGCAGCTTGATTCCGAGGTGGCGGAATCGCGAAGAACAAAGTAGCAATTTCGTTCAGATACTGGAAACATAGAGTGAGTACAGTGTGAGCACAATGAGACAGGCAGAACTGACTCTTCGCATCTCTGGCGTCGCCAGCAGCCCGACTTTCCCTTGATAAGTGCCACAGAGCCGTACCCAACTTTCCCTCATCACCTTATTCTGGTCGCCTTGAGCACGTTGGCACGTCAACACCGCCATTTGACAGAAATTGACAAGAGAATCCTTCGTCATAAATACTTCATCCTTGTCTCCAACTGCTATTGTTGAATCTGATTCCAATTTCGCTGAAGCAGGAAGTGCTGCGGTATAGTGTTTGATGAAGGTCTTCGCAGCTAGTACATTCCCGTTTATCAGATATCTGAACAAGGATGTCAGAGAATCGGGATACGACAAGGAAGAAACCACGCACGGTATGGTGCCCCTCAGTGCAAAAACGCCAAAGGCATTCTCAGGTATAGCCCATTGGATAAACATCTCTGCCAGAAGGCGAGCACTGTCCCGTTTGCCGGAAGAGAGAAAATGCGACTCAGCATTTTCGAACGATCCCTCTGTTTCAACGAAAGGTCAAAGCGCCAAAAGGGAGAAGGTGAGACTAACCTCTGTAAAGGAGCTCCCCAACGTAATGTTGTAAATCAGGATCTCCAGCTGGGCATGTTCCGTGCTTAGCTGACCATCTGAATGTCATTCAGCGGGAAAAGACGAAGATCGTGAAATCAACTGACGCTAATGACTTATCGATTGTGGTCTTTCGCCAGCCTCCAGAAGGACCGGCGAGGGCAATCAACTGCGTGAGCCTTCCTGGCTCAAAAGATTCAGACCCTTGCGCAGGAGAAGTAGGCCGGAGCATACCTTTGCTCTCCTCGCTTACCTCCTCTCCTTTTGCCTCGTACACGTCCAGAAGGAACCCAGCTAGATCAGTGCCACTTCCTGCCTGCCCGTTCTTGAATAATTCTCTGGCACTCTGAAAGAGAACATCGATCGCAGTGTCGTATTGGTTTGATTTGACATAGCGCGACGCGAACGTACGAGCCTTCTGGTGTGCTTCGTATGGCGCGGTTGGAATCTGGGGCAATATCGCGTTCAGAGCTCGCGCAGACATGCCGAAGACGACGTGTGGTTGTGGTTATGGTCAGGGGCAAGGCGGTGTTCACCAACCACCACCATCCCACTACCACTTCCTCGACGTTTCGTGCGATAACGAATTCATTGTACACAGTTCCGATCTTTATTTGGAATACATTCTCGATATACGATCTACTCTTTCCTCCTGCGAAACACTAGCACGATGTCTTAGGAGCAAATGGGAACTTCAAGGCGCCATTTGTGCCATAAATCCCATATCCGGGTTCTTGATTGTCGGAGTAAATGTGGGCAAACCACCCAATTCCACCTCCGGGTACATTTTTGAAGTAGGTGCACTGCTGTTCCAGAAGAGTGTAGTAGTCCTAGAGGGTTCAAGTGAGTTTCATCTCTTTTCATGAAAAAAAGCCGGCTTACGCGTTCGTTAGCAACGTTAGCAACAGCTGAGGGGCTGTTCGGTTCAACGCCAGGATATGTCACCGATGGCCAGCCATTCTATGAGAATTATGCAGCCTAGCCACCTTTCGCATGAGAAATACTGACCTGACTTAGGTATATCTTCTTTCCTTGCCCGTTGTTCACAAACCAGTTGATGTCATTCTGAACGATCGGCCACGATTTACTTGCTGTCGTCGATGTGAGTTAGTTCTTATGTTTCTGCAGCGGCTTTGGCTTACCTGTAGACGCCTGTGTCGAGAAGAATGGCAACATGTGTGCATCTATGAAGTCAATCGCGCTCATAACGGACATGGACCCGTCCGCTGTGCGCTAGATTCCCTTCAGTAATCATCGCAATAGAAGGAAATTTATGTATGTCATTTACCGATTGGTATCCGTACGCCATCTCACTTATCGTGACAGGGATATGAAGGCTTGTCAAATTCGCCTGTGCAGCTTTTACCTGGGTGGCAAGAACCTTCGGGTCTAGGGCCCAGTCATACAAAGGCTCCGATCCAAATTGTAAGACACGAGTGACGAATTTCGCTTTGGGGTTGGAATGTAAGGCGGCGAGGAGTACGTCTCGACGCGTCTTCCAAATGTTAGGGTCATCCCACCCAAACTAAAAAGAGGAAAGAATATTCAGGCCTTTTCATTCCTTATCGCAAACGGTGTCGGCGTACCCAAATGAGGGCATGAACCCCAACGCCAGCGCGCCACGCCGCATCGACCACGTCATCGCTGGGTAAGGTCCAGAATTATATTAGGTGTGGCACCATCGTCGACAATTGTGGCACCTACTAGAATCCTTTCCGATCGCAAGCGCCGTACAAGCGGACGTATCTGCCATTGAAGGTCTGCCTGATGTCGAGAAATTCTTTCCTCAGCTGGGTCAAGCTTTGACCTTGTCGATCGTGAGTTCCACTACTTCCATGGAAGCGCAAGGTTAAGACGTACATGCAGTAACTTCGTAACTAAACCCCATGAAAGCGTATTCGGTATCATAATTGCACCACCAGTTGTTTACCGAAGATGGCACGGCTGTGGGCATTGTGAATCCCAGAGCGGGAAAGCAGTTAGGTGGGGTGCCAGCAGCAGCAGATTGCACCTTCCGGTCGGTGAGGTCTTGGATGCTGAGTGTCCTGGTAGGCATATACGGATGGGCCACAGTGTGCAATAGCATGCGACTGAAGACCATTGTCGCGAAGATGAGATGAAAGGTGAGCGCCATTGTTGTGTGGTCTCCTGGCTTTGCAGCTCCTGAAGACGAGGTTTCAGACTGCTTATTATCTCCACCCCTTAAATACGAAAACCATTGCTAGAAAAGACACCCTCATTCAAGCCTTCCCTGGTCGAGAAGCAGATGATCATGAGGCTATCTCATCGAGAATGCGTATTCAGTTCTGCAGCAGAGCACAATGACCTGGTCGCCCGTCACGGTCGGTGATCGGTATGACTCTTCAAGCTCATCGGGTCGTATGGTTTTGCGTTCAGAATGGGGGACAAGCTTCTTCTGCTTATTGGAAATTGGTACGTACCTCTCTTGCCATGTGTTCTCTCTTCTAAAAATGAGCAGCTAAACTCTTTCTGTTTCGCGAAGACCTTGAAACAGACAAGAGCTTGGTATTGTGTCGCTTCCTAGTAGCTATACTCTCTTCGTCCCCCAAGCCCGACAGTTATGGGTGCTTGTCCTTTTGTGGTAGACATAACCTTACACGTCTACATCCGCCAAGTCAACCGGAACTTCTCACCGTCCCTGCCACCCAAAAGCGATTGTGTGCGCGGGGAAGCACCATGATCTACAGTGCACAAGACGGCCATGGCCGAATCGCCTAGTTCTAGTCTGATAGCTTCGCCTACATGCTCAGTACTCCGAGGAAGACGAAGCTCGAACAAAAACACGTAAGCTGTAGCGGTTCGTGTGCTCCTCCTGTCTCCTGACGAGTTTTGAAGTCGCTGCTCATCTGATGAAACAGTTTGAACAGGATTCCAACGTAATCGGATATGGCACGAAACCCTTCCTTGAATTGGCGTATCTATTCTTCCCGCCAAACTGTATGGGCAGCTTTCATCTATTGTCCCACGATCATAATGTCTGACAGAAGAACGATAGCGAGCACACAAGACATCTTCAAGGAACGCTTTGGGTCGCATGGAGCTGACATAGCACTAGACGGACCGCTCGTCGAACTTTGTCACGAGACGATTAATCCATACTGTTGAGCGTTGGCTGCATTCGCCGTTATCAAAATGGATCTAGTTCCCCTCACCTCAATTGTTATGTAAAACTCCCCCGACATTCAACTCGCAAAGAAATCGCTATATTCTGCCGACATAACAATTTGGGAATTCTTGAAACTTCGTCGGGCCTTTCTCGGCCATAGAACTAGCACCTGATCTTCGGAGCAAATGGGAACTTCAGACTTCCGTCCTTGCCATAAATCCCATATCCAGGCTCTTGGTTGTCGGAATAAATGTGGGCGAACCATCCAATGCCACGCCCTCCAACGGTCTTGAAGTAGGAACACTTCTCGTCTAGGAGAGTGTAGTAATCCTGTCGTAAAGTGAGTTCTGACGGTTTTGGCGTTTCCTGGAGGAAGCATTGGACTTACATGTTAGTTTGGAACGTCAGCGACGGCCGAAGGGCCGTTTGGCTCAACGCCGGGATATGTTGTGGATGGCCAACCATTCTGCAAGAGTCGCTTCAGGACTTCATCACCTTTTTGCATCAAGGAAGACTGACCTGACTCAGGTATATCTTCTTTCCTCGTCTGTTATTCACGAACCAATTGATGTCGTTCTCCACAATAGGCCAAGATTTGTCCGCTGTTGTCGACGTCAGTCCAATGTTATTTTAAACTTGCAATTTCTGCTCACCTGTAGACGCCTCAGTCGAGAAGAATGGCAACATATGTGCGTCGATAAAATCGATCTGGTCCATGATCTTCATAGACCCTCGTGGTTTGCTCTAGATCTTCTCAATATTCTCTTAACAAAGAAGGGCGTAAATAACTGATGAATTGGTAACCCCATGCCATTTCGCTAATCGTGACAGGAATATGGAGGCTTGTCAAGTTCCCCTGTGCTAGCTTTACTTGCTCTGCAAGGTCCAAGGGGGGAAGCGCCCAGTCGAAGAGGGGCTCAGATCCGAATTGAAGCACGCGAGTGACGAATTTGGCTTTGGGATTGGCGTGCAGCGCAGCGAGGAGTACATCTCGGCGCGTCTTCCAAATATCAGGGTCGTCCCATCCGAACTGCAAGTTGATGTTCATCAGCCTCTCGGGCTGGTTATCACAATTAAAATTAACGTACCCAAATCAGAGCATGAACACCAAGGTTGGCACGCCAGGCTGCGCCCACAATGTCGTCGCTAGATATGGTGTGTAAGTCCCGACCACGAGGTCGTCTCTAGGTAGTCTACGCTCTCCTATACTTACTAGAAACCACTACGGTCACAAGCCCCATACAGCCGGACATATCGGCCTTTGAAGGTATATCTGATATCGAGAAACTCTTGTCGCAATTGTTCCAAGCTCTGGCCTTCGAGATTGCCCGTAAGTCCCATTTGTTACACCGACAAATGGCCGCGACCTACATGCAGTGACCTCGTAGCTGAAGCCCATAAACGCGTATTCGGTGTCATAGTCGCACCACCAGTTGGCCACTGAGTGGGGGATGTGGAGGGGCATCTTGAACCCGATGGCGGGAAAGCAGTTCGGCGGACCACCAGCCTTTCGTGGGACCAGCTCCTGTTCGGTGAACGTCTTTGTGGGCTTGTACTGACGGGAAGCGGCGCCACCCAACAGAACGCTGCCCAAGACCGTCACAGCAAGGATGAACTTGGAGGCAAGGGCCATTATCTAGAGGACTCCTGACTTCGCAGATGCTGAAGACGAGTTTCCACAGCGTCGCGTACCCGGTCCTTTAAATAACATGGCCCTGGGTTCAAGTTGGAAACCCTTGTTCAATTCCCCTTTGAAGAAGCTCTTCGGAAAGGCACCTTGAGCTCCGGTCTTCCACACACCATGCTTCTATGCGCATCTGGTCCGGTGGAATACAGATTCCAGGTAGCTTCTACCAGGGCATGGCTCGCTTGCAATATGTCCTCTTCTATTTCTCCCTCAAAGCCTATCTGCTGAGAAGATCGCACCGAAATATCACGAGATTTCCTGCCAGACATCCTGGCTGGCAGTCAGTGGATATGACAGGCATGGTTTTATCCTTTTCGGGTAGATATAGCCATAAATGTCTATACGTCACAATCGACCTGTTGGCACCGTCGTCTTCCCAGTCACCATCTAGCATTCGCGATATAGAGAACCACTATCCGAAGACCACGAGTCCAGCCAAACCTCCGTTCCGATCTAGCCTCATTCGCACGTATGCCGCGCGACGAAGGTCGCGGAGGGGTTGGGACTCGGGAGATGCATTCACCCATGTGCTCCTTCATTGTTCAAACTACATGCTCTGTCTCTTCTGATAAGGCTTCAATTATCCATATAGGTAACTTACGCAACTCGGCCCTGATTTTCCGACTGACGTCGGACTTCTCTTCCGTCTTTCTAGACAAGGTGTTCATCCCGCGGCCCGCCAATTGACCCATCACGGTACACTTCTGAGTCAGTGAGAACACAGTCTTCTACAACGAATTCAACGCGCCACATATACTCGACGATCGTGATGGTAACAATTACGTCGGGGCACTGGTGTAGTTCTCGCGGTGTTTTCACAGAGCCTACTGGCGCCGCGTGAGTGTCGTTATCGGGATTGCGAGGCGCACGCCGCGGAAAGGAAGCGACCATCGAGGGGAACACCAAGCGAAAATTCGTACGGCCAAAATGTGACCCAGCGCCTCCTTACTAAAACTATACATTGGTGATTGTGCGTACCAATGCCAGAGTACGAGTGAAAGATCATGCATAGTGCGGTAATCCTCAATATGTTGTAGTGCTGAACCACGCCGTGTCATAATGCACCCAAATATCAGAATGAAAAAGGAGCTCAAACGGCGCTGTCGTCCAAACTCGTCTTCGACGCATGGCCCCAACGCCCTACATCGAGCAACCCCCAATCCCCCGCAGAATTCCTGCTGGTACTCGGCTCTCCCATCCGAATCTTGTTAAGCGTGGGCGCCTCGCTACTTCCCGTTCTCCCTGCGGAGCTGGACTCAGTGACGTTGATACTTGGGTTGACACTATTCAGCTTGTCTTCGATCTTCTCTATGGGGTCTGAAGGCGACTTTCTTGGATCCGTAGTTGCTTGATCGGGATTGAGCGTCCAGTATCGATAGCTGGAGAATAAAGGTGGTCAGTGAGTAGCGTATCTTCAATGCCTCCGTCCACTCGAAATCTGATAGGGATTGGAGAAGCAAAGCTCAGAGGAGGCACATTACTCACTGCTTCAACACTACATAGAAGCCAGCTCCAAGAAGAGAGCCGAGGAAGGGGCCAACCCAGTACTAAATGGCAGGGAGTATGGTTAGTGAAGAGGGATTTCGGCTTCATCGGGACTCAGGAGAAGGTGCTCAGGAGGCGACGAGGCGAAGGTGACTTACCACCCAATGATTGGGGTCGTGGAACCCTGACACGGCCGCTGGCCCAAAGGACCTCGCCGTATTCATGCTCGCTCCTGTGTAGTATACCGCAAAGCTGAATAGAAGGAACGCTCGTCAGGATCGGGAGAGACGTTATTGAAGGCGGAGACCTACAGATGGCAAGCGAACAGTGTTAAGCCGATCCCAACCTAGCGTCGTCCTTCGTTCAGTTTTCTAAGCCCGTCATCTAGCAATGCTGGGTAGCTCACCGGCGCGAACGGTGTGGCGTGATGCTTCTCTGCTGCCAGCATAAGCACAGAGAGGACAAGCGCCGCTGTGATAAACATTTCGATGAAGACCGCTTGAGCGCGACTCGTTCCATTTGCAAGGAATGTGCTGTGAGATAGGGAAAATTATTGTGAACTTCTCTCTGCAGAGAAAGAAGATAGCTAAACGTACTTGACAGAGAGGGGTGCAGAAGTCAAGCCGCGCACAATAGCCGCGGCAGCTATTGCGCCGGATAGTTGGGCGACGCAGTAAAGGACGAAACGGACAGGCTTCAAGCCCCCGATCAATAACAGAGCAAGGGAGACGTTCGGGTTGAACAAGCCGCCAGTTACACGGAAGAAGAGCCAAGCAGAGACGAGGAGGCTCATCCCCATGCAGGTTGATATGTACAACACTTGCTCGACTCCTGAAGATGGGCGTCTGATATCATCGCTTTCCGCGGTCGCTGCTTGGATACCGCCAAGACCGAAGAGGAGGAAAAAGGTAGTTCCGACAAACTCTACACCAGCAGCTTTGGAGTCGTCACAAATAGTGTCAAAGAGGCTCGCCCAGCAGGAGGTCGTAAAAAGGCATTTTATACGCGTAGTACACTGTCGCGCAAAAGACGTGTCCGCCATATGGCATATATAGATGGCAATGAGATTTTATCCGTCGAGAAAAAGTGGGAAAGAAGAATACGAGGATGATGCAGTTGAGGAAGTCATCAATTATGTTGCTATTGCATTTAGAACTAACGGGACAATTTTTGCCGCATTCTGATCCGTCCTCGCGTCTGAAGGGGGGCGGTTACCACTTACCAGCCTGCCAGTCACATCCTACTAAGTTCCCCCAAAGTTCCCGCCATCTCCCTATAAAAGTCACGAATACATTTCATTATATAATAATATCCTATTATTTAGGATGGCAGAGTAAACTATAGTCATTCTCGGAGGGGCTGGAGAGCTTCGATCCAACGAGCTCAGGAACACGGCGGCTAATTTTGTCACCCATCAACCACAATAGGACCAAACTTATCGAGCGGCCCGTGAAGCCGTTCTGCCCCTCAAGATTCTCACGATAGCCTACCTGAACCATGCCAAGTCTTTCACAAGTCTTTCGCCTTTCTTTCCCCTCTATTCAACTTCCAACTGATTTTCGCGATCTTTCAGGCTGGGCTATGCAGAAAATATGATGGAACAATCAAGAAATAATACAGATCCCTGGAAATGACCTCAAGTAACGTTTGGTGGGCATCACTCAGGCTGGCTGAATCATGCATTGTGGCCCAGGCCTTTCCTAACGTGAAGACTTCGCTCTTCAAACTCCAAGAAGCCCACCTGCTGAACATTCAGCAACGTTTAATACAATCGACGTCGCCGAAGTGTGATGTTCTTGGTGTAATACACCGTTGTGAGCGGTCGATTTGAAGAACCAGGACGCCTTATCGACACGGCTGGATACCTTTGTAAGTCCCCGTTGCCCATCCAGAGTCCGCGCTGCCGCATTGTGGATGAAAACATCTACTTCTTGACAGATCTTGAACCAGAGCGCGATGATTATCTACTGACTGCGGCATCCACTCTACCTTACATCATCCTTGTCAGCGCTCTTGTGCCCTTCGGCCTTTTAATGACCACCGTGGGGACAGCCCATGAGAGAAAAGCCCGGCACTCCCATCTGCTTCGACGCCGCGCAATATGCTCCGACCTCACTCACGTCGTTCAAGGGGCATGATTGACTGATCTTGCTTCTTCGTTTGTCCCAAGGAAAGGTAGTCAGACAGGCGAAGCTTGCCAGCATGCAGCTTGGCTACACGGTAGATATATAAAGGATTCTCCTGTCGATCGAGGCCTTCTGCTGTCTACTCCGAGCCATCGCTTTCATCATGGCAAGTCGTCTTCGCGTCCCTAATCTCGACACTACGTTGGGAGCAGCCTTCCTGGGGAGCATTTTCGCTGCAATGTGAGATAGTTCATGTTCTATGTCGACTATCTCGCTGATGTCGTCTGTCCTCAGCCTCTATGGTGGCGTGTGCATACAGTCTTTCATTTATTTTCGGAGAAGTAAGACGGATCGCATATACTTCCGGATGATTGTGAGTAGATCATGCAGCTGACGGCTCGGACTCCCTCTCACTTCTACTCTACAATAGATCGGTGCCTTATGGTGGGTTACAGCTTGCCCGACGCTTGTTCCGAAATCTGTAAATCCTGTGTTACTGTTGTAGGGCACTCGACTCTCTTCATCTGGCATTCGTTACACATGCTCTCTATTACTACCTTATCAAGAGCTACAGCAACCCGCTCGCTTTGCTTGCTCCAAACTGGTTCGCCTTATTGTTTTCCTCCAACAGGAAGAACCTGATCCCATCCTCTTGCCGGGCTGTAGGAGCATCATGGTAAGTGCTATTCTCAACCTCATTGCGCCATATGATTTATCATCGTTGTTGACAGTCGCAAGTATTTGTCACTGTAAGTGCCGACACCTTGCTCGAAGTTCTCCTTGCCTGATACGATACCTTGCAGTGTATTAGCAATGTCACCATGAGAGCGTACGCCAGCTTCTATCGTTTTATTATTCTCGACTTAACGGCTCCACCAGGATCTACTGTCGGAGAGTTTGGAAGCGTCAGTCTCTCCGTCCTATACCCGAACAGGATCTGACCGCGCTCTAGTTTCTCACAACATTTTTGTCGTGGTCTTGATCGTAAGTGTTAACAGTATGCCATTGCTCGTTATGGGATTTGACACATTATAAAGGCCTTGACTACACTGCTGACTTTCAGTATGAAACTTCATTCACGATGAAAAGAATTCCATACTAATGCTGGCCCCTTCGCAGGTTCCGGAATTTGTACGTGAAACATACTCTTATTTTCTCCAGACCAATCAAATTATTGTAGCCTTCGGTATTTTAGGGTGGGCATACCCTTAGTTGTTCTATCCACCTCCCTTATCTTCCCCTCTTCCAGATGGGCAGAAGGAACCTTTGCAAGGTTGCACAACATATCTGTAACTACCCGTCCTCTGTTCCACCGCGTCGTACTTTTGGTGACATTCCCGCTCCGCAGTACCTCATGTATACCTCTCTCGCGAGCGCCGTCGCGGCCGACGCCCTCATCGCCACCTCAATCTGCGTTTCCTTATCACGTTCTCGGACCGGATTTAAGAAGTAAATTAATTTCCTCTTTTGCAAATTCGCCCCTTTTCCTGTCTCCTGACGATGCCTTTAGAACGGATTCAATGGTCACTGTCCTGATGCTCTACGCAATCAATTCGAGCGAGTGTCACTCGTCTGGCCCTTTATTTCTATCACTAATACTTATCCTGCGGGGCTTAGGTGGGCTTACAAGGTCGGTCCAGATAACGCTAGGATCCAACCATCCGATCATCTTACTGACACTTCCTTTCATTAGCATTTGCTCCCTTGCTTGCTTCATCACATACGCCGTCTGGCCACTGGAGTTCATCTTCATCGCTATATACTTCTGCTTGAGCAAACGTACGATCTACTCTCCGTTTCTTCAGGCTTCTGCTGGCTGACCGAATCTTTCTAGTTTTCCTGAACAGCCTGCTCGCCATGCTAAACGGCCGCACGTCGCTCAAGAACAAAGTCACGGTCGTTAATGGCGACGGCTCGTTCAACTTCTCCACGAACCTGTTGTCGAATCTCTCTTCGCAGTCTGCGTCTACGAAAGCAGTGGACTACCCTTCGTTCGCCTCGAAGGATGTGTATGCCATGGACAAGGTCCCGAAAAGCGTAAGTCGACCTTCACTATCTTTCTCTTGCCTCGGCAATGAAATTAAAAATATCGTTTCTTCCAGCCTACTATGACAATCACGGTGAATCGACATGTAGAAACGAGTTCTGCTGTTTGATTTCAGCTCCGGTTAGCTGATGGATTGCCTCATGAATTGCAACTGTATGATTCGTATGAACGCCCTAGAGGATCTGGCCTGCTGGTGCCTTGTATATTGTACCTAAAAGAGGGATAAAGGAAATCTGTAAATGTGATAACGTTTTCCGCAATGAAGTGAATCTGAATAGGAGAAATCGTTCCAACGATTTCCTTAGGCCCTTCGATAAATTGTCCCAGTTCCTGGAAAATTTAGACTTTGTGGAAGCACTACTCACACTGTCTCATGGGCACCATGCGAATGAGAGAACTGGAGACCATGTTGGGTAACCAGGGTCTTAAGCTTTTAGTGGAACAGGAAGAAGGTTCTCGTTGCCCACGAAGTCTTAGTCAGGGCGTTGGAATGTCCTTCATTGCCCTGTTGCCCGCAAATCGCGACAGTGGAGGGTCGCCAGGCCTCCAGGCAACTTCGAAGAGCCGGAGCCTGCCCGTGCAACCCCGGGCATGGGACGTCAAGCCAGGAAGGTATCTCCATACGACGGTGTCACCTTGCATTCCAGTCGAAACTTGATGTGGGCGATGCAGCAAACGGAGATGGGGAGACGAGGAACAGGAACAGTCGGTGCCGAAATAAAATTCCCCTTTCAAATAACATGTCCATCTGCATGTGTGTCTAAAATATGTACACCTAAATTACCGGAGAGATAAGTTATCGAGTATAGTTCGTGAAGTTGCGGGTGCCAGCCGAGGCGGGTGGCGATCGGCTAGAATTTAGAAGGCTGAGCTAGACAGGGATCGTGGTCGTGGACGAACTGTTGACAGCATGAACAAGAGACTCCTGGGCATACAATGCGGAAAAACGCTCACAAGAACGCCATTTTGTCAGACGAAGGGGTATAATGTGAGGTCGTCAGGCGACTGAAAATAGAATGGGTATCGAGTTCATTAGCTCGCCAAATTCAACAACCCAAGGCTCTAGGGTTGATCCCCGGGTTGCCCTCATAGCTACGTTGGATGCTCATCGCATCCATGCCTGGGGCAGACGCGCCGTTGATCATCTGGCCAGTAACATGAAGCACCGGTGGGTCTTCTGCATTGACGAGTCTTCCTTCTTTCCTTAGGCAGTCAGCAACGAGGTTGAGGAATGGCCCGCCCTCACGCTCGAGCGTGTCGAGCATCCGGTAGTCGTTAAACTGCAGGTTGTACTCCAGGCCGTCGCAGAAGTCGCGGAGGTTGCGGATGTGGGTTTGCATTCGTTGGTGGTATATCTCGGGTAGCGATGGCTGTGGGGGCTGCGGAGGATGTGTGGGTTGGGTCTGTGGAATTTGCTGGGTTTGAGGTTGCAGTTGAGGTGGCTGAGGGTCCGGATTGTCCATGTGGTGGGTGGGAGCCATGGCGTGAGTGTGGTCGTTCACGCTCAGTGGAGGCGGAGGTTGTTGGGAAATATCGTGAACATCGTCTTCGACCGGCTCATACGTTTGGGGAGGGGAATTATCGTCATCTTCCTCGTCCTCTTCCTCCTGAGGTGCAGGAGGCGGAACCGTCTCCATCCCTGAATCGCCTGCACTCGATATTTCCGGCTGGGTCCATCCATAGCCCTCTAGGATGGTCTGAGCCATATCCGGCGGGAGGTTCTGGTCCACGTAGGGTTCATGGGCGAGGTGGTGATGCATTCGGACCGTGATAATGCGTGTTCCAGGCACCTGTGAGTCGCGCGAGGAGATGAGCAACCGGCTTCTGCACGGAAAGCGTGCCTTTGCCATTGTCTCCCCGGCGCTTGTCATGCGGGGTTTGTAGAGGTTTCCCTGTGCCTGCCGCGCAGCCTTCGACGATTTCGAGCGATGGGCATCGTCTTGAGAACACCAGAACCGTGTCTTGTGCCCGTTCGTCAATTGAGGGTGGTCCTTCACCCTAGCCAAATTTGAACATTTCTGTGAAACTGACGGGGGTGAACACGCACGTAAATCGATAACCCGTCGTTTTCCATATCTCATTCGCCACCGTCTGAATCCTCTCCTTGTGGGTAGTGTTGGGATCTAGCATCTCGTACATCCCGTGGAAATCGACATCGGCTGTCTGTTTGAAGCGTTTTCGGAGCGCCGACAGCAATTCGTCTCTACTTTGAAACAAAGTAGTAGCCTACAATGAACTGAATCATCCTGAAGGTTTGCGATGCTTTCTTTACTCACCTCGCGGGCACCTGTCCCCTCATCTTCCGACGTCCGACGGGCTTTCCTGGCTACTCCTGTTTCATTTGGGCCCTTCTTCCGTTTCGCGTTCTGAAATCGAGCACCACCCCAGGATTCGTAGGTACTTGTCCGATAGTTTTGATCTATGACTGGTGGCCCCGTTCCGTGAAGTGGTCTTGCAGTGACGATGGCATGGAAACGAGACGTGATGGTTGGCGCGCTCATTGTGTCCTTCTCATAAATGGCGGCTCAACGTCGATAAGCCTGAGCACAGCGCTTTCTGGTAGGACGTCGTTGAACAATGTGGGTGAGAATTTGGGGTTTGTTTGGCCTGTCGCCCCTAAACGAACACCAAACACCGCTTCATTCGAAACTACCATCTCGTCCCGCCATGCCTCCAGCACAGCCGTTGAAGGTCCCTGCAACTCCCTCAAAGTCCACGGAGGCCGACAAGGAGAAAACGCCTGTTGCAAACAAGCAATCCGGACCATCGAAATTGGGTACAATTGCACCAAACGACATCTCTAGCCCTCATGAACTCACGGCTTTTGTGAGTCAGGTTTACGACAATTCCGCGCTCCTTGCCTCATGTTCCATAGGTCGAAACTCTTCTTGAGACGCTGGATACCAAGTTCGACGATATGTCGAAACAGATCCTTGAACGAAGTGCGCTTTCTTGTTTGTCAGATCCCTGGCATCTTTCATGATGAGAGAGCAGTGAACCAGATGTCTGAGCGCGTAGATGCGCTCGAACTATCGATCCAAGACATCATCAACGGAGACATCAGTGTCCCACAATCCCCTTCGCCAGTTCCGGGGACCCCAGGTGGCATTCGGAGGAGTGATAGCGGATTACAGTAGTGCATGGGCCCAGAGTTTCGTGATTAGAACTATGAAGGTCCGTTACGCGATACTTGCACTGCATGTGGAACCCTCACTCACTTCTCTTTGGTAGTTCTCGGCCTTGTTCTATCTATGGTGGGTCAGGACCCGAACAAGCAGCATATCTCCTGTCTTCTTGCTACCCATTGACCGCCGTCTCTGGAAGAACACCGAGTATGTATTCAATACTCACTGGCATGAAGAAGCCCAACACGATGGATAGGCCGTTGGTCGGCGTGTAAGTGTTCCAGGGAACATTCCTCCCGAATCCAGTGGCAGAGCATAGAAGGATCAACGTCATTCCCGTGGTTCGATTCATTCATCCAAGTACAAACGTATTTGCATGTTGATACATACGTGCAGAACAAACACTTGCCTCTCTAACCGCCAGGAGTTCGTGAGTGCCAAACGTCCTAGCCGATCCCGCGAAGTTTTTGTTGACGCAGGGTCCGCATGCACAAACAGGGACATACATTGGTCCACAACTCCCAACGCAGCAGATTCTTCCTCAAACAAACGACGATCTTCGAAGTTCCTTTTCGCTTGAGCACAGACTTTCCCGGCGGTGCATAAACGACAGATTCTAGCCAACAACCTTTTGCTCAGTCCATATGGTTTCCCATCACCCCAGAGCAACGTAAGGCCGATGGTGAGCCGGCTCCTCATCAATTGATCCATTCTGGCATGAGAAGCCAGCTACTTAGTGCCGTAGAACCCCCTCACCCGCTTGGGATGAACGTATTTCTGGTTCTCACCCAAATTTCGTCCGTCTGGAAGGCTTCATTTCTATCTGATCCTTGGAGTGGGAATGGTGACGGTCCTGGATGGACAGGAACGGCGATTCTCCAAAGAGCTGAGAACGGTGCTGCGTAGGGACCCGTCCAACGATGGATCGACGTGACAACCTTTGATAGTATAACGGCATATATTTAGCCTCTTTGGGGGTTCTTTGCTCGAATCTTAGTGAGAAACGTCTCCCCACCTCTCCTTGGGTGCCCGGAATCACCGTCTTCGCAATGGGGGTGCTCTTATCTTTCAAACGACGCGCTCATTTGTTTGTAAAATTATATACCCCCAATTTCTTGCGACGTTGGATCGGGGATTGCTGGTGCGTCCTGCATTTTTTCGATCAGATGATGGTAGACGAGACGCGCTGTGGTAAGTCGTCATGCTGAGGTGAGATGGAATTGAAGGAGGTGCACGGATCGAGTTAGCGCCCGCAATAAAAAGAAGGTCGTATGATGGGCTGTTCAATAGGAAGACGGTGCTTATCATTGAGTAATTGTTACCCCCTTGTAGCTCAGGTGCCGGTTTCTCGAGAGATGCTGGATGAATAGACCACCAAGCTCAATGGGGCTGCTTCTATACGGAGAATCTACGCGGTGCTTCCTATCTCATGCCCAAGGGCAATAGTTTTCGACGGCATCTGGGGGCGAGACCGTGCAGACGCTGAAATGCCCTTGCTTCCAGGCTTACACAAGGCCATGAAATAAATTCCGCGATGGTCGATAACAAGGTCCTGTATTCCTTTTAATCGATTTGACCACAACGTGCGTGGATTTATAGAGCATCGACCTATCTCGTAATCCTATCCACAAGGAGACTCGGCGGCGCTTTTCATGTGCACGCATGCCCGTGTCGATCGGGAAAGATTCCATGTCAGCTGAGTCCACACTGCATTACGGCGCTTTCAGCCTGCTACTTGCGTAACGGAACGTCGAGGGCATGTGAACCCACCATGCAAGTTATCCAAAGCACACTCCTGGGACCCATCAAAGCAGGCATCAACATGAGGTGCGTCAAATGCGACAGAGAACCGAGATTCTTGGCCATCTATCTCCGCTGAAAGTTATCTATACTTCGAAAGTCTTCAGGAATAGAAGGATGAAAATAAAACCTGCGCGAACGGAGGTAGATGCGAAGACCAATATCACGGGATATGGAGCCTCTGATAAATCCATTATATCAATTACCAAGTTGGCGCTTATTTTCTCCACGCGGGGTAGGACAGGCCTTCATCGATTTTGAGATATACACTGGGAGGATGCAGCATTCTTATCTCCTTGCAGGCGCGTGCTCGGAACATGGCTAACGATTACAATCTGTGGAAGTACACTCCGCTATCTAGGCTCTGTCTATGAAGGCCATTCACAAGAAACGTGGGGTACAGGCGGTCTCCCATTCATTCCCTCACTAAAACCTAATTTCTCTTCATCTTGGATATGAGTTTGTGAAATGAACAGAGATTGAACATGTAAAAGAACTGACGGACGACATGAGATGTGACAACCTTCTTTTCCCTTCTCTCTTCTAGGCATTGGTGATTTCCAGAATTGGCGAATTGTAGTTTGACGTTTCCTAGGTATGGTTTTAAGCTCGCGAGAAACGGTGGCGCAACACTGAGAACGCGCGATTGTGATTGTTTCTTTTCTCGGACGAGGTTGCGTCTCGATTCCCTTGTGAAAATCCAAGATTCTGACATAGGTAACCTGTCGCTCCTGTCGTAATTTTGGATTTCTTCACACCGCCGCCCGGCTTGCGGAATTTCCTTTCTAGGAAGAGCGGCCGGAAAAGGCATGTCGATCCCGGTCCGATTCGGCGCTAGTGATCTTCGCTTACGCACAAGTTGCCTTCTTTCACCATCATCTATCCTTTCCTCCCATCCGCCAGGTAAAAGCTATGGATAAACTCAACATTGAAACGAAGGTAACGGTATGACTCAAAAGCTCCCCACCCTACACTATCTCCTGAAAGTATAACCTTCTTCCTCCAGTTACGGGATGAATATCAAATGCCTGTGTTGGGCTATGGTATGTCTAAGTCGGCTGAACACGGCGCTTTTTCAATAACAGGAGTTCGTTCCGAATTCCATGACGAAACAGGCACCTATGAGCTGGAGGGAAACGAGGCATACGAGGGGGTCTTATCGGCTCTTGAGGCATGTATAACGTGCTCGAAGTTTCTTTTATCGGCCCTGAAATCAACTACTGACTGACCTGTGGACGCGCGTACAGGCAGGGTATCGACACGTCGTACGTTCACTTCGCCCTCTGCCGATTCGAGATACTGTCGATCTAACTTCTAATCCATCTACTCTCCCTCTCATTATCCTTACTCCCCGCCCGGCACGCTGGCAGGATTCCGCCACATGGTATGAGAACGAACGGGAGGTCGGGCAGGCCATCCTCGACTTCTGCAGGACCTCCGGCACGCCGCGAGGAGACGTTTTCTACACGACGAAACTAAAATTGAACAACGGGTACGAGAATGTCAAAAAAGCGGTCCAGCGCTCTCTCGATGTGTGTGGGCTCGGGTACATCGATTTGTATCTCGTACATGGGCCCATTGGGGGTCCGGAGGCCCGGAGAGAGAGCTGGCGTGCGATATGCGACTTCCAGAAGGAGCACCCCGGGCTCTTGAGGAGCGTTGGTATCAGCAGTTTCGGGATCCGCCACATGAAGGAAATCATTGAATCGGGCCTGCCTCTGCCTGTTGTTCATCAAGTACGCACCGCCATGTCCCCCTCCTCGGGCCCTCGTATCAAGCAACTGATTAAATCTCGCCTTTGAACAAGATCGACCTGCATCCTTTCATGACCCGCACCGACATTGTTGCGTTCTCGAAGCAGTACGGCATCGTCATGCAGGTAACTTTCGACATATGACAGTTATCTCCGAGTAGCTCGCTGACGGCTTGACTACGTCCTCAAGGCCTGGGGCCCACTTGTGCGCGGATATCGGTTCGATCACCCGACACTTGCCAAACTCAGTACAAAGTACGAGAAAGACGCAGCCCAAATCTTGCTGCGGTACTCTCTCCAAAAAGTATGTCGAGCGGACTCATCATATCGTCTACGTGGTAGAAGCATGCGGGCTAACGTCCCGATTCCCGTTTGTTTCAAGGGCTATGTCCCGCTGCCCAAATCAGCGACGAAACAGCGAATCATTTCCAATAGTAAAATTTTTGACTTCAGTCTGACCGAAGAGGATGTTGCAGTCCTCGACGCTTTAGACGAGGGTCAGTCAGATTGTTTTGAGCGATCTTCTGATTCTTGATCGCAGTTCCTTGCATATAGCTCTGGTAACTGATTGGGACCCAACGGACTGCGCATGAAACCGGCACATGTCCTCTGGGTTCTTCAGCGGCATCTTTTCTCCATCGACGATTGATGTCCACCCGAGGCCACACCTCCTGAACGCCTTCCCTCTCCCGAGGACGCTGATCGTAACCATCGAATATGATCTCTTATGGATCCTCAACCGTCGTCGAACAGCCAGGACGTAAATAATCGCTCTTGTCTTGATCACCAGCTGGCAAATCACGATGAACTCAACCCTCGTCATCCAGGCATAATAAGCCGGGGTAGTTATAATCTATATTATCGGGATCAAAGGCAATATTTAAGGCGCGATCATACAAATCCTGTCAGTTTTCTCCAAAATGCGGGGGTGCGTAACATCTCCATCGCCGGCGCCGAGTTTCCAACTCGAGCAAAAAGGGATCTCTGGCGCCGTTTTCCTGGAATTATTTGGTCAGATATACTTTTCGCGGTCTCTTTTCTTGACGTCAATGCGACAAAGTAGGTCTGGACTCGGAGCTGAGCAGGAGAGCATTATGCTTTCTCTCATTTTATCTCCAGTTATGAATTGATCCGTCGCGCCTCGAGGTGTCCCGGGCGAAGCATGTTGGCCCTCCCGCGCTTTGGTTGGAGCGCGAGGGTGTCCCGCCGGACTTTCTCTCCCTCCAGAATATTTAGTGGGCCGCCTAGATAAGTAGCGGAGATGATCCTTATCTCCTTGCCGTGTGAAGGTGGCGGTGGTGTGGTTATTTAGTTCACCCAAAGCGGGGAACACAGGGTCGAATACCCATTGGCGGTAGTGATAGGACAGGACATGGCTGATAATAAATTTCACGACTGGACTTCATCGGCCTGAGGAGCCGAATAATTCGTCTCATTCGAAATGCGAAACTTATTTCTCTTCTCTCCTGGAGAGAAAAGACCACGATATATCCAGCGGTTTCTCTCGGCCGACTCAAGCCCTTTTTGACCTCTGCAAAGTCGCCGTCGTGCCTCATGGCCATCCAGAACAAGAGTCTATAGCAGGAATGGTAGGTCAAGGTCGCCGATCTGTCCAATCACAGCTGCGTCGCTTTGAATCCGCGTTTACTGACTACCTGCAAGGCTTGCTTTCTCAATGAATAGAGTTGAGCACGACTTAGCCTATCCTTCTCTATTGTCACTTGAAGAAATTCTGCTAGTCCATCCCTGGAAATATGACCTTCTTCGGAAGGCTAGTGGCGTTGATCATCCGACCGCTCCCCTACACGTACGACTCTGTGGCGGGCGATTCGAAGAACGAGGGGAAGAGGCCGTCGGCGCCATCTCGGCAACTCCCGGCAATGCCGGCGGCTTCCAGTCCAACGTGGCGCTGTCGTTCATTTTTCCTTTACTTCCTCTAATTCTCCAATTTCTTCAATAACGCCTCTAACAAGCCGCGACGCAGGGGCGACGGAGACCTCTATGACGGCCCGCTGCCCACCATGAGCACAAACGGAGGCATTGCTTCGTTCTCTCACCAACACGGAGGAACAGGTCATCGAAGCGCGGCGATCACAGTTGATGAAACATGCCTTCATTTCGTTCCCGCTCCGGCGTTCTTCGAAAATCACCTCATCAATTCTTTAAATATGGCAGTCAGTCCTCTCTTTTCATGTTCCCCCTGTCCAGCTATATGCCTCCACGCGTCTCGGGCGATAATATCCCGCACGACATATGGGAAAGGATCGCGTTCTTTGCGAATGTGTCAGATGAGGCGTCTTCGTTTCTTGGACCGCCATCGGCCATTTCCACTTTGGCTTTGTTGTCGCGCCGCGTCCACGAGGCCGTATCCAAGAAATCCAATCCCCACCTCTACGCAAAGATTTTCCGTTGCAAGTTTGATGCCTCTGCGGCGACGCGGCGTTTCTCCGAGCGGTGGTTGACGAGTCGGTGTTTGACGTCGGAATTGGTCAAACGCTTCAAGGCGTTAAAGCGTATCAAAGCTGGTCAGTTTGATGTGAAGGATCTTTGGACCGCGTATATGATGTGCGTGCTCCCAGAATATTCATTGGGTGTTGTTCACCGGTTGAATGGTTTAGGATCCTGGAAGACGACGGGAAGAACAAAGCCCAGTTGCTAGAATACGCTGGCTTCGACAAGTACTTGCGTTCTGTGATTATTTACAGGATGGGCTCATCAGACGATTTGAGATGGTTCAGGAATCCGATGGTCGATGCTCTCGTTCTTTGGCTATTATGGAGTATCAGCGACCGAGGTAAGTTTTGACTCGTTCATCCTTTGCTTTTGGCTATCCTCATGTTTTTTGTCACCTCTAGATCAACCTCGACGCGAGCCTCATGAGTATAGAGAGTGCCTGATTGGAATCCTTCACTCTGTTGTTATTTCTGGATACAGAGTGCGTCCCTCTTTCCTTCTCCACTTCCCCGCTAATTCACCCCACAGCACTCTTCCGTTTACGCATCAGATCGTCTTTTCACGCTTCCTCTAGGTCAAGAACGCGCTATCTCAATGCCTGGAACGTTCTCTCCCCCTGTGTGCGAACTCATACACTATTCACATCCGCTAAAAATAGTCGCTCCCGTCATCTCGTCTGCTGCGACGCTTTTGTTAGCGTTGCAGACGGAAGCTTTCCAAGACGAAAACAGTTTCCCCCATGCGGTTCGGAATGAATTACCTTTGACTAGGGCCGACGCCGTGGCCCAAGGCAGAACGGGTCCCACCGTCGAGGACGTCGAGGAGTTCCACTACAATGTTCGGATCGCAACCGCGAGGGGCCCACTTCCTCCCTCTATCATTAGACCACCCAATCATCATTTCGACAGGGAACCAATGGGAGTGGGAGACGGCCTTGCTCAAGGAAGCCAGCGTTACGACAGCGATTGGTATCGACTCGTAGCTTGCCATGATATCCGCGTTGACAATGAGTGCACCCTGCGAGGGGTGATTTATACCCCGGGTTCCATGACCGGGAGTTGGGAGGGGCGTCTCATGGTAAGCGTTCTTCGTGCCTTTCTTTCCCCACCAAAGTCAACCCCAAGGGACCAGGCTGACCGAAATATCCCGCTTTCCAGCGAGCCGACTTCGCCCTGTACGAGGCGTTACTTCGCTCCCAGACGACCCCGTCTACGATCTCAATACGACACACCCCGCTCTACTGGGAGCTCCGTGAGCACCACTGTTTAGCACCGAACGAGCCTCTCGAGCCCGGATTGGATGTGGAAAGCGGCGATGACATCCTGAATGCGTGGCTGCCTCGAGGAGCGGTCTTCACCCATCTGGAGGTGTGTGGGGTTTATCGATTTCGTTTCCAGATCGTGTCCTGTCCCCTTCCTTCCTTCCTTCCTCCCTTCCTTGAGGCAAGCACACTGACTGCCCCCTGCACTTTACTCCCTCAGGACGCACTCGAAGTCTTCGACCCCAACACAGGACACACTGCCCGATATGACACCTTCATTCCCAGGAGCACGGCGCCCTATTCGAAGCCAGCCATGGCGAAGGTCGCAGAGTCTAAGACCTGGATCTCGGAAGGGGAGATTGCCGAGAATCCCATTCGGTCGGTTTTTGGCTCGACAGGGAATCCGGATTCCTGTCCGCCGTCTCCCAGCACCACCGCCGCCGCGTTGTCGTTCTCCATCGACAATGATGACGAGTTTGTTGATACAGTGAGGTGAGCCGTCGTACATTTATTTATTATGTGCCACTGAGAACGGGGACGCGTTTCATATCACCCGTAATAGTCACCTTTCCAGTGGGGTCTCCGATATCTTAATTACCGGAAAAGTGAGTGTCGTTGAATTTTTGTTGAGGTTTACGATCACTCATGATCAGACTGGCGAGCGTTACGCGCCAGCGTGGGGGGACTACACAATATATGGACGAGTAAGACCGTGGGATGGTCTCGTTGCTCTTCTACGCTTCCCGGTATGCCTGCGCCATGGCTGCACATTTTCGTGGAGTGAATCGCTGATTTCTACCTTCCCAGACCAACCCGGAGGAACGGTATTTAGGCACCTGGGTTTTCAAGGGATACCTCCACGACAAAAACTTTGTGGGTCGTTGGCGAGAAACCTCGACGCCGGTAGATCTCATAGGTTACGAAGGGTCCTTCGTTGTGTACAGGAACGACCCAGTGTGTAGCACATAGCAGCCCTTGAACCACCTGTATTCACACAAAAGCCTATTTCATAAATGATTTTCCCCACATCGCCTAAGCGAGGTCAACGCCTTTCCCGAAAAGCGTGCCATTTTGTACCCTCATTCCTAACCCGCGTTCCCTCACGTTCGTCGACTCACACCTTCTGTCTTCACCCACGGGAATAAAATATTTTATTTTTGGTCGTGTCAGTGCTGGCATCACAGTTGGTGGCTGTTATCGAGGGTGACCTAATTAAAGCATGTTCTGCTGTTCAGCTGGCTGGCGCTCGATATCGCATAGCCAGCAAGCCCCAGGGGGAATCAAACACGGCATCATCAAGATATTCCGTTGCCTTGGTCTCGCTCTGCGCTGGATCTTAGCACGCCGGACTTCACCGACGGGGAAGAATCGCATGTCGAGACCTTCGCTGACTTTGAAAATTCCCTCCGTGGCAAAACACATGCGCTTACCATTTAGAGCGCTCGAATTTGGGAACCCAGATGCTGCTCTCGGAGCGGAGGATGCCTTGGAAATTCGGACGAAGGAAAGTTTGCCAAGACTCGTTTCAATTACATAACTCCAGGCCATTCCCCTCGGAGGAGAACGGTCGATGACTGTCGCTCATCAGATCGCCTTCCACAAGATATGATGATGTAGGCGACTGTCAATGGATGGGGCTGACGGAATTCATCAATAGAAAATGACTGGCTCGTGGCCTCCCACCACCTCTGGTTGGACATTGAAACAGACGGCCGTTTTGTCACAAGATCGATAGCAGTAATTTTTCTGATGTGTCCTATCTCAATCGTTTGTTTGCTGGAGCGAGGCCCGATGTTTGTCCAGGGAAGAAAGTTGGAGGGCCTATCCCGAGAGCGAACACTATCCTGGAAGTTGAGTAACCAGATAATGGGAATCCCCCACGACGTTGAGCTCTTTCCCGTTGAGCTCATGTTCTTCGATTTAGAAATGAAAGGTCGAGAAGGCTATAGCTCAAGGCCATTATCCAGATTATGTAGGCATCACACGAAGCCATACGTTTGAAGACCTTAGCCAAGTCTGCATCGGGATAGTTGCCAACGTCGGATCTTCGTGTGAGGTACTTAATCATGCCCGAGAGGATTTACTTGATTCGGCTGGGTTTCAGCACCATTTATTTACTCTTAGAAAATTCTGAGAAAACGGGGTTTGCAGCCAGGTGACAGGTGGCGCCTGGATGTATGTCATACAAACGGGGCTTCGGCTCACGTACCCCCCTCATTCCCAGTAAGGCCGCTGGAAGACTACAGAAGAGGAAATGAAGAGCAGGGTTCAGTTTGTATCGATCCTTGTCCAGATTTGAGTGCCAGAGAGGACCGGTGCGCGACGGATGATAAAGAGTCTAAGGCTCTCTTGCCTTCCCCGCACCTCCTCCCACAGCCTCCTTACCGTCTAACAACCTCAAACTCGTGCAATATGACAAGCAACCCAGACGTACCTCCGTTCACCGGCTACGTCGAGACCACCGTTAACGCCCTCCGCCTCATCCACGCTGCCCGTCAGGGCGTCATTCCCCGCATTACGCGCCGCCTCAACGACTCCGAACGCAGAACTATGATCAAGTCCGGCGCTGTCTTCGTCTTCAGCGTCGAAGAGAGCGGAATCAAGCGTTGGACAGGTACATACCTTTTTACCGCCATGGCATCGCACATTAATAGCTCTTTATTCGCTCTGCCGTCATAGACGGACTCTTGTGGTCACCGTCTCGCATCGTGGGGAACTTCCTCGTGCGTGCCCCGAGTGTCCCTCACCCTCCAACCACATTAACCCCCACCCACTCAGGTCTACCGCGAAATTAACGAGAGGACAAGCAGCCGTGGAGCAAACAAGAAACCGTACCCAGGTGACGAGTCGCCAACTCGCGCTCTGGTTCGCAAGAGCTCCCCCGACCAAATCGCGATGGGCTTCAAAGGACACGGAGGAGGCGACACGGGGACATTCAAAGCCGGTGGGTTGATTAAAAAGGTGAGTTTTATGCCAGTGGACGTCCTAGAACCATGGAAATATTTTTTCTGGCTTTGCTGTAGACGATTACTGTCACCATCGAGGGTTCCGACCTGCACCTCATCTCCTACTATACTTCGGAAGACATTCGCTCGGGAAAGCTCAAAGTGAGTCCTTTAGTCGGAGAGAATTCTTGTATCCTAAATTCCGCGCCATCCATTCAGCGACCGTCCACCAGAATCGACATTATGAGCCTGTACATGCCACCTCATATCTTCCGTCTCACCAACTTCCGCGTCCCTCCCAAGGTAGAAATAGGCCCCGACGGAAAACCTCGACTCGTGTAAGCACGTCCACTAAGTTCTGTAGACCACCGTTGACCAAATTTATAGCAGTGAAGCTGAAGACCTTGACCCAGTGGACTGCAAAGTTGAAGACAACGGCTATGGAGTTCCCGCGTCGCCAACATGGTCCTCCCAGGGTAGCCCGACGTCGCCAGTAGAAAATCCCTTCGGAAGCAACTCCACCTACCCCCTAGGCTCGAACACCAACGGGAGCGGAGGGTCGTACAGGACGATTGATCGGTGGACCGCAAGTCATGGGGACCCGCTGGGGCCGTCACTCCACCGCCAAGATATAGGCTGGTCGGCCTCGAATGCGACACTCTCCTCCTCGCACACCATGTCGCGCCGGCGGGAAGGCAGTCTCCTCCAGTCAGACAGTTGGCCGTCGATCCAGTCGCAGTCGAGCCGTTGGCAGGGGTCGCCACACGAGTCGTCGACTACCGCATCTGGCACCGGCGGCATTTACCAGGACCGCACCCGCGTGCGGTCTGGCCACCCCTACGCGGACGACGGCCAGATGATGCACCGCCGGGACCACGATAGCACACAGTCGAATTACAGCTTGCAGGCGCGGTATACAACGCCGCATCCCACGGCGGCGAGGGAACATGCCCTCCAGCGCTTACATTGGCATCCCCGAGATACACCCGACACCACGCGCGACCTACGCAGAGGGACTCCTCAATCATCGACATCTTTCTCGCCATCGCCAACGTTGCCTTTCAGTCCTCAGGGCTACCACAATACCACCACACCAACGTACACCTCGTCTTGGACACCGACTGACGCCAACCTTCTTACTACTCCAACATTGCACTCGATTTCTACTCAGCCAGCTATTTCCTATGATGGAACTTACAATAACAACGCTACCAGCATCTCTCATTCGGAGGAGTACTCGAACGTGGAGGAATATCGCGACTCGTAGGTTTCTTGCTCATTGCATCCTGAAAAGTTGTCACCTCTTAATATTTCTTGGAAGTATGTACCACGGACTGGGATCGCACACGTCGTCATCAGTAGTTCTTGCCACTGGGTGAATGGTTGTATCATATCGTAGATTTAGCCTGTGTATGCTGCGGTGCTTTTTGAATCATATACCATCCCTAATCGTCAGTCTAACATCTCGGGAGAGCTCACGTCCCCGAACCAGCCCGGGAAGAACTGCCTTGACCGTTCTACCGACTTCGGCGTTGCTCTTCTCTCCTCGGCGTTGCGGCAGAGGATCCCGCCCATCTCGGGATAATCACGTCAACGTCGTGATGATGAAGGCGGTAACTGCGGTATAACCCCAATTATACTGAGCGAACCTTAAAAATTCTTCCCTTTCGAATACATCCAACGACACATAGGTATGCAGGCAACCGAAATCGCCACGATAAATTTATCTGTCGGGAGCGCTTTTGGATACAACGCAATACATTCGCACAACGAATCAGAGAACTCGAACAGAAGGGAAGGGGAGCGGCGAAGAGGTACTAGAACGGGAGGGGGACGGAGTCTTTGAACAGCACACCATGGTGGGACGATGGGGACATACAGAGGACGCGAATGCATGGCCCATCACGGCAGTACGCTTCGGCAAATGACGAAGTGAGGGTCCAAGTGCACACCTAATAGTTAATTAAGGATTTTAGAAATCGTTCGAGGAGCTCATGACGGCACTGAATCGAGGGTGGGCTCGGCCAAGGGGATCACGAACCTAACTACCTAAGAGCTCGCGCCCATCGTCCGCCGTTCGATGAAGCCCCTGATGTTCGCATGGCCTTCCAAACTGCCGAAGAAACAGCGCTTCGCGGCGTTTTCCCAAAGCACGACGTCAAGCTCCTTCGCATAGTTGAGCACGAATTCATAATCCGCTTGGGACGCAAAGGCGGTATACAGATAGCCTGCCAAGCGACGAAATTAGGTTAGTTTTACTCAACGATGCGTAAAGAAAAGAAGTAACACGCCTTCTCGCGATTTAAGGCGGTTTCTCTCAAGCTCCCAGAGCCTTATCTGATCCTGTACTGTAACCGGAAGAAGAGGGTTCTACAAATACGCGGTCATCAGGTTAGGCGCCACCGACATACAGGATCACACGCACATTCTTGCGCATTTGTGGGTGGGCGTGAGTGATTAGGTAGCTTATTATCTTTCGATTGGTCCCCATATGTTAACGGCATCGCTGAGGAAAGGTGGACATAGACCTACCTGGTCGGCAGATATTCCATTCGTGAGCGCCTTCTTAACACTTTCCCGTGTGATAGAACCGACCACGAGATTAGGGAAGCGATACTTTAGCGACACGAACAGGTTTAGAACGGCGGTCTGCAGGGGGTTATCTGCGTGTACTGTGAGAAGCGAGAAACCGGTCGCGCAGACGCGATTACGCAAAAAGACGAAGATACCTGTATAGGCGTACACTCGGTAATTAGTTTCGAGAATGATGAACCCTTCTTGGGGACCGGAGCTGGCGCCGGTAGAGGTGGGCAGAGGGGGCGAAGAAGAGGACAAGGTAGTCGCGAGACGAGTGGGGCTGAAACGCCGTGATGAGGGCTTCGACGGGGAAGTCAGAAGGGGGGTATGCGCGCAAAACTCCGGCACTATACCCTTCGCTGCCAGATGAGGCCGTAATCACGTAGGTCTTCCAGCATAGCCTTCTGGGTCCCCCTCAGGTTCTCAGTTGAATATTCCTGCGTCCACGCGTTAGATTAGCGCTGCGCTTTATCAACACACGGCAATTCACCCTGCCCAATTCCATGGTCGAAAGCATGAAAATGAACCCCAGAACCTCGACTAGGTCCATTTGCCGTTCCTATGAAGAGCATCAGTTCACGAATAAAAGCGAAAACGAAGTGGTGAGGTAAACAAAGACGCGCACCTCTGCCAGGTGAAGGTATTGCAGCAACAAGTCCCATAACTGATCGTGAGGAGGGTGAAGAAGGAACTGAAATCCAGCCGATGTGATTTGGAGAAGCCCGCTGGTATATGTGAACGAGAGAAGCGAACGATAGAAGGTTTTGGACCTACTGGGAACTGGCCATCAGACCACTGCGCTGAAGGAGAAAGAGAACGCCTTGTGACGGCTTTGTGGGTTGCTGGCCCGTTCCTGACGAGACCATGTAGTGCAAAATGGTCTATCTTGTTCATCAGAAGGAGTAAAGGGGGTCATCCGAGATATGGGTCTGACCTCCCACCTCTCCAGCGCAAAATTATCGAGTGAGTCGATGTCAATAGGTTGTTTCTTCTCCTCTTTATCGGAGGCAGGAGTACCGAAACTACCACTTGTTCCGCTAGCCATGACATCAGCCCCCTGTAATAGAGAACCCATAGGACGGAGATTACCCTCCCGTGAGCGCCTGCCTGAAACTTGATTTGAAGGTGGAGTTCAAGGCCAGCTTATCGTTGTTTGGCAGTATGTGAAGATAACCAAGCGTCGCCAGAGCGTCATCATACAGCCTGTTGTGAGTCAATGAATGCAAGTTCCTTCGAGGTTCCCAGCATCAGAGAGAATTACTTTCTTCCTTCACGAAGGACCCAGGTGAGCATAGTCGCCGGGGATATCACAGACTCAAGCCAAAGCAGATTCATAATTATTTGCCTCTCGACAGGCGCCAGTAATCTGTCGATGTGGTGTCAGAAAGCGACATCCGAGCCATCTGAAAATATTCTTCCACCGAAATAAGGAAAGACATGAAGATGGTCGTTGATACAGTCTCGTCAGTGTATTCTGCGACTGCGACTGCAGAAATGGCAGAAACGCGTGCCTTTGAGGGATCTTTGCATCTTCCGCGGAGGTGTATGGGTGGGCGGAAGGCATGGAGAACGAGAAAGAAAGCCAAAATGCCAACAAATGATTCGCGTGCTGGGTTAGGGTCGACACGCACGTGACTTTCATAACGCGACGCGTCACATCTGGTACTACGTAAGCCTGAGCAAATCCATCTCTTTCACAAACCACGAACCTACCAGAGCCGACGGCGAGTAAGACGCATAATTTTACAAGAAATGAGCTCGATTAGCGTACACTCTGCTGCTCGAAATAGTCCGTCGGCCTCCAAAAGTACTTGCAACAAGGCTAACGTTCTTGCTCCAGATCAATTGCCTCTTCTACGTTCCCTACTTGCCGAGGACCCAAAGCTTGTAAACGCCGTCGATGTGGTGCGCGAAGATACAATCCGTCATATACCATGCCATACTGAAAGTCTCATGTAGGATTCTAGGACACCGCTCCACTGGGCTGCGTCTTCTGGTTCCATTGACATCGCCAGCTTTCTCATCGATCAGAAAGCCGAGGTAGACAAGCCCGATAGCTCAGGGTGGACCCCCCTGCACATTGCAGGCACGCTTCTCAGAATCTCCTCCTCTCCTCCTCTCCTGATTTGCATGTGGCACTCTCCAGCTAGCGCAGGCCATGAAAGCATCGTCCAAGAACTAATCGGAGCTGGCGCAGACGTAAATAGGTATGACTTGTTCGCGTAACCCTTTGATTTTACATGCTCCTAAACTCTCTCCGACAGAAAGAATGACAAAGGCCTTACCCCCTTGTAAGCCCATAAATCCGTGTGCTTGTAACGCGGGCGGCTAGAAAATGATCTCCTTGCCTTTTTCCTATTGTTTTCGTGACACCCAAAAGGCACTACGCAGCCTCCAAGTCTCGTATCGATGTACGCTGTCACTTTGGCTCTACCACACGTTGTTGCTCTTCTGATATCTTTCTTCGCTCTCAGATTGGCAGACTGCTGATTTCGAGGGGTGCAGACGTACGTATCCTTGACGCATATTCATGACCGAGGAGTTCTGTAACTTTGTGGAAGATCAACACGAGGGATAAGGCCAACCAGCACCCTCTGTGCGTCACGTCTCAGTGCTTCTTCTGTCTTCTTGTTCTATCGTACCAACACGCTATCCTAACGGGCCCAGACACCGTGCCGCAACGACAGGGTCTGTAGGATTCATTCGCCTTCTCGTGGAATCCTCGACCCCAACCACGAAATTGCGACTGAACACGGCCGATCGGATTGGTATGTAAATCGAATCGGTTGCTTCGTCGATCCGTCGATACACGCCGCTAATTTGTCTCCATTTGACCATCTCTTGACGTTTATGCAGGAAATACCCCTCTACACCTTGCGATGGACTCGGCCCACGCAGAGGCGGCCGTTCTTCTAATTAACGCTGGAGCAGATCGAACTCGTGTAAGTGACTGAGCGTCCTGTTACCTACTCTTCCTAATGGTGGTTTCATTGACTCGTGTCTGACGGACTTCTTGCTTGTAGGAGAACCTGGATGGCGAGACTCCTGAGAGCGTACCGGGCGTAGGTGGTCAGGAGCAGAAGCTCGCTCGACAGCACGTCATCGAGCATTGTGGAAAGCCGTAAAGTGGTCTGGCGGTCTGGCCCATCCCTAATGCAATTGTGGCGATAAAGCACAAGACTATGTATCAACTAAGTATCTCCTGAACTTCTGTTTAACTCTATGGATCCATGCGAATTTCCTTACCAAACTTCTCGATGCTTGATGTATCCAAGTCATTGGCCGTAAAAGTATCGTGATGGGTATTTTTTTATTCTCGTTTTGCCCGGGTTGACAAGTCGTTCCATTGAAGTGTCGAGGTGGTGGCTCGTCCCTCGGTGAGGTAAGTGTTCTTGAGTATCCATTTCTTTTCCCTGATAACCCTGAAATAATCGTGGTATGCATGTAGGTGGGCACGTTTACCGTTGGTCCCTCAGGCCTCAAGGCCTCAAGGGCTAAGTTTCGAGGCCTGCAACGGACAAGTTCAGCCCCTTCATCTCGACAACCCGCTCTGTAGTCACTACTGGTCAGTCAGCAATCCGTCGCGTGCAAGGCAACTGACGCCTTCCACAGTCCACTAACCGACGTGTAGCTGGGACTTTAACGTTTTAACACTAAAGCTTCAAGGCCAACCCAAAAGGCTTTCGTTGTCGTCTCAACCTTACGACCTTGAAACCAAATTTTATTCGTCTATAAATCCCCGCCCGAGACCTGCTAACCTTCAGCTTGACACTCTACCAGCACCTCCTCAGTAGTATCCTCTGGCGAGCCACAGGCGCCGTTCGGGTGTACTTGCTGGTACCACAGCGACCCTGGGTCCACAGCGACCCTGGGTAAGCCCAATAGTCCATCAGATCATGATCACACCAACGTCGACAAGCCAAGGCGGTGCTTCGGCTTGCTCTTCGGGAATCGGCACCTCACAACCTATATAAACCTCGCATGACCCAGGGAATTCCCCAAGCTAGTCTTCAACCCCCCGTTTACACCACCACGAGCCCGGCCTTGTGTGTCCCGCCCTCCTCTTCCCGGTGAAGAAACAAAGATATTCTGGTCCTTTCGATATCTTCAAACAGACTCCAAGCACTCTTTCGTCTAGTCAAGTCAAGATGCGATTCTCAGTCTCCATCACCACTGCCATTGCCTCCGCCGCCGTCCTTCTCACCAGTGCGGCGGTGATCCCGCGGGCAAACCTGATGCCAAGCGGCATCGAGGCGCGTTACTACCATGACCGGATCTACGACCGCTCAGTCCACCCTGTCGTCGCCGCTGTGGTCTTCATGCGGGCGCCATCGTCGGACGAGATACGCGCGAGGCGCCTACATGCCCGGGATTTCCAATACCGCAATGCTGATTGAATCAGTGCGTTGATCGTCATTTAATGTTCTGGGATTCTCGTTGCTGATGGTTATGGTTTGTAGAGGTCGTCATTTGATCATTGAACGGATTCACAACCAGTCTTTAACCATACCATCGTAACGGGTTCTAACGTGTTCATCTCAGAGGGAGAATCGATTGTACGAGGGTTGCAGGGAGTAGTTTACGTTCGCTGCTGCTTTTTGTCAAATGCATGATCGCTTTGTCTTCAAGTGTTTCCGTGGTGATTGAGGGGCGCTAGCCAGGGAAATTACTGTTACCATCTTTCCCTGGAACTTCGTCATCTAGGGCGTGGGCGGTGTGACATCTTGTCATGTATGCAGTGAAGTACACGTGATACGTGACCACTGTCTACATACTCCCACAGCTCCCACAGTCTCCTGGTCTCTCCTGCTCGGGTCGACATTCGCATCCTCGCTCTCGAGACCTTAGGCCGCACCGCGAGCCTTTTGAGAGCTCAATGTGGTCCAAGCCCGCCACCTTATAGACCACCATGTTTGGTTATCGAGCACAAGATGATGCGCTGATAATGCGGCGTAAGATCCATCAAACGGTGACTATCCAAACCACCCACAATCATTGTGAATCATCCAGACTAGCAGTGTTTCGCATTTTCTTTGACTTCCTATGATTTACTCAGCTCAACGTATCTCTAACAGGCACAAATCCTCTTCTTTTTTCGTGCATAGACGCCGTGTGTGGTCACTGTCGATATTTCCACCAGTTCTCCAGTTATTTTTGCACCAGTGAGCTAATGCCAAGTCAACCTTATCTTACAGGCTTCCCATGCCTCCGCAGAAGTCCAATTTCCGGTGTAGGTGAGGTTCAGGGGTGTGAGTAAGGCCTTTATGACATGTTCAGTCAAACTTACGCGACGCTCTCGAATGTTCTACAGGCGGTTCAACATGTGCGCCTCCCAAGCCCTCTGGAACACCTTTTCTTTCGGATGACAGTCCGTCGTTCATAGTCGACATAGTCATTTGAGCTGTAAGTGCGCCAATACACCACCTACAAAAAAAGGGGTAGCTGCCTTGGCGCGTATGATTGGCTAGAATCATTACCGGAGGATGATGCGCGCTTAAAGCGGCTTTGGTCAGGCGTCAAGTCCCGATTCAACCACAACGTCAGACCTGTTTTACACCTCATCTAGTACGTGCGACCGTTCTCGGGGTCGGTAGAACGTGCTCACGCATGGGCTTTTTTGCAGACTCAAGTCTTGCAGATAAATCGATGACGGTGCCTCTTCATATCTCCAAAAATCATCTTCCGTTCATCATTGGTAGCAGGCGAGGAGGAAATCCCCAAGATAAGGGCGGACCATTAGGGATGAAAGAGCTTTAACAGACATCGAACATCAGTCGTCCTTGGATACAGGGCATCTCTCCGACTCTGACCCCGTCAAACGTGTCAAGAACAACAGTGCCAAGCCCAGACTCTTGCCCACTCTTGTCCCAATAAGGCACCGGCACCGTAAAGAAGATAAAAAGTCGAACACCGCGTGTACGCCGAATCCCAACCTCTTTCCTGTCTCTTCTCCTCTTTCTGTGTAGTCGCGTCTACGTCGTTGGGCGTTTCGTCCCGTTCTCTCTCTAGGGCTCGCCCGATCCCCCATCCCATCTCCTTCGACAGTCATTCTTTTCAACCAACGCTCTCTATCATCACAACTTCAACATTCACAACATCATGAAGATAACGTCCTTCTCAACCCTCCTGGCCCTCTCGGCCTCCCTGCCCAGCGCGTCGGCGTACTGGCTCATGGGGATTAAGAACTTCATCACCACCGAGCGCCTCGACCCGATCGTGAACCCAGGCGCCGTGTCCGGGCACGTCCATTCCGTCGTCGGCGGGAGCAACTTTGGGTTCACCGCCTCCACCGCGTCCTTGCTCAAGTCGGACTGCACGTCCATACCGATCAAAGAGGACAAGTCCAACTACTGGTTCCCGCACCTCTACTTCCAGTGGAAGAACGGGAGCTTCTCGAGCGTCGACGGTGGCGCGGTCATCTACTACCTCTTCGATGACAAGCCGGGCACGACCACCGCATTCCCGCCCGACTTCCGCATGATCAGTGGAAGCCCCACCCTGCGCACGTACGACGCCAACAGCTACGCACAGCAGGCAATCGACTTTTTGTGCCTCGACTTCAACGGGCAGACGACGAAGCATACGAGCTTGCCGGAGAAGAGGTGCCCGAGTGGTATTAGGTCACAGATCAATTTCCCTAGCTGCTGGGACGGGAAGAACGTCGACTCGCCGTCGCACAAGTCGCACGTTGCGTTCAAGTCGGGCGGCCCCGACAAGGGCAAGTGCACAGATCCGAACTTCCCGGTCGAGCTCCCCCGTATTTTCCTCGAGGTCTATTGGGGATCGGCCAATTTTGACTCGATACGGGACCAGGCGATGAACCCGAACCAGCCGTTTGTGTAAGTCCTCTCGTCTTTTCTTTCTTCGGGGTGACGAGGAACTGACGTCGACGTTCCACAGCTTCGCCCACGGCGACCCAACAGGCTACGGGAACCATGCGGGTGAGTAGTGAAAATTTCCTGTTCGTTCCTTGAGGAACTAAAAATATGCTCTGTAGACTTCTTCAATGGATGGGAGCCCGGCGTCCTCCAGGGAGCTGTTGATGGCTGCACCTGCAACATGTACGGCGATGTAAGTCCCTGCACTTTATGTCCACTCTGCCGGAGCTCATCCTTTATTGTTACTACTGTAGCCCACCTGCTGTGCCCAGAAAGGACTTTTCACTCTGGAGAAGGACACCAAGTGCTACATCACTAAATCCATCGATGAGCAAAGTCAGTTTTCTTCCATCTCGTCCTATATCATGACATACTGATGTCTTGCGCCAATTAAGCTACCGGCACCGTTCCCAAGCTCCCCGGGAACAACCCCGTCCAGCCAGCTGGCACGCCAGCGAAGATGTATCAGGCCGACACAACCCCTGGGATCATTTCTCCTGTGTATGTGTACACAAGCAAGCCCACTGCGACAGGCCAGGTTGTCATTCCGCCGAGCACCGCCGCTCCCACCATCGTAGCACCACCACCCCCTTATCCGACGCCCTCAAGTTCGAGTTCACCGCTGTCGTTGTCGTCTGCTACGCTCGCACCAGTTTCAACGGTAGCGACTTCGTCGAGCGTTCCTCCTCCTGTGGCCACGGTCTCTTCGACGCTCGTCGTAATACCATCGTCCTCTGCTCCGGTTGGATCTTCCAGCGTTTACGACTACCCCTCTAGCGTCATTACGACTTCCTCGACTGCAGTTTCTGTCGCCCCATCTATCATCACCTCGATCTTGTCGTCCATTGTCTCCGCCGTGCCTATCTCCTCTACCTACGTTCTTTCCTCCACTTCTGCCACCTCCGTCACATCTGCGGCAGCGGTTACATCTTCGTCCCCCATCGGCGTGCCGAGCGCTGGGCACGGACACGGACACGGACCGAAGACGACATACACCCACACGTACGTCGCCCCGACCACGACGAGTCGTCTGGCGCAGGTTACGCGCTCGACCGCACCGCCGTATGTCGTGCCCACGCCTATCAACGCAGGCGCCCCAGGGAAGACGTGCAAGAAGAAGAACTACGGAAAGCATTACTCCAAGGGTCACTATCATAAGAGACAGCGGCTTTCTTTTGATTTTGATGAGGGTGTTTTCTGAGCGGCTCCGACCTCTCTCTTCCTCCTTTTTTCCCATCTCATCCACACTAATCATGTCCTGATGTCACGACGCGCGTCGAGTACGCGCATAGTTTCTTTTCTTCCTCTTCCTTGATACCTCGTACCTCCCCCGAGTGCCTGTGGCACCTAAACCCACCTGACGTCTGCCCAAGCTAGCTTTCGCATTAGACGTCGGTGATTTGATTGTGCTATTCCTCTCGCCCCTGGTGGCGATTGAGAGAATGGTTGTCCTGCTCTGTACATAGCTCTTTGTCTTGTCGTCGTCTGACGTTCCTGCATGCCGGAACTGGAATGTGAATTGCGTTATCTTCTGATTCAGAGTCTCTTTTCGAGAAGGCCGTATTCCTCAATGATATTTACAGGATGATTTGGATGAAGCGTCTCCAATTTGTCTGAAGGGACTCCCAGGATTAATGCCGCAGCGGCGCCTCAATAAGCGTTGCTACATGATGCATCGACTGTGACGGGCGAGTGCGTAGTCGATTGGTCTGACTCAGGGTCGGATGTCCCTGAGCATTCCGGGGATCATGCCAAAAACGGATGGACGGCGGAGGGTAGTATGGCAGATGGGGCGAGAGGCGCATTGCAGACCCCAGGAAGTCTGTCGGCTGTCAGCTGGGGTATGCTGTGTTTGTTTCTAATCTGGGACGGTGCAATCCCCTAACGGCCCTAACCACGCATGGCACGAGGAGGCGAGCACGTACGTGGACATTGGCGCGGACGGACCAGGCGTGGGCTTCGAAGAGCGTGGAGATACGACGGTCGCAACTCGCGCGCATGAGGTTGTTAGCACTGATTAATCAGTGATCGCCATGTCACGCTTAGCGCTCGGCGGTGGCACAGACATATGTGTGAGGACCATAGCACAACATCTTAACCAAGTCTCAACCGTCTGGCAAGCAAATGTCTGAGTGGAGACCATGCGAGTCCGCCATAGAGTAAACGAGGAATTGCTGAAGAACGAATAAATGCGAGGCGAGGCTAAGTGTGTGATAAACAGAAGAGTAAGATAATATACATACTTGTGGTGAGACGGCGGCGTAAGAGGCACGGACGCCCAAATGGAGCGCGCTCGGCGCCTATTCCAACAGTTCACACTCTACCGTGCATATACATTGAAAATAAAAACCTTTTTCCCACCTTTCCATATGAGTCGCTCATTGAATCAGACCAGAGTGTTCCATGGCGCCGCACGTAGAGTACCCTCAACGTGTCAGACAATCATTTTCTGCATCTACGTGATTCATCATACATTATTGTACCTACAACTAGTGGCTGGAACTAATGTAAAGGAATCCTGGGTACGACTACTGGGCCCGGGCATGATGGGGGCGTAATGTGGGCGGGCGTAGTCCTTCCTTCTCGGAGCAGCAGAACCTCCCTTTTTGTGATTGCGCGGCTAGAAAAAAGCCGCTCTGCTCCTCTGGGTCAACCCGTGCACGTTTAATCTCTTAATAACTGCTAATAACTGCTGCTCATTTACAAGAGCCATTAGACCACAAAATAACCATTCACAGATTTATATTCTATGGGCTGGGGTCAGATTCGAGGAACTACTTATGCTATCCTGTATTCTAGACTTTCCACAAAGGACGACCACATGTGAGGCTTTACGAGATTGCGTGCTCGGAGAGGAAGTAAAGACCGGGCTCGTCGGATTGCTCGACGAGGATCAATTCACCCTTTTGCTCCAACAATCTTCTCGATGAGCTCGTTATGATTCTCGATCGCGCCGAAGTGCACGGGCTCCAATTAAGCGCTCGTCGTCATATTTGGACTGAAGTACACAACTCCGTCGATACCTGCCTTCTTCTACTTTATAAGCATATTGATCTTACTGATTTATATTATTTTAGCTTATTCAAAGTAAAAGCTAGTTCGCGCAGCGTACCCTAGGGCACGAGTTAGACGAAATCCTAGAGGACATTGCAAAGTTCCCATGTCTCCCCCCTTCCTCGTTCCACACAGGAACATATTACTCCTTAGACGGAACTTATACTTTGGAACCTAGTAGTACATTTCTTGGACCTTATGTAGCTATCCACGCCCCGACCTACACAAGCCGTGGACGTCAGAATCTGAAACGGCGGCCCGTGTCGCCGGCTGCCGCTCTCGCGCAGCGTCGTTACACAATAATTATTTGAGTATTACTCCAGACTTAGAGTGTAGGGGGTGTTTTGGGTCCTCCCGACGCCCACCTCGTACGGTCTTGATCCGCTGGGTACGGGAGCGCGCTAGGGGTCGGATTTGGCCATTTCGGGCAGTCCCGCCAGCTGTCAGTCATCGGGATCTGACCCTGAGTCAGACCAATCGACTCATCACTGGTGACGGGCGACAATTTGATGACAGCATGCAGGAGTAGACGGTTCAGATAAGCAATTCTTCGACCCGGTTCTAACAGTGGAATAAGAATAGGTCTTTTTTTGCAAGGTTTCTGGTGTGCAGGCCTCTGAACCATCTCGGGTGCCTAAAATGGAATTTGGGCTTGCCACGAGCGCTACCCCTCAATCTCACCATCTACTCCCATCTCAGATAATTTACAACTCCCTCACAGTCACTCGTAAACAGCTCAATGACGCAACTGAACAGTTGGCGGTTGAATCCGACGAGGATACATTTATCGTGCACCCTGCTCCTGGTGACGCCAGCCAGCTCGCTAACTGGACCGGCCCAATTAATGGCTCTGCCCCACGTTCCAACATTTGTAAACTGTCGCTCCCCGATCCAGTTCGACGAGGAGACCCTCGTGCTCCTCGAGTTCCTGAACGCTATCCTGTGGGAGAACAAGATCTATCCGCCTGCACTGCACCCGTACATGGTGCTGCTGTTCCTAGAGCGACTAGACCTTGCTGATCAGATTAGGAGTACGGCCCAGACGGAGGGCGGGTGTATGCACTTTCGAGGTCATATCATGAGGCGATTCTACCGCACGGATTGGTCGGGGAAGTGTTTGTATTTCGTGAGTACTTGAGAGTGGGCATTTTCAATGCTGTTGCCATATATGCAATTCTTTGCATGTACACATCCGTAGACTTATTACTTCCTTGGAATTATTTCTGTTTCCTTTTTTTTTGACACCCGTCTTTATCTAATCCATTAGGATGAATTCAGAATTTTTGTAGACACTGTACCACCACCCTTTGTCCTATGGGCGCTCTTCAATCTTACATTTCGCCTATTTCCGCAGTAAGTCGGCAGTAAAGAAAGGTATTAAATGTACCTGTGCTCTCATCCTTCTGCGCTTCCTCCCGGATGAGCATGTTTTTTTGTGCAGGGTGGCATTCCACAAAATATTGATAGAGAAGTAGTGAGATACATATACATATCAAGTGATTTTTTCTAATGAATCACAGCCTCACTCAATCCTCACACTAGGCAATTTAGCGCCTTCGGAGTCATTGACTCAAGATAGATCAATGGCTTCCCCATTTGGACGCGACGGCGCGACGCGTGAACAAACGACCAATCACGTGGCTGGAGATGACAAAATGTGGGAGACAGCGAACGCCTCTTGACCCGCAACCACGACCATCTCGTCTCCGATGGCCGCCGTCGTCGAGCACCCTACATCTGCCTTCTCAGACCGCCAGGGCCCCATCCAGCAACCCCCGCGCATGTCCTCCCTCGAAATCATCGATGTTGAGGAATATCTCCAGGAGGCACAAGCCAGTAATGCCGGAATCTCCTCTTCGCAACCAACTCGGCCAACTCCAAGACCCATCTTGAGGAATTCGGGAAGGCAGCAGGAGACGATATACATCGATAGTGACGACGACGAACCGGTCATCACGTTCTCTCGAGTGCTTTCAGGTCATGGTGCGCTGCCCTTTTTCCAATCTTATATGCGTAGTGCTTAGGAGGACTTTTGTTTTGGTAAACCATTGCAGAGGCCAACGGGCAGCGGAGCCATCGACGCCTGATTTCGCCACCACCGCGTAGCTCATCGGGCTCGGTGCCGCCTGTACCCCCAATTCCGGGGCCCTTTGCCGGCCACACGGCCTTTCCACCAATGAGACGCAACCCCCCAGCCTTTCCCCAACCTCCCGTTGTGGCCAACGAATCCCTCGACATCGAGTTTCTGTCCGACCTCCCGGTGGCGGGTCCATCTGCGTTCACGAGCAGGGTTGTTCACAGGCGAGGAACAGGCGCCGGACCTCCAGGGCCCCCACCGCTCCCGGCTGCGCCAGCCTCGCATCACACCCCCAGCATGGGCCTCGGAGGCGCCCTCATCAGCTCGAACAGCGCGCGTGCACGGCAAGAAGCCCAGGACGCCCGAATCGCTGCTCGAATTGCCAGGCAGCGGCAGGCTGGTCGTGCACCTGTCATCCGCGGTTTACCAGCGCCACCGTATCTATTCCATGAAGACGGTCGGGCGCAGGTCCGGTCGGTGTGGGGCTTGGGGCACTTTTCGTCGTTGGGCTGGCCTTTCTCTGGGCCGAGCTCTGGCAAGGAGAAGGAGATGTACAATCCGAGTTACACGCACCCCGGACAGCCTGAACCTGGGTTCACCTTTGACTTTTCGGTCTCGGAAGAAGATGCCCCTCGACGGCCTGGTTTCCCCACAACCTCCATTCACGCCCCAATTGTCATCGACGACTCGGACGACGAGCCCTCATCAAGTGACAGACCTGTCGTCATCGACGTCGACTCAGTGCCAGCAAAAACGACTGTTGCCACAACCACCTCCATGGCCGGTTCCAAGACAGCTACGTCGGGCACAGGAGAGCTGTCAGCTCTCCTGGTCTGTGCACGTTGCTGCGACCCACTCATACTCAACGCGGCCATGGACCCCGAGGAGGGGTATTACCGGCGCGTATGGGCTCTCCGGTGCGGTCATATGATCGACGAGAAGTGCCTGAACGAGATCGGGCAGCCTCCTGAGGCTCGGTTGGTGCAGATGGAGATGGAGGAGATGGTCAACGAGAAGGAGAAAGAGAAGGAAAAGGAGGAGGAGCAAGAGCCGAAGATGGAGAAGAAGGGTAAAGGGAAGGCGAAGGCTAGAACGACAGCCATGTCCAGCGATACGGTGCCAGAGGTGAAGGAGGCGGAGGATAATAACATTCGTGCTAGACTCCGGTCTCGCAACCCAACCGTGGGCGCTTCCTCTACCCCTCCTTCCTCTATTACTGCCACCATAGCCCCATCTACTACTACTACGACAACGATCTCCTCAACCGTCGCCATGGCCTCCTCAACCGCCTCCTCCTCCTCTTCATCCACCACCACCTCAATCAACCACCCAGCCTCCAAACGTCGGCGCGTCGGCCCCAAGTCCCGGCGCCCCCCACACGTCGAGGACGAGTACGTCTGGACGTGCCCCGTGGCCTCGTGCGGACGGGTACACGCGAGCGTCAAGGTTGACGGCATATGGTGCCCCGAGAAGGAGGGTTTCGTTGGGCCCGAGGGCGCGATGCGTGCGGTGCAGGAGGGACGGGAGATCGTGCCGAGGGGGGTGATTGCTGTTTTTGCTTAGGTTGGATTGGGGGTAGGTGCTAGGGTAGAGGAAAAGGGCTGGTTGGAGTTGAGGCTAGCGTTGATTGGGTGGTGCCGGTGGTAGGATGAGGCCGCTGCTTGTTCTGACACCCTGCTTGTGTCAATGCCCCCGACGATGGCAACACGGTTGGATTCGAAGTCGGTGGTGATCCTGCATTTTTCTTTTTCTTTTTTCTATCCCTTTCCTCTTCTTGGCATGCATTGGTTTGCGAGCATCGACATCAACGTCTTTCTATTTCCTGAACTTTTTTCTCCTTGCTTTTCTTTTTCGTTGGCTCCCGCAATAAACATTTTTGTCCCCCATCCAACGTGTCCGACGTTCGACTCTTTCTTGGCCTCAACGTTGCGACGACCTCAACGCTTCAACATTCAATATTCAACATTCAACATCCAATACTCGAGGAGGACAATGACTGTCAACGTCGATCTTAAAGCTCAGCGCCTGAGCTCGCTATTCGCATTTTCCGGACATCCGACTAAACCCAAGCAAGTCCAGTGGACCTCGGGCGGGTGTACGTCGAGTTCGCGAGCCTCAAGTCGACGACATCACGATAAACCTGCTGCGCTGAGTGCCCTCTTTCTTTGCACTTTCCTCTGAGCGCTCAATATTTCCATCGTTCTCGCAGATCAACCGCAATCGCATACGCAAAACACTACATACATAAGTACAACAAGCTACTCGTACACTTTCAATTCACTATCAATGTCGACAAACTTGAACAGTCAAACTCTAGGAGAAAAAATCTATCTACGCAGAAGCAAAGTGGAAGAAAAATGGGAAACAGAAATGTATCGAAGGATGAGGCGAGAGAGGAGGTCGGTCGAAAGGGCCAGGATCCAAGATGCTCGAGAAGGTGTGTACGGAAATCAGGAACCGAACCAGCTGGATAATGATGACGATAAACAGACACAGCAAAACCTGTTCGCTGTAGGGAGAGGAGGGAGGACAACATAAGCCGGCACGTTGTCGATGGTGCTGTTCATTCCGAGGACCCTTCCAGGGTTCGCATATCGGATCGTCAAGAAGATGATGAAGCTGGAAGGCGTGACTGCGTAAAGTGGATGCTGGAAATCGAGGTGTGTCGTATCTTGTTCGTTAATTCGTGATTCTTTCTTCAGTTTCCGCTCCCGTAAGCCTCATACTCCACATGCCTCACATGAGGGAGTTGTGCGGCTTCCTCGAACGCCGCCCTTGCCTTACGGCTCCTGCGATGCTTCTCAAACCCGTTCGAGCGACGCTTCTTGCTGGCGCCCGAGTGGCAGGTCCCTGCATCGGGCTGGGCCTCGGAATGGTTCGTCGTGTCCGAGTTCGAGTTGACCTCTGCTGCAGGAGCAACAGGGCTGACCAGCAACGGGGACGGCGTCGGGTGGACAGCAGGCGCCGGAGCTGCGGTCTTCCCGCCAATAACGCCAATGATGGGTAGCGAGAGGGAGATTGGGAGACCTGGTAGAAGGCCCTTTTTCGTCGTTGTGGGGTTCACGGGCGCTTGGGTCGTCACTGGTGTGGGGTTCGCGGGCGCTTGCGTTGTCACTGGTGTTGGGGCTGTGGCTTTGCTTGTGGCAGGAGCGGCGGAGGCGGAGGCGACCGGGTGCGACGACGCTTGGGCACTGCTCGCTGGGGTGGCGACTGCCGTCGGAGCCGCCGCAACGGGCGCGTTGGGGTTCGCACCGACTACGACACCATTCTGAGTGGGCTTGTTACCGGTGTATGCGTAAACGGGCGCGATCCACTGTGGGTTGGTGTCGTCTGGGTAGATGGTTGCCTTCTTGCCCTCTGGTTGGACGGGGTTGTTGCCGGGCAGTCTGAGGAGGGTGCCGGTGGCTAGAAGACAGGATGTGTCAGCGAAGATGTAGGAGGAGGAAGAGGACAAAGCTGCTTACTCTGCTCGTTGAGCGATGGGGTGATCCTGCAGTTCTTGCCGCTTGTGAGATCGAAAATGCCTTGGTCGGCGCAGCATTTTGGCTGTAGGTGAATCAACCATAGTCAGCATCTCATTCGTCGTATTCAGGATGAGTAAAATATCTTCTCACATCACCGTACGGGTTGCAGTGGCAGCTGTCCACAGCTCTCTGGAGGACACCGGGCTGCCAGCCGTTGATGAAATCTGTATCATGCACCCAATAAATGCGCTGTCCCTGTAAAATGAAGAAGGTGACGCGACACGTACCACCGTGATATCCGTACCCAGTGGGGTCGCCATGTGCGAACACGAAGGGTTGAGAGGCATTCCTTGCTTGCGAGCGGAGGTTGTCAAAGTCCTGTGAGCCCCAGTAGACCTACAGCCATGATAAATTGTTGTCAGTAGTCAGACTTCAATTCAATTAATCAAAGAATAATATTTCTCTTCTTAAGCACCAGTAGGGAACTACGTGCCCCTCGAAGGGTGAAAAGTGAAAACTCTGGTCTAATCACCTCCATGAAGATCCTAGGCAGAGTTTTCGGGAACCTGGGATCGCTGCACGTTCCAGAGTCCGGTCCACCAGAGAGGAACGCGACGTGGGACTTGTGGTCAGGAGAGTCGGTGTTCTTGCCATCCCAGCAACTAGGGAAGTTCTATGCAAGAAAAATGCGACGATCAGGACGTAGGTTGAGCAAAGGAGGGGATGAAATCACTCACGACTTCGGCACGGATGCCAGACGGGCACCTGGTCGTCGGAAGGTAAGGGTACCGGATGCTCTGACCGTTGAAGTCCAGACAGAGGAAGGTGATCGCCCGCTGAGCAGAGCTTGTTGGATCGTACGTGCGCAGCGTTGGGTCGCCACTGATCATGCGGAACTGCAGGTATGCATTTAGGAAGAAGTTCGTTTATCAGGATATCGAGATGGCTCACATCATCGGGGAAGGCGGTTGTTGTCCCTGGTTTGTCACTGAAGAGGTAATCTAATAGACAGGTTAGGTTCATGTGAGTTGTCAAAAGTCCTTCAGACGCTTACAGCTGTGAGGCGAAGGACGTTAGAGATACGGCAGAGGAAGGCAAGAGTATCGAGGACGTACATGACAGCGCCACCATTCAAAGAGGTGAAGCTTCCATTGTTCCACCTAGAAAAGAGATAGATGAGCTTGATACCAAATCGTCAACCCGACAACGACGTACTGGAAATAAAGATGCTAAAATAGAGCAGAACAAAAATAGGCCATCAGTCGACCGTTCTGCCAGCGGCGGTGGCACATCCACTGCAAAGCCAAAAAAAACTCACAGGGAACCAGTACGCAGATTTATCCTGCGGTATTGGGACAGAAGTGCAGTCGCTCTGTCGGAGGAACGAGGTATTGGTGGCGGCTCTGAAGTTGCTTCCGCCAAGAACTGCAAATTGAACGCAAGGTCAGTTTAAGCATCGTGGGAGCGGATAAATGGGGATTGGGTAAAAATAGAGACAGGTTTTCGAAGTAAGGTTGAAACGATGACGTTTGGGGGAATGAAAGCGACGAAAATTAAATCCGCAATTTTAGTGCGTGGATAAGGAACAAAAAGGGCGTAACGACGCGTTGTATGCGTGATGTGGTTGAAATGAGGTTGGATGGGACTTGGATGGCGAACTTACCTGAGTGGACGTGGCCAGAGACCTTCCCGGGGTTCACAACGGGGTCGAGGCGCTCGGTGGTGATAAAATTCTCTGTAAACCATCCATAAGTCTTGAAATAAAGCGCATATATTCAACAAGCGACTCACCAATACCCATGAGCCAGTATGCCCTGGCAGTAGTCGCGAGCGCGGCGAACGCGATGAGGAGCTTCATATCGAGTCTGTCTGTGCTGGTAGTAACGAAGGTGGACCAGTTGGTGAGTAAAGACTGAGGGGGCCAGCACTTGGCTGGGGGAGTATAAGTAGTCGAACGGAGTGAATAGAAGGAAGACAAGAAGGGTATGAGAGCAGAAGGACACTGGCTCCGCGGTAGTCATTCGCTTTGGCCTTGTTTGCACCACCCACCCCTCCTCCGATGCGCTTCCATGTACGACACCCTACGAAACGCCACCCCTCCCTATCTTATCTTCAGTATACCTGGTTCCCGAGGCGTAGGGTCTGCACCGCGAAGAAGCATATAATCTTCTATGCTCCAATGATTTCCGCACCCAAGTACGAGTGGCCGTACTACCTATAAATAACTGTCTTTGATGCTATCACCACCTGGCGGTGCCAGAAACAACGTATACTCGGTCGGAATCGTCCCGAATATTGCCAAGATCACCCGTCCATTAATTTTCGAGATGGAATTGAAGGTAATGTTCTCACCCATTATGAACTGCATAACGTTACGAAGTAGAGAACAAGCACATGTGCGCATGCTCTAATGTTGCTTTTAATTTAGCAAGGCACGCATATGCATGCCTAGCCGGCATGGCGACATGATAACATCCAACAATGCGCTCAAATTTTAAGAGTGGCGAAACCCATCCAGCTTGCAGGAAAACACGCCCTTGGAAACCCACAGGAAATTAAGGTTCAATCATATATGCACATATGTTCGGTTTCATAGAGAGTGAGAATATAGCTCAGCATCACATAGCCGTTGTTGATGATTCATTGTCTAAGAAGCGACTTTCGTGATCTCCCAGGCTTTCGCGATCATAAAACGGCATGGAGCATCGCGCCTCGATGATTTACCGATGTCCCGTGGACTCGAGGGGTGTGCTTAGATGAGAAGATAAACCCACGGGTCCAATCCTCGAAGATCTTGTGCAAATCAGCTGGGAAGATGAGGTACTATCCTGGAGGAGGACCTTCGAAGTCTACATCATCCCTGCGAGGTGGTACGACACCTTACTCAGGCCCTTTGTCCCATGTCTGTCATGTGAGAAAGGTACCGTCCATTTCAAACGCACTACAGTTCATGACCTTCAAATCTACTCTAGCAATCCCCTCCTGCTTATTGACCTACCCGTCATCTGACCAGGGCGGACATGTTTACACAGCCCGGAAGATTCACCCCAGTGTGGCGCGCGCCAAGCCGCAATCCCACCTTCCCTTCCTGGAGAGCCAAGCTATCTCGGCAATCCCGGAATCAGATTTGAAATTTCTCCCCCGTGCCAAGACACGCGTCATAATTGCCCGAGGACGTTCCGTCGCCCGATGACGACTGTGCCGGGTTCTCTCATTATGGGGACCCACATCCGCTCCGAGCCTCGAGTCGGTCCCTGTGCCGGACTCCAGTGCTTCCTAAAGTGAGTGGGGTATCAATACAGAGACTACTCTGTGAGAAGAGTCAGGGAGTGGTTAGTACTCTAACTCGAGTTTCAGACTCTTCTTCAGGTTAGGCAGGCCCAGGCAGGCTGTGTTGAAAAAACCCACGCATTGGTCCGTCTCCGTGCGAAGCCTCCCCTCTGTCACTCAAATAACGAGAGTGTACCTTCGCTCTGAGGTCATACCAGGAGGACAGCTGCCTCGTGAACGTACGTGCGCGTCATATCGCGTAAGTAGTGTAATGGTGAAACGTGGAAGAGGTTTAAAGGGTGTACGGACCTGTCAGTACTGCCGATAGAGCGCACCCGGAGGTTTTACGCTACCTAATGTCAAAAGCCAAACACTCAAACACTCAAACGCTTGAGTATCGATTCTGATCACAGTCGTCTGACTCCATACCGTGGTAATTCAAGAGCTGAGAAGTAGGAAGAGCACATGGTCTTCGCAGTAATCTCGAGTCCTCTCGGGGAATAAGCTTTAGCCTTACCCTAACAGAGGGTCCTACAAAACGGAGGCACGATGCTGACCATGACGCGTCCTCCTAAATCGAGGCTGCCCTTCTTCCTCAAACGTGCTCTCATATGTGGATCATCGACCTCCAAAAGGGAACTTGGGAGTCGGGAAATGTTTCTCCCCATGTCAAGGCCAACGTGCCGTGAGCACAAAACGCAACCCACCCCGTACCGGACGTGAAGTTCGCACACATGGTCTTCTCTATTATGTCGAGGCTGTGCGCACAACGAACACCATCATAAGGATTAGTTGTTATTCAGAACCGCGAAGCAGAGAATTTCTGTCTTTTATATCGGAAATGAAGACACGAGACACCCAGTCGCGTCATAGAAGAACCTTCTTGCTTCTCTGACATATCCACCCGACGTCTATGACGCAGTTTCGTGTTTCGCATCACCGCGTGTGGCGATCATCGACGCTCGGAAAGGAACTCGGAGGATAGGACGCGCTCCGGCTCTGCGAGAGAGCACGTCGTTAAAGGGAAATTTGCTCCATTGAGAAATCATGGAATTTTTCATTTGCGAAAAGTGCCTCAAATGGCGGAGAAAGCGGTGGATTGAAATCCAGAAAATGGAACACTTGGGCTTGCGACGTGATGGGCAAGAGCAAGAGCCTGGTCGGCCGAAGTCTAGGAAAACATCGGGTATTTGCGCTGATGTGTTTATTCGGAATAAGAGGGTTTTGAAACCATTGGAGGCAAGGGAAGAATCACATTCATTGATGAAGAACGAACACCGAATATCGAGGGGGCAAACCTACTAATTCCCCTGTACAGCTATTATGTTATCAATTTTAACTTTCGACGAGGATCAAGAAAAACATGAATATACTCTACTATGAAGGCGCTTGAATCTAATCATTTCTCTTGGCGCTTTCCAGCCGCTCCAATATCTCAAAAAAATGATGGGTGGAGGCACGACCAAGCCACGACGCGAGAATCTCGATTTCTTTAAAGAAACCGGAACCGAACTTCCCGCACACAGTCCAAGCAGAGGCTTCCACGGATATGACGGCCACGAAGACATTTAAATTTAATACCAAGAGTCAAGAGGTTGTGCAGCCCTTCCGAGGATCCCTGCGTCAGAGAAAGTCGTGTCGGATACTCTCGATCATTTTTTAGGTAAAGAGGGCATTTTGGCCATGTATCGCGAGCAAGAGCTAGAGTCAGAGCCAATTGGGCTTCTTCTCGCCCGCGGCGCGTAAGGGTTGCGAATAACAGGTATGGAGGTACACAGGTACCGCGATATTCGATTGCCGAAACGGCTCATCCAGCAGCACTGTAAGAGCCCTTTCCTGATAGTACATTTACCTCGACTTAGGAGCCCCTTTTTCGTATATCACACTCCCTTCTCGCACGTAAGGTACGCCGAAATGAAGGGGGCCTAGAGCCCCATCCAAGCCTGCTTCACCAGCTACCGCGACTCAAGAGCCGGAGCGAGGCTCTGAAGCACCTCATTTGCGGGCGTCGAGAGATAGGGGCGTACTAGGAGGAGGTGCATTAACGAGGAGCGTTCATTACCAGCTGCGGTCGTTCGAGAACTCCCGCATAGACGGAGTCATATTCTGCGCAGAACAGTATGGCACCGAAGAACGGGTTCCATTGCATCCTTAGAAACACGCGCCAACGATGTAGTCTTACCTGAGGACTCGGAATCAAGAAAGCTCCAGCTCCAGCAGGATAATTGCGACTCAACATCAAGTATCGATTCCACCTCCAGGGGCATTCCAGGGGCATTCCAGCGGAAAGTATTCATGATAAATGGCAAGAGCCAATCCTGACAGAGGCTTATCACGACTGTCGATCCCGGAGCAGACGGTATGCGTGAGTATATCAAACAACGACGCCCGCGCACCGCAGTGAACAGTCGGTCGGGGAGGAGTAGAGGAGGAGATCCGAGGGAAGTCTGATTCTTCTCGAGCGGGCCGGCCGGCAACCTATCTCTCAGTCCGAGTCTGTGAATACTACGATTCAGGGCTAGGCATAGAGCCCATCATCAAATAGAAGGTCGAAAGGGCGAGTTCGAGGACTCTAAGTCGACGAGGGACTGCTTGCAAGCCGGTAGAAGGAACCCTCCTTCCTGATTCCATCGAGGAAGGGGTACGGTCGGCTACAGAATCCAGGACGAGAGCGCGAGGCTGCTTGGAGTTTCCGAGTGGTCGTTCTTGTTCCTTCCTCGCTTCCCTACTAGCTCCTTTAGTGCGGGACCGAGAAGAAATGAACCATCGAGTTTCAAGAAGCGCTGAGTGCAGAGAGTGGACTTAAGCCCGATGGCGGTCCAGGATACACATAAACGCGTGCACGTGCAGCTCATTAGAAGCTTCCTGCGCGGCAGTGGCACGTACACGAGTGTACGCGTAGGCAGCGGCATCTACCTTACGTAGTAGATGTGTTTTAGAGGCGAGTTCGCCTCCGGCGGCTGCTGATCCTAGAACAGGTAGTCGACGATTGACGCAACGCGACACTCGAATTCCAACTATCCTAGTCGGCTTTGAACCCTCTAGAGTCGAAGCTGTGGTGGCGCTGCGGATAAGATAAAATAGTCGGGTTGAGGCCTTGCCCTGAACATTGCTTCTTCCAATTTCTGCACCCAGTTTGCAGGTATGTATGCTTGGGAGTCACTTGAGGGTTTTACCGAACGACTCTGCGCCACAGGAGTTACAGTACCCGAAGAAGAACCCATGGGCGCCACAGGCAAAGAAGGTTCCGAGGTGATGATTTTCTCGAAGGATTTTCGATCGCTTTATCGATTCCCGGTGGCCTTCATGGGGTCACCTGTCTATGAATTTCCCGCTCTGGTTTATGAGTGAACGCCGCGAATCAGTTTATTGCACCTGGCAGGCGTATACATATTGCACTACTATTTGCATTTATTTCTTCTCCCCCTCCCTTTTCCTCTCGCGGAGCAGTCCGACCACGATCGCTATTATTCAAGGTTCTCGTGGTTTACGTGGACCTTTATTGCGTTTGCGGGGTTTGAGCATTTCGAGTAAGTCCGATGCCCATTCCTTAACCCACGTCTCCTCTCCGAACTCCTCTCGAACCCACTGGACAAAAGACCACGACCTATTTTCCTCTTCAAGGGTTGCCCAACCATTGGCCTTGTGAATAAGAGCACATATCTCCTGTGAATCGTGGGCTATTGCCACATCAACGCCATATGCCTCAGCTTGGTCCTTATTCTGGAACCAGGAAGGGCGTGAAAAAGCGAAGTCCAAAAACATCAGGTACTCCGAACTGCCGTCGGGGGTCTGGACGACGCGCAGATTATCGTTACGTACATCCAAATCGCAGACACCCGATTGATGAAGGCTGTAAACACCCTTCAACAACGCGAGGGCCTGGTGGCAAGGTAAGCAGTGCTTTCTCTATTGTGGAAACATACCAGAAAGGGATGCGTACCATGGGATACCAGCGTATGTCGTGGGTTGTGTTACTTCCAAGAGCATTGCAACGTTCGAGAAAAGATACACCCCCGATGTAGGACATAGCCGCACCAAAGTGGGCATCATCTCCTTCCGTAGTTTTAACCTGAATCAAAGGTAGGTTTCAGATCAAGACATTCCCGATGCTCGATGAAAGAGCACAGACCAAGTAGGCGCCATAAAATTTGGGGACCACTTCCCCCTGAAGGCGTGTCATATTCTTGTAGGCAGATGACTCCGTCCACGCTAGGAGTGCCTCTGTATGTCCGTCGGAGTTCGGTCCTGAGTGAGTCTCTGGTGAAGGCGCAGAGCCTGGGAGTGGCTCTGTACGCGGAAAGAAGTTCCAGGTGTACACTTTCAACACGACGTCCACAGGTCCCAATTCGGGGACAGTCAAGAATCCGCGGTACACTTGCGACCACTTCCCAGGACCCAGATGGAGTCCAGACGTTGGCGCAAAACGTGTATTCGGCGGAAGTTCTCGAAGGGAGTATGGCTTCGGCGATGAGTGTAAGTTGGTTCGTCTTTGATTCCCTTCATCGGTCACGACCCCATTCGGAGGCCAGTTGTCTGGAAATATTACTTGGTGAGTTATGGGAAAGGTATTCATGAGACTTGTACGGGGACGCTTGAAGCGCCGTTCGTCTGAACCTGTGGCTTTAAGTAGTGTTGCAAAGAATATGTCACATCAGTCACAGTCGCCAACGCATCAGAGGACCTACAAACATACAGAATGGGGGGCTACACAATAATCTAGTGGGGAGGCTCGGGTCGTTTATTGTTGTTGCGGCTACATGATAAATTAATGTATCTCTGGCGTTTTCTTGGTTGTTACAGGAAGGAGCTTATATAAACACCGCCAGGGATTGGCCAATGTAGGCCCAAGCATTGGCTGCCAGGAAGGAACATAACACACAGTGTGTCGTTCTTGCCACACACATTATTCATCACCTCAGAAGTGGCCGCATTTCGTGTATTCTGTTAAGATTCAGTCACCCTGCACGGATGGCCGCTGTGAGAGAGAGTAGATAGGTTGTTGCAAGTCAGGCCACGTCTCAGGCTACAAGGGACGTTCGACGAGGGCTATGGTAGTGTGTATATACGATTATACCCCCGCGGGGCCGCTAGTAACACCAGATCATAGGAACAGGAAATAGTTGCGGGATGCACGTCTCCATTGCATGCGAAGACATCTGTGCCAAAATAGGCGCTTCGGAATGTCCACCCTGTGGCGACTCCGTCAGCATATAGCATTCACTGCATAAGAAATTTTAATGTGGGCCCCTACCTTCTTGCCTGAAGTCTCCTCCATGACAAAATTGTGTCGGACAACCGCGTAACAGAAGAGACAATTGCGAGTGTGGTCATCAAACTTAAAATGTGGACGTGTGTGTAGATAATCTATCATGTTTAAGAAACTGGAAACTTAACCACACAAGAGAGACAATTGTCGAGTATGTGGAGGTTACGGAAAATCGGTAATGATGAATCTGCGCGCGACAAGTCAGGGGGCTCGTTTCGTTCGTAGCTCACTGTCTGCAAGCCGTACCCACATAAGAGTTTAAAAATATTTTTTTGGGGGAATGGAGAGTCCAGTTATTTAAGTTGCATTGAGTCTGGAGTGAGATACATCTATTCGCCCAACATGTCTCATGAAGGAATCTATGGACTGCTTTTCGGCCAGGATCAAAAGCCTACCAGCCTTCTTGAAGCCTGCTTTAGGCCACTCAACGACGCCGCCGAAAAACTAATCGCCGATTCACCGCCTAGTGACAAGATCGATACTAGTAGCTCTAATGCCGTTGTCACGGAGGAAAGGCCGCGATATCAAGGTTTATTTTTTTCCTCGAGTAAGAGAGCGTTGCTCAGAACTCAGGACTTCAATTACAGGCCTAAAGCTACTACGGATCCATGAGATGTTGAACTTGAAATTACCGTCATACGAATACCTTGGACGTCCCCCACGACCACATGAAAGCAGCACCCGAAATAAGCGCTTCTACAATATAACATTTGATTTCGACCTTGAAACCCTTTTTTACGATGACCCTGGCGTTGAAAATCGCCTCCTACAGGCAATAGATTTCCTCGATCCAACGTTTAGGACCCCCCAGTTCGAAGTCAACCCTGAGGTGAGGGTTGAAAGGGATATCAGGTTTTTAGCCTACATATGCTTTTCCGACGGCTCTGCTCTGACATACCCTTATTCAGCAAGCGTAATTCTTCTATGTTTACACCTTTCCTTGTGCAAATGGCGAATAGTTTATGCCCTGAGAACTACGTCGTCGCCCATTTTCTTGAGGCTACCGAAGAAGATGTAGAAGTATTGCCAGGAGACGAGTCAGGGTCCGCATTCCGAGGCAGAATTGATCACATTATCGGTATTAAGAAGATATCGTCCGCAATGACAGCTGCCGAGCTTGCGAACTGTGATTTCGGTACTGTCTTCAAGAAGCCAAGTGCTCAAGAATGGATGGAGCTGCAAGATTGCAAGAAAGATAAAGATGGTGTCGTCCAGTCCCTCATGGGTATTGAAGACAAGGTTAGTGATTCTCCGGGATATCCAACCATAGTGCATTGATCCTTACTTCGTCCCAAGCGCTCCATCAATCTTCCTGCATGGAAAGACGCGCAGGACATGGAAGCTCCGTTAGGGACCGCGCCATCTCGTGAAGTCAAATTAGATGCCGCACAGTTGTTGAAGTGAGGATGCCCCGTAATTTTTAGCTTAAATCAACTAATAAATCTAAATTCTACAGATATGCGCAGCTGTTTAAGCAACGGCGCCTGTCGATTAACAATGGTGATAGCTTTATCCTGTTCGAAATTCTCAAGGAAGACATGGAGAAAATCAGCTCCATATACGCAGCCACTGTAAAGGCAGACGCTATCGAGTGCAAACTCAATGGGGTTCTGAAATTGTTCCTGAGAATGTTATTTGAGGCGCTGGAGGAGAAATTTGGTCAGTTTAACAAAGAAGCTCAGGGTTGGGTGCGAGGTGGGAAAATTCGAGGCGCTGTCGAGATGGTCCAAGGCTTTCATCATCCAAAGGTGGTTGTAAAGAGAGAGTAATTACAGCGATCATAGTACTTATCTGCTCAGATTGATTACTTGGGCATTTACAGTTGTATTATACCTCCGATGAACTAAATATCGGTTATTGACGCCTGAACGATTGAACGTTGAACATTCAGTAATATCCAGGGACCAGGTGGCAGATAAATTTGAGACAGGTTGCAGAATTGGTCTCGAGAAAGTAGAGCTGACGTGTAGGAATAAAGTAATTGATTTTCCAGTCGATTCAGTGCGGATACAATATCCCAATAAGGGCCGTCTACAACTATATATAGATGGGGTAGAGCAAGCAATCTGCGTCGAAGAATCGACGTGTCTCGAGGCGTCCAATTTGGCGTGGGCACTTCCTAATCACATCTTGTACCTCTCGCCTCACAATCCATTGATGAAACCCCGCGGCACGAGAAGAGGATGGGAGAGACATCATCCAAGTCTCCTGTTCGCCTCAGATGGGTACGACGCGGGGGGCGCTTCAGCCTCCTTGAGGCCATGGCCAGCATCGCAATAGCAGAGCTGACTCAGCTGAGGCGGCGCTGTCGTGGTGCCAATTGTACATCTGCTAATATTGGTGTATGTCCACAAAGGGCGCAGGACGCAAGGTGGCGGTGCGCGGTGCGATCAACAAGAGTGCCGTGAGCTAGTGTATCCGAGGGCTGACAGTGAGCGAGAGGCAGCGGCCGAGGATTCGCAGCGTACTTACTGGGTGGGTATCCCCTTGCTAAGTCGGGGCGTACCAGGATGAGGTGCACTAACAAGGAGCGTTCATTACCAGCCGTGGTCGTTCGAGAACTCGCCCGTATACGGGAGTCATATTCTGCGCAGAACAGTATGACACCAAAAAACGGGTTCCATTGCATCCTTAGAAACACGCGCCAACGATGTAGTCTTACCTGAGGACTCGGAATCAAGAAAGCTCCAGCTCCAGCAGGATAATTGCGACTCAACGTCAAGTATCCACCTCCAGGGGCGTTCCAGCGGAAAGTATTCATGATAAATGGCAAAAGCCAATCCTGACAGAGGCTTATCACGACTGTCGATCCCGGAGCAGACGGTATGCGTGAGTATATCAAACAACGACGCCCGCGCACCGCAGTGAACAGTCGGTCGGGGAGGAGTAGAGGAGGGAAGTCGAGCGGGCCGGCCGGCAACCTATCTCTCAGTCCGAGTCTGTGAATACTACGATTCAGGGCTAGGCATAGAGCCCATCATCAAATAGAATGTCGAAAGGGCGAGTTCGAGGACTCTAAGTCGACGAGGGACTGCTCGCAAGTCGGTAGAAGGAACCCTCCTTCCTGATTCCATCGAGGAAGGGGTACGGTCGGCTACAGAATCCAGGACGAGAGCGCGAGGCTGCTTGGAGTTTCCGAGTGGTCGTTCTTGTTCCTTCCTCGCTTCCCTACTAGCTCCTTTAGTGCGGGACCGAGAAGAAATGAACCATCGAGTTTCAAGAAGCGCTGAGTGCAGAGAGTGGAAGTCCGATGGCGGTCCAGGGTACACATAAATGCGTGCACGTGCAGCTCATTAGAAGCTTCCTGCACGGCAGTGGCGCATACACGAGTACACGCGTAGGCAGCGGCATCTACCTTACGTAGTAGATGAACCCTGCAGGTGAGTTCGCCTCCGGCGGCTGCTAATCCTAGTCCAGGTAGTCGACGGTTGACGCAACCCGACAATCAAATTCCAATTATCTTAGTCGGCTTTGAACCCTCTAGAGTCGAAGCTGTGGTGGCGCTGCAGATAGAATAAAATAGTCGCGCTGAGGTCTTGCACTGAACATCGCTTCTTCTTCGAATTTCGGCACCCAGTTTGTAGTTATGTATGCTCGGGAGTCACTTGAGGGTGCTACCGAACGGCTCTGCGCCACAGGAGTTACAGTTCCCGAGGAAGCACCCATGGGCGCCACAGGCAAAGAAGGTTCCGAGGTGATGATTTTCTCGAAGGATTTTCGATCGCTTTATCCCGGTGGCGAGGATTGGAGCTAAGGATAGTCACCGATGCCCGTGGTGGTGACCAGTTACTGTGTTGACTCCTTGGATACTTACAGCTGGCATCGCCTGATGTCATTTTGGTGTTGTCCTCGGGAGGGGGTCCATCAGGGATACCGATAGCTGGCAAACCATGAACCAGGTATTTAAAGCAAGCTTTAGGCCAAGCGACAACAGATGGTGCATGATGTTTCAACCTCCCAGCGGTCCAAGTCCAGCCAAGTCCGCTGCATGCTGAAACGCAGTGTTTAGTGGAGATAGTATTTAGGACTTGAAGCTTGAAGCCCAAGCTCGAGATTGTATTTGCAGGATGCGCTTCCTCGTTCTTCGAGAGTTCGGAGGGACAGAACACGTCAGGAATCAGAGTCGAGTAGGTTAAAGACTAGCTAGTGGCTCAACTGACCAGCACTCCCGGCAACACCCGACTTATTTTCCCATGTGTCAACATTACGGGGGTCGAGCGACGCTGCAACCTTGGTCCTCAGCATAATCGTCAACGACAGGAAGACGGATTTTGAAAAATTCTCAGGTGAGTAACAGAAAGAGAGCATCCTCCTGATACTTATTCCTCCGTTTCTAATCTCTTAGGATGACGTATAATACTCAGAAGATGCAAGTCGATCATTGGAGATATCTCTGGGAGTCATAAAGGCGGCAGGCAGTACTGTCCTCCAGCGTTCCCGGATCCTCTGAATTCCTTCTGTACTAGGGGACCATGTCCTCCCTGGGTTTTGACACATTCTCGCTCGCCGTTTGTAGGGTATCGATGGTGTCGGTATGTCTTCTGCAAATATGGTGCCCTCACAACATATTTTCACATTCCCGTCTTGTCGCGCAGTACTTCAATGGCTAGTTACATATCCATCCGATATCCCGTCTCTATTTATTCGCAAGGATTACCCCCGAAAGGACCTGACCTTTCGTCACACCTCGACGCTACGCGTCTCGATGGATCGAGGATAGATAAGCTGTCAGAAGGCTGTCACGGCGACCTGCGGAATCGCACCAGCATCGATATCGCCACAACGCATCAGATATCAACCTCAGTCTCTCTCATTGACCATCAGAACCTCTGTTCACTGGCCAACAATGCTGTAGGAGACTCGATTCTGACGAGGAACATGCAAAGTTTATTTATGACCTTCCAGGTTACCCTCGACCGCCGATGATACGATATTCGACAATATCGGCCCAGGAGACCTCATACGATACTCTCGCACCTGTAGGGAGGCCCGAGATGCAGTCGCTGCATACAGCCGTCGAGCATTCTACCTAGAAGGCGTACTCTCTCGCTACTTCAGCCCGGTACAGATCCTCAAGTTTCGAGAGCTGCAGTTCGAGACGGGCGCTCTGATCTCTGGCTCCACGGCGCTCCAGCTTCTTGACCGCACCTATTATGAGAATTCCGATCTAGATGTGTATGTTGCCCAGCGCGCTTGCAAGCCCATCGCTTTTTGGCTGCGGAGCATTGGGTACAAGTACGTGCCACGGCCGCGGCGCTCCCCGTTCATGCAAATTGTACCCGAACTACAGACACTGGAAACGGCTCTCGACTATATGAGTCCACATATGCCTCAGATTTTGGCCATTGATCGGGAGCGAGACGACGAGCATCAATTCCTCGATGCGCGCGACGATGGATACAGTGGGGGACTCAACATCTATGATTTTAAGAAGCCAAATGAAGAGGTCAAAATCCAGCTCTTCACGACCTGGCAGGCTCCCTTGGAGTGCATCTTGAACTTCCACTCCAGTAAGTATCTTCCGTTTCAGCTTCTCTTCCCATTGCCGACGCATCGAAGCGTGTGTGATGAATTTCATTACCTACGACAAGGCAATCTCCCTCTACCCGCAAGCAACATTCGATCAACGACGCGCGCTGGCATGCCATCCCAACTGGCAAGGACGACGAGAAGCGTATGCTAAATATAGAAACAGAGGATGGAAGATTATCAAGAAGGCCTGGCGGCTCGAAGCCGAGGACCCTGATTCCCCCTTTGTGTTGGGCATCCGCCGGGTGGGAGACTCGAAGTGCTGGACGGTGCCTATCTGCCCTAAGGTCGACTTCCCCGAGAGTACGATGGAGGCGAATACATGGCGCCTGGAGCGGCATTGGCATACGCGTGGACCGGAGATGGCATTCAGTGTGCTCAAATCTCCGGCCCTGGCATCGAGGTATTTGGTCGCCAATTCTGAGATTGAGGGAGTTATCTCGGGGGGTCTTCCGGAGAGCTCTAGTGAAGGGTATGGCCCAACAAACTTTGAACCGTTGAGCCGCTCTAATAATTATTAGAACATGGGACGCGAAACTCAAGGAACTTGTCGAGTCGCATTGGGAGTTGGAGGTTGAGCAAGAAAAAGACGAACCTATACCAGAGGGAGAGGCGTGGTTTTAAGGGAGAATTTGTCAGCTGGAGAGGCCGATGTTTCCATTTCAAACCCTAGTTTATAGCCATAATCCCTTGAGGCTTGAACTCAGCGCTCTTTAAGCGCCCATACGTCGGCTGGTACCTGGCGAAAGCGATGCTTCGGATATGATTTGAATTTCCTAATTCCCTTGGGGAAAGTGCTGAACCTTTGGTATTACAGTCGCGTCGGGTTTCCTGCTCGCGCTACGTAACTGAGCTAGACGCTACTCGTGCGCTTCAAATTAAGGCTCGCATATTGCCGGTCAGAACCAAGATCTGTCAATGCGTCATGATCTTGACACGGATATGGCCTGTGCGGCTTTGTCACTCCTGGCAAAGTTTTCCCTGTTAACTTCTTATGGCGATGTATAACTGTTCGCAACTACCGGACTCGGAGAGATCATTACAGCTGCGGCCGAACGTCATGATGCGGAAGCCTGAGACTCGGGGTTGTTGACTGAGAAGCAAGACCAGACAGCCATCTCCGACCATTGCTACTTCCTCCTTTCTCTCATCTATGTCTACGGGGGACCTCTCTACACTCTCCTTTACAGAATGGGTGGAACTAGCATCAGTGTGTCTCCAAGAAATATAAGGACTCTCAATATGTTTTGACAAGATGTACTCCGGTGCACAGTGCATTATTGGTGAGTCCAATACAGGGAGTGTTAACGATGTGCGCCCGTCTCTATGAGTTTTCATGTTCCCCTTCATGTCAGGGGCCAGCACTACATTACTGGTGTACGATTGGTTTCTCACCATACGTCGCGAGGTGGCTATGGTCTGGACCTCAAAGTGGAACTTAACGACAGTCCTATACATGATCTCCCGTTATATGCCATTTACTGGAGTGGTCCTCTACTGTCTGTATACTTTTTAATCGTTGCAGCTATGAATCAAGCATCCTCAACTAGATGTACAAGCACCTTTGACCGCTGAGAAGCCTATCTCCGATGCTGTCAAGGCTTGCCAGCTCGCTTACCAGGCCCAAGCGTGTAAATTAAACCATCTCCTCCTTCTCCCTCTGGTTAATTTCTCCGAGCAGGGACATTCATGATAGGTTTCTGCGCTGGAGAAGGTTAGTAAAGTGTTTTTATTTCTATCTAATGCAACAATGCTTACCACGTTGCGATGCTCTTGCAAGCCCTTCTGACACTGCGAACGTGGGCGGTATGGGGAAGATCGCGCAGGATGGGTGTGATTCTATTCGTTCTCTTCTTCATTGGATGGGGTGGCGGGTCTGCTTTAGTGGCTGCATTCCCAAGGAATGTGAAATGTAAGTGGAAGAATTACTTATTGGCTCAGATATTGGCTAACCACGCTATAAGATGGTGTAAACCCCCTGAGGTCATACATTATGTGCTACATACCCCCTGATGGTCCGCCTTTCGTAATCTGGTGCTGGGCCCTGTATTTGTTCTGGAATACGCGTGCGTCTGGTCTGAGTCTCTCTTTCTTTATCCGGCCTATAAAGAGATACATTTACCAGTTGTGCTGTTTCTTATGGCCATACCCGCTTGCACGGCGTGTAAGTTTTTGCCTGCTGCATCCACATGATCCATAAGGAGTAATTGTGGCGTCCGCATAGTCAGGCAAGGGGGGAATCCTGCAATGATGAGAATGGTCTATCGTGATGGTGAGTTACTTCTTCGTGGCTAGCTGGTGTATTCGGATTCACTGTTGATTTTTTTCAGGCATCGTCTACTACTCCTACCTTTTCGGTTCGTATGCCACGTCTGAACTGGACGAATACCACATTTAACAGAAATATGCTGAAGCTCTATCTCTCATCAACGTCATTGTAACACCGCAGCTCCCGGTAGGTAGTCCTGTTTAACCTTGTAACCCATGTCAGGCTAAGTATGGCGCATCAATTCAGTACGATGTTGTAGCGCTTTTTGCAACGTAGGCACACCTCGCCTCTTGCCCTTTTTTCCTTTCTTAATCTCAAGACCAAAGGCCGGTGCGTTCTTTGCACGCTGTGCTTACATGCCGCACGATCCTACACATTCGCGCTCAGGCACGGGCGGATGAGACGATACTGGTTGGCGACTCTCTTTCGCAAGTTCAAGGTCGGGATGCTCGGAACCGTGAAGGAGAGAGGCCGGGAGAGGAGATACACTTCCGGACGATGACAACGGTCTCGACGGGTCCGTTAAGTCGTTCGGCGCCTTAAAGGTATACCTATCGACCACTGGAGGAATGTAAGAAGATCTTCAAATCGTTGATAGAGAATCTACTTACATCTGTGATGTTATGGACTTCAACACATACACTGATCCCAATAGTCGTTTTCGTGCCTTATCTCTATTTCCCCTTCCCTTCATATTCGGCCTTGTCGACGGCCATCCTTTTGGCGTCTTCGACGGACCTGAAATACCTGCTTGCATTGGGTATTTCCATGATCTCTGCGACAGTCATGCCTTCAGAGGTTTACCAGCTATGTTCGCCGGCCACTCTATTTTCGAATGAGAGGTCTCGGAGGTTGGTCGCGACTCTGATATACCAATCTGAGGGACGAAAGTAGGCTGGTTGGGAAAACCAAAATTTAGTCATTTCAACAACGAGTGAGGGCGCAGGTAGTACTATTCTTGGCGATAAGGGGAGGGTGTTGGTCAGACTTGTCAAGGCAGACTACTCACGAGTCACCATAGGAGACTTCGAGTTCACTAGGACATTGAATAGAATTACGGGGCTATTTCGTGCGCCTCGAAAGGAATCGATTCTCGAGGAGGGGTTCAATGTTAGTCTCCCAAAGGCAGACGGTGGAATACCTATCTCGTTTCCGACATCAAGGCTTTGAACAAGTTTCTGTCCTATGAGACTGTGGGAAAGCCGATCAATAGTTACAGTAACATAGCTTGTAACGGACGGCCGTGCCAAACAAAATCCACGGGAGGTGTTGGTTTCTTTTCTTCGAAAAATATCTGGTCGTCATCGAAAACCAATGGAGGCCGCGGTGAGTGTAGTTACCCTCATATCTATAGCTACTCTGATCGAAATGCAGACAGGGCTCGAAAACTCTGAACCGTTCAATGCAGAACCTTTGGTCTACGCACAGACGCGGCAAATTGAACTTGAACTCTCCTGAAGTATCTGCTGCTTCGACACCACCAACGCCGGGCACGGAAGAGCCAACAACGACTGCAACAACACCAGTCCCATCTTCTGCCGCGATATCAGCTCCAGTTTCGACCATAGAACCAGCTCAAGAAGCCACCACGGTTGCGGTAAATGGCAAGAGAAAGTTGCGATCTACGCGAGCGGCCGAAGGAAGCAGTAAACGATCGAAGACGACTGCAACCTCAGGCGGTTCAATAGCGAAGGATTATTCACCACCAACGACGCGGTTATCGGATTTGGGAGGGGTCGAAGCCTGTGCGGAGAAAATGCTGGAGCTTGTCGCGATGCCTATATGTCATCCCGAGATTTACCTGCACACAGGCGTCCAGCCTCCTCGCGGTGTTCTTCTACATGGGCCTCCTGGCTGTGGAAAAACGTTACTGGCTCATGCAATTGCCGGAGTAAGCTAGCTCCCGCTTTCTCTCCAATATATCTCATTTGTTTGCACTTCAGGAACTTGGTGTCCCGTTCATCAGCATCTCAGCACCCTCTATCGTCTCCGGAATGTCCGGAGAATCGGAGAAAACGCTTCGCGACACGTTTGAGGAAGCCAAGGTATGTTTAGTCGAATGCGTGCTGCCTCTGATCTGACAAATTTTTAGCGCATTGCACCTTGCCTCTTATTTATCGATGAAATCGATGCCATTACACCTAAGCGCGAAAGTGCACAGAGGGAGATGGAGAGACGTATTGTCGCTCAGTTTCTCACCTGCATGGACGGTTGGTTCTCTCTGGGATACGATTTTTCATGCATATACTCAACCTGCTTTCACCAGATATGTCCTGGGAGAAAAACGATAACAAACCTGTCATTGTCATAGGCGCCACAAATAGACCCGACTCTCTTGATGCGGCTTTGCGACGGGCAGGGAGGTTCGATCATGAAATCAGTATGGGTGTTCCAGATGACGAAGCACGATCCAAGTGAGCTCTCTACGAATGTCCTTCAATTTACCTCTCATTTTTCTTTTCATCAAAGGATTCTTCAAGTGCTATGTGCGAAATTGCGTTTGGAGGGCGATTTCAACTTCACTGCTCTTGCCAAAGCTACTCCAGGATACGTGGGTGCAGACCTCGCGGCTCTTACGGGTGCTGCTGGCATCATTGCCGTCAAGCGGATCTTCAAGCAGCTTTCGGAAGGTACTCTCGTCCTACCCGATCCAGACCCCGAGTTGGCGCCTTCAAATGTTACCGAGGATCAGGACATCTCAATGGCCGTTGACCGGCCTCCAGTCGACCTTCCTACTGTAAAAGCAACTTTGTTTGCTGGCCTGTCATCTCTGCCTTCAGGATCGATAGCCCACTTCCTCATTGCGCATCCTGACCCGCTTACCGAAAGCCAACTCGCACCACTATGCATTACTGCCCCTGATTTCATGCTGGCGTTGAAGCAAGTACAGCCATCGTCCAAGCGAGAAGGGTTCGCAACGGTTCCGGATGTGACATGGGCAGACATCGGGGCACTGCATGCAACGAGGGAGGAACTTCACATGGCGGTCGTTCAACCAATCAAACGGCCGGAGCTGTTCAGCGCTGTTGGCATTGACGCGCCGTGCGGGGTGCTTTTGTGGGGTCCACCAGGATGTGGAAAGACCCTTCTTGCGAAGGCTGTTGCCAATGAGTCAAGGGCGAACTTCATCAGTGTAAAAGGTCCAGAATTACTCAATAAGGTGAGAGTTTCCTCTCGCGACTCGGCGTTCGCTGGGCTCATTGTCTGCTTTATTCAGTACGTCGGCGAGAGCGAGAGAGCTGTACGCCAGGTGTTCTCTCGCGCGCGTGCCTCGGCACCATGTATCATCTTCTTCGACGAGCTAGATGCTCTTGTTCCTCGTCGAGATGACAATCTGGTACGTTGCTCGACCCAATGAAGTATTGAATCCGCATTCTTATTTATGCACCTTAGTCCGAGTCCTCAGCCCGAGTCGTAAACACACTCCTCACCGAATTAGATGGACTGGATGCTCGCAAAAGCGTCTACGTGATCGCTGCCACTAATCGGCCTGACATGATCGATCCTGCCATGGTTCGCCCAGGGCGTCTTGACAAGCTGCTCTACGTAGACCTACCGTCTGCTTCAGAACGCTCCGAGATCCTACGCACTCTGATACGCAAAGTCCCGCTCGGATCCCTAGATGGAATGTCTCCCGAGCAGACTAAACAGGAGATTGAACGCCTTGTTGGGGAAAAATGCGATGGATACAGTGGCGCAGATCTGGCTGCCTTGGTCAGAGAGGCTGGTGTCGTGGCGCTCAAGCGTACGCTGGGTGCACTAGACGAAATGGACGATGAGGCTGAAAGCCCCGCCGTCCTAGTCGGTGTCGCCGATTTCCACAAGGCGCTGGACAAAGTTGGACCTAGTGTCAGCGCTGCGCAGAGGAGGAAATATGAGAACCTGCGATCGAAGTTCTCGGGTCTGCCGGTTCGGTTAGTCAAAGACGAAGAGGAGAAGCGGGTAGAGGAGAAGGTTGCCTAAAATCTCGTACATGATCTGTTCATGCATCAGCTAGGTCATCCCTTACAATTTTTTATTTCAAAAAATTCAGATTGATTTCGAGTCGACCACAGCAACTGCCGGTTGAACCTTTAGGCTACCTTCGAGTCTCGACTGACGTGCCGCCTCCGTTCTTCGGGCAGCATGAACTCGAGAAAATCAGTATCGGCCTCCAAATTATCGTGTTTCTTGTGCCTCGAATTGACCGGTCAAGTTGGTCTGCTAGACGCCGGAAAACCCTTTCGGCTTTTTGTTTGATCGATCGGGTTTTTTTGCTCCAAACGATGGTCGTCCAGTGACTCCAGTCATTGAAAGTTGATTGAAAGGGTCATCCGACCATCTGGCCAATCTAACCGAGGTCCTCGAGCTATCCTTTCGACTGAAATCTCGTGGAAGGAAGAGAGAGCTGACTACAGACTCGGACTTGGGCGTCATCTGTGATGCATCTAATTGGCGATTTCTGGGACGCACTTGTCACCGTACAGGTTTGCTGATCATGGTGGATGTAGCGAATGGAGGAGCCAGCAGTTCGCATCCGTCGCCATCACATATAGTTCAATAGAGTGCCTCCTCTCACACCTGGCACAGCACATGGAAGCAGGATCGGATGGGTCGATCGCCGCTCAGGACCGAGGACGAAAATAGCTGGTTGCCAGAGGGGCATTGGGCGTTGAGTAAGCGATGACCGCACGAGGACTGATCAGGCCAGGCACCTCTTTTTAAATGTCGCGGTCAATTATAATGCCACACCGGGGAGCCTTCGCAGTTCTTTCTCGCCTTTCACTTTTCTCGACTGCCCGTTATGTCGGATTTGGACGCCCAGACGTTGGCGGACTCGATTGTATATACACGGATCGTATCAGTAAGTCAGCATCCTCCTAGTCCAATGGTTCAGGCGGTTGACTGTCCATAAGTACGTTAACGGTATGGCCGACGTACAGACCTGTTTGTTCAATGATCTGATAGCATCTTGAAGCTGGCAGCTTCGCCGTCCTCGTACGTGCTTTCTTTCAATGTCTCAAACCATCGCTCATCGATGTTTTCAGTTCTTCGATTCCCTCCTAACATTAAACCGAGAACTCGTCACGATTTGGCAATCAAAGTGGAACTATACCAAGTTCATGTATCTCCTAACAAGATATTCGACGTTTGTCGAAGCGGGGGTAGTTATCTATCGTGAGTTCTTGTCATTCTTTCGCGGACGGTTTGTTGACCAGACTGCCTAGAGCTATCCATACCCGGAGATTGGTACAGAGACTGTGCGTTAGCGTTCAAGACGAACGCGAGTGAGTCCTTCAAGCAAAGTCCACCCTTCGTCGAGAATTCAACCAATGATTATTAGTGCTTTTCGTGTTTGGGCTGGGTACAGGAGAGAGTACGTCTTCCATCCTCGTTCCATGCTTCATTCTCACCGAATTCCTCAGTTATCATGACGATCCGAACATGGGCAGTATGGGGGAAGAACCCGGTGCTCAGATGGTTCTTGCCCATTTTTTACCTGCTTGTCTGGGCTGGGGGTTTCGGAGTGACAGGATACTTTCTCTCCACACTCGAATGTGAGTAAAACCGCCGTCGGCCCCTTTCCGTCAATAGGTCTACCCCAATGAGCTCATTCACATGGTCTTCTTTATTCCCAATTCAGTCGAGCCTAATCCCCGAACGCCCTACATCGGGTGCTACGCGACGTACGCAAGCCCGATCATCTTCATCTCGTGGGTGCTGCTGTTGGTATACGATACAGGTCAGTGGACCTTTCGTTGTCTTTTTGGCTGCGCCCGCAGGTGGGACGTTGCTGACTTGATAATCTTTGTAGTCATGTTCGTATTGATGGTCATCCCTGCCTGGAGAGCCTGTGCGTCGCTTCGCCTTTCTGTCTCACGAAATGTATTTTCTCACTCGGACACTGCGATATAGATCGAATGGGCGGTAGCTCGCGTTTAATTCGGGTCGTCTATCGCGACGGTGAGCAGCCTTTGGACTTCTACTGCTCCGCAGTGCGTGCTGAACTTCGTGCGCAGGTCTGATGTATTATCTTTATCTTTTTGGTATGCGGGAATGGCAAGCGTCCTGAGAGAAGTCTGACTCCAGAATAGGTTTCTCACTAGTAAACATTATTGTAATCTTAACTGCACCGGTACGTCTACTCTCTTCTTTCGCTGTACGACATGTGCTAACCTCTTCCGCAGGGCGACCTTTTCCTTGTTATTTCCCTGTAAGATACCCACCTGATGCCTCATCCGAATAATCCGATTCTCATGCTCCTCCGCAGACTATCACGAGTCTTCCACGCCATCCTTGCCTGTCGTGTGGTGTTGCACATTGCCGAAAACGCCCGGCCCGTCCTCGACTCGCAACAATCGAATTCACGGAGCGACACTACTGCTTCCCATCGGTTTATACGCACGCCTACGACCGCACAAGGGGTTTCATTTGCGTAACTCTACGACCACGATCACATCCCGATTGTAATACTAATATCTGTACCACCACCACGCACCACTTTCCTCCAAAGCACGAAAACGGCATCGGCGTCTACAACTCGCCCACTTTCTTGACGCCGACCAACACACGCTCGTTCCTCTTCCAGAACTCGACATGGATCTCCGCCAGCCTTGTCGGGTCATCCTACGCAATTAATTCGGAAAGTTAGGAAGAGAAGAGGTACGGAGGCAGTTCACGAGGCCCCGGGACGGAAGGAAGGTGGGATCCCGACTCGACTCACCTCGTGCAGCATGTGACCTACCCCGGGGACGACAACCATTTGGAACTTGCCCTGCATTTGGCCAATCATCAGCTCCTTATCTAGGCGATCTGTTCCCGCAAGGACGAGCAGGCGCGCTGTACGTGCACTCAGGAAGGATTTGGAGAGGCCTTGGAACCAGCCTGCACGGGAATTATCGCGGTCTCTGTTAATCTTTATTTTTGGGATTTTTTGATGGGAGGACGCACTCAGCCAGTAGGGGGCGGTGGAGCGCAAGGGCGTTCTCCATTGGTATGGGGGAATAGATCCTTCCTTGTGTATGATTATAGCGGGAATGGAGACTCGCGCAGATGCAGCGTTATGGATTGTATTGGTCGTCACGCTAGAGAAAGCAATTGGAGTTGAGTGATTCAAGATACAGAATGCAGCTCGGGCACTCACTGCCATTCAATGGCTTCTTCCATACTGTCAAATCCATCGGGACGAGCGTTCAGGAGACTGTTCATGTGGGGTAGGGCTTCAATGGAGAAACCTATACGACCTTTCAGTATACGAAAGAGATCAGTTAGAGGCAGGTCGACCTTCGACAACGTCTAAAACGGAAACTCCCGCAATACGATACTTCTTTTCTAGTAGTAGCGGACACGTTCTAGTGATCACCGATCCACCCATGCTATGACCAACGAACTACGAAATAGGTTAGCGTAAACAGTATTTGAATACCATAAGCCTGACACATACCAGGAGCGTAGGTGCAGACACTGGATTAGGAAAGATGGTTTCCACAATGGCTAGGAAGTCAGCGACGAGGACGTCAATCGAGAAATCGGCATCGTCGCTGTCCGTCGAGGTCGTCTTCCCTTCTCTTCCATCAGATGCGAATCATTAAATCCAATAAATCAAAAGCTCACCATGGCGTCGGGCGTCTATCGAGAGTACGCCACACTCGCCCTTTGTCATCTCCGTCACCTCTTTCGCAAAACACGCAAAGCTGAGCCCCGAATAGCCCGCCCCGTGGTGGCATATCATTACTGTTCCATCCTTCTGCTTCGCCGCTGTATAGTAGACGCGACAATCGAGTCCTCGCGTTGGCACGGCGACTTGGAGAGCCTGCTCAAAGTACGTTGATGCTGAAATCGGGGCAAAGCGCGGGTTCGGGACCTTCGTTGGTTTGAGACGTGGATGTCGGGCAGGCCTTTCGAAGATTGCATGAACATGGTAGATCTGAGAAGATCATGAATGTCACCTGCATAGCGGGGGGTCCTAACCCACTCCCTGGAAGATCGCCTATGGAGTCACTCTCCTCCTCTTCCTCCTCGTCACCGTCCGGGAGGGTGGGAGGTAGCTTGGCGAGTCGTGCGCTGAGAGCAGAGCGGTATAGATCAGACATCTACACGTTCAAACTATGCTTGAGAGATTAGTTGTTGGCTAAGTCTTAACTTGTAGCGACGTCCAAGTTCAGATCCAGACCGCAATATTACGTAATCGAGGTTTATCACACCGGCTTCTGTTGCGCTCATTTGCCGAAACGTTGGGGAAGTCGAAGCTCGCTCATGAATCATGATGATCATGCATAAACTCCTGTATTCTCTGTCTACAACGTCGACATTTGCGGCTTCAGCATGGGCCAACCATCAACGTACAGCGGGATAATACCCATTGGCAAAGGAATTTACCTGAGCAAGCCAAAGAGCGATGTCGACGTCGAGTCCAAGGTTGCAGCACCTACGTCAGTTTTTGAGCCCCTTTTCATGTAGAAACTTGCTAATAATAGAGTCTACAGTGTGATATTGCTCTTTGGATGGAGTACGTTTATTCACTAGTCTATGTTTAACCGTTATTCATCTTCTCCAGTGGGCGCTCGGCTGCCCCATCTCCTCAAATACATCAAGGTCTACGACGAACTATATCCCCAAGCCACGAAGATCGTAATCCGGTCAGAGGCGTCGTTCTTCTGGACCATAAAGAGGAGAAAGGTGCGTCCAAACTTCCCATTCAATTCCTTCAACGTGCTTACACTATACCAGAGTGCCTATCTGGCACCAGTTGTCGAGGCGCTCGAAGCGCTGGGATGTCTCCCACCACTCAAGAGCTCATCGGTGCTTGTTCGAAAAGCTGCGATAGACTCCGCGCTCCCTCCACCAAAGCCACGCGTGTTGGTGCACACATTTTCCAACGGTGTGTTCACCGTCGTTTTGCTTCAGGAAAGCGCTAATCCCAAACGTCAGGCGGCTCCTGGCAACTCGCCACCCTCTCCGACATACTCGCCGACCGTGCCAGCTCTTATACCCACGCGCCCCTCCCCGCCAGCGCGCTCATCTTCGACTCCTGCCCAGGCGTCGGCGGCCTGCAGGCAACCTAGCGTGCCTTCACCGGTGCCATCCGGAACCCCCTTGTCGCCGCCACCGCGCGCACGCTCATCTGGCTCGTCTACCTCTACCTCTCCTTCCGCCAGCTCTTCCTGCGCGGCCCGTCCACGATCGATAACATGAAAGCGCGCCTGAACAAGGAAAAGTTGTTGCCGTGGTTTGGGAGGAGGACGAGGAGGCTGTATGTGTATTCGACAGGCGATGAGATCATCCCGGCGAAAGAGGTGGATCGGCATGCGGAGAAGGCGAGGGAGGCGGGGTTGATGGTGACCCAGGTGAGGTTTAAGGACTCGCCGCATGTTGCGCATGCGAAGGTACACCCGGAGGAGTATTGGGGTGCCGTAAGAAAGATGTGGGAGGAGGCAGTCGAGGAGGCAGAACTAGACACGGGGGTCAGTGGACAAGTGAAAGGATAGAGAGGCTCGTTCGTGTTTCCATTTTGCACCTCTGGACATGTATCACCTATGCTTCTTTTAATTTGCGTGCTACTAGATAGAATAGATGTTCCCAATCTCGAATACCCATTCTTCGACCTGCTTTCGCCTCAATCCGTCTCTATTTCGAGAGCCGTATAAGATTCTTGTTGTCAGAGCCGCAGCCTGTACATTGAAAAATACACGCTTTTCAATTCTGCTGCCCCCGAACCTGACTTGCAACAAGCCGACACCGAGCAGTCCCTTTGTCGTCCTCGACTTCAAGCTTGCTACCACTCACAACCGCCTGCCCATCCACACTGACTTCTGGCCCAGCCTGCAGGACCATCCGTGCAGACCTCGGGGTGTATTGTTTCCACACGGGCGAGTGAGGAAGCTTGAACGTGTTCGGGTCGCCAGAGCGCACGAAGGAAAGCCAGTATGCTATCAGCTCTGCTGCAAAGGCCTCATTGCTCGGCGAGAGAGGATGGAATGTCGTGGTTCCGTTGGATCTGAAATATCGTCAGGAACTGATGGAGCGAAAGGGTGGACAGTCAACGTACCCAGTGCTAGTACCCTGGAACATCATGTAGTTTTCCGACGCATGATATGCTGCTGGGGCACCGGGTGTGGGTTGGTTATACCGATACGTCCATGATTTTGTTGCTTTTCCGAACGCAGCCCCCATAATCGTTCGCTAACGATTGAAAAGCGATTTTAATATGTAGGCCGAGGCGAAGATTTCGAGATAGACCTACTGCGCATCTAAGCTCGGAGTCGCCCGTGATCGTCTGGAATTGCAGATCTTGAGAGGAGGCGAAATCAGACACCGGGTATGCCTGTGTAGATAGTGAGCTCGACCCGGTGGTGAGCAAGAAGACAAAGCCTATATACTCCAAGAAGTGTGTGAATGTCCTCATCTAATATCGAAGGGAAGAAGGTCCTCATCGCAGCTGCGACATCGTTCCCACCAGACAGAGTCTCGTTGGTCGTTGCTCTGTCAATAACCAATTATCAGGGCAAATCTGTATTCACTTTAACGAGAGCCACGCACCCCACAACCAGCGGCACCTTCGCAAACTTTCCTTCAAGAATTGACTTGGTCGGATAATCGATAATCACCTTGCCGTCTACGACTGGGTGGAACGACCTGTAGCCCGACGCTGTGCTGGGGAGATTGATACTCAGTACCAGGATCCAGCATATAGAGGAGATGCGTACAACGCCGACGAGCTGGCCGCGTCCTGGGCCCGCGCGAGGGCACTAACACTTGCCGTCCTCAAACATGCGACCTGAGCAGCAACAGAGCCTTGACCACACCCCGCCTGTTTTGCATAAAAGCCGAATAACGGCTACGACAACTTAAATCATGAGATCGATCATCCAAATCCACGCAAAAACCCCACCTGCTGCTGCTCCGGCAACGGTAGCGGCGTCCTATACACGCTCTGCGCAATCGCACCGCTGAACAGCGCCTCCTTCCCTCCCTCAGCGACGAGGTGCAGCTCAACCGACGCCCCGCCCGCACTTTCCCCATTGATCGTCACCTTCCTGGGATCACCACCGAAGCTAGCGATGTGCGCTTGCACCCACCGAAGGGCCTGTATCTGGTCGAGGAAGCCAGCGTTGAGGTCGCCAAGGGTGCCGTCGCGGAAGGCGGGTGTGGATAGGAAGCCAAAGGAGGAGAGTCGGTAGTAGACGGAGACGATGACGACGTTGGGGCTTTGGTGGATCCAGTGGTCGAATGGCCAGTTGCGCGGGTTGCCGTAGAGGTAGCCTGCGCGGTTGGGGGGTGAAAAGGCGGAGAGTAGGAGAGGAAGGAAGGGGAATACCGCCACCGTGGATGTATACGAGAACTGGGACTATCGAGAATTGAGAATTGAGAATAATTCATTATGTAAATTCAATAGAGAGACCCACGGTTGCTTCCACGTTTCGCACCTACAGGTGTATAAATATTAACTTTCAAACAATCTTCGCTCCCAGCTCCTCCAGCATCTCCACCTGAGAGACGGCCCATTAGCCCACAATTAAAACTTTAAACTTGCGAAATCGACTCACTGCCCGTCGTTCCCTGAATACAAAACTCGGGATACGCTCTCGCATCCACGATCTTCCCTCTTGCCTCTCGCGCCACACGCTCTGTATCCAACGGAACGGGAGCACGGAACCTCCTCTCATCCAATGGAGGTTCGGCATAGGGCACACCCAGGTACGCAACAGTATTTAGAGACGTCCTGTTCCCCAGATATCTCGCGTACCCAGTGTCGATAACATCTAAGCTGAAGATGGGCAAGGGCAGCGAATGACTCGCTACTAGGAGTGCATCGCGATAGACGTAGCTCACGAGAGCGACGATAATCGCGGAGAGGAGCATCATCGGCAGGAAGGCCGTCGCTCTCCACGAGCCTTCGGCGAGAGCCTGTCGTGGCATTCTTGATGGTGGTCGTCCGTCTTTAATACTCGCTGCGGGCCGGCGGGGGTGCTGTAGGCCCTTTCAACAGAAATTCAGGGAGAAATCGAGAGGACTGTGGTAGTGGTTTGGGGCAAAAAGGGTGGAGAAGAGTGGGCATTTGACCAGGGGACGGCGCTTTCAGCCGGGATTATTCCGCTTCTTCTGGCTTCCGGAGGGACATTGGGAGGAGGATTCGTGTTGACAGCGTGTAGAACGAAGCAGAAGGGACGTTGGATTGTTTTCGGACCTCAGTTGCAGTTGTTCACAACCGACTATCTGTCGACTATTAGATTGGCGGAGCGGTGGAATGAAAAGAATCATTCGCGAATTGGATATTGAAATATTGGATATCAAGGCCTGACAGCGCAGACAGTGCCTGGTTCGTCATCCCATCCACAACCTTGTTGCACGGAAGGCGATGTAGCGATGGACGTGATGCGCGGTGTGTAGTTAAGCATGTATCGTCAGGAAAACGCGTCGGAGGTCGAGGAGACAAGATGGGAGTCGCGACACATTGAAAGCTCTTCGTTCTGCTCTGAGCGGACTTTGAAATTGTCGAAGCTTCAGTCCCAGTGAAAAGCCGCTCTGCTGTTTTCGGGGCAAATCTGAATTGAGCGGGAAAACTTGGGCGAAATCTGCGCCGGTCCGGGCTGGGCTGCAAACTCGCAGAACTCTGACTCGCCGTCTCGAGGAAGATGTCATGGGATGACGTAGATGGTCCGTGCGTTGACGCGTCGCGATGCGTCGTCTTGGTTTTCTTATATACCGGACTTAGAACTTTCCATCTCCCGCCCTCTCTTCCTTCCCCTTGTTACCCTCTCTGCCCATATCCCGCCTGACGTGTCTCGCCCTCATCCCTACCCCCGCCGCGCTCCATAGCCACAGGGAGCCCGTTGACGAAGCCAAGGCAGGGAGATTTCGAACGTTGGCTGAGGAGTGGGATGGCGAGTCGGACAACGAGGTACTTGCCCTTCATGCCTCTCCTTCTGGACCGCTGACTGACTCCCGCTACCCGCTTTTGCCACTTGCTTGCATCCACCAAACCCCATTCGCTCGAGTTCCCCGCGATGACGCCTTAGCTTGGTTTTGGTTTCCTGGCCTTGGACGGTTGAAGACATGACATGCCGGTACGTACGATGCGCTTTTGTTGATTTTCACCAGCTATTTTCTCTCGAGATACGCAGGTTTCGTGAAGATCTGGACTACTCGTGTTTGATCACATGAGATCTCGCGGAGGGAATCGAGCTGGTGGATAGAAGACTGCGACAAGCTTCTATTGGTACGTGTCGGGCATTTCGTTTCAGATAGTGTACTAACCGTCCCCTCTTTCGCGCTTTCATTACCCTGGTGGCCCACAGTGAGGTTCGTATCTTATTGTTCATGTCGTCAAACAGTGGTCTGACGTTACTCCTATTCAGGCCCTCAGAGGCTCTCGAACATGTGCGGCATATATTCCAGCACAATCCAAATTGTTCGGTAAGGGTACGTTTCGAGCTTCTAGTAGCTTCTACTGGCCAACGACTAACGTGTGCCTCACTCTTTAGTTATCGGGTTGCACCGACGGAGCGATGTTCTCTAGGCCCACAATTATGTAAGTAGCACTGAAGCTGTCAAGTTGGCAGAGGGGAGGACGTCGCCCGACGGCCCCTGGGCCCATGGGGCCGCGTCGTGTATTACTATCATACGGCGTCGTTAATGTACCCAGAAATATACCTATTTTACCAGAAAAATGCGGAATCGAGCAGATCAGATCGAAAGAGCAGCGTCATGAGCCGTCGAAAAAGTGCAGATATATGCAGAATTCTCTGCAAAAAATCTGCAAATTGGACAAAATCTGCACCTGCCCGCGAAATCCACGGAAAGCGGACCATTGCAGATTTTGTGCGGGACGGTGCGGAACCGCTTTTCACTGGGCTTCAGTGCTCATCAAGTGCTCATCAAGTGCTCATACGGGCGCTTAACACCACGATTGACACACGCCCGAATTTTGCTCTTTGGCGCTTTCAACCTAAAATGTCTTCCAGACCTACTTCTGGCGTAGCAGCTCTGTTCTCGCACATCTGGTGTCCCAGCGTCACAACTTCATTCGATACCCTCAGCGAACGGCCTCAGCTACAATCTGCCGGTGAATAGAAATTCGCAAAAGTACAGCTGAACATTGCATATGCATTAACAACTACTACTGTAGGCTTCATAAGAACAAGTCAGCAGTTTTCAGAGGCACAGAAGATAAATGGCGTGCCTATCATCCAATTCTGGATTGTAACTCCAATTCGCTGGAGGAGGGCTGTCTCCAGAAGAACGAGCAGACGATTGGGTTGAATTCCGACGTTTCACTTGGAGGTTCTTTTCTGCAGCGTCAACGAGAATCTCTTCGAGTTCACGGTTTAATTGCTGGAGAATGTCGACGGGGACACCGGCTTGAGGTGGATACCAAGGGTATATGGTCGCATGGCTGCCCAGCATGACCACCTCATCCCCTGACACGCCATTTTTGGCATTAATCAACGATCTTAGTCTCCAGCAACACCAACAGCACCTCTCGCCAGTCCCCATCGCAGCAGAATTCGTCTATGCAGGAGATAAAACACTGTCGGATGCTTAGCAGAAAAAGACACCCACCGAAAAGACTCGGAATAGGACACGGCACTGTGCAGGAGTGAGGGCCCATGTTCTCGTGGCCGAATCGATAGTCGCGCCAGGATCCTTAAAGTAGCAATACAAGGCTATCAACGATGCTTCAGGGTGGAGTCCCGGCATCCCACCGTACGCGTCGAAGCGGAAACTCGTTGAGTAACGGTCCTTCAACCGTTTTTCTGCCAGCGCCGTCTTGGAATGATGAACTTTTTCAAGGACACTCTTGAAGAGCGACACCTTCGCGGACTGAACACGAGCCTCCAGAATGCCCGGATTCAGCATCGTGAGGACATGTGGTCTCAGCGGGTGGGGCAGCTTCAAGCAAGTGGCGTGGCGGACGGCCGTTACCCAAGCAAATATGGCTTTATAGAACCGCACGACGTGATGAGCGGTGCCCTCCCCTCGTTGTAGGAGAAGATCGGCCAGTTCTACAAGGGCGTTAGTCAGTCACGCACAGGGAGCGATCGTACGCACCTCCGGCCTCCCCATCTATCACTTCTTCATCTTCCTCTGACTGGTCGTCTTCCTCGGGTTGCGCTTCCTCAGGGACACAAAGTGAGTAGCGCGTTCGATGCATCGGGAACGCAAAGCAGCAATACCGGAAAAAGTCACCGACTTGCGGAATAGCTGATCTGCTAGTTCGCTGTCCGAAAGCAGACGCTCGAGAAAGCCCATGCGAATTAATACCGCGTCCAGAGACAGCATATTGAGAAGTGCGGCATCTGCGAATTTGAGTTCAAGGACCTTCTTCGGTTTCAAGGCACCTCCCTCAGTGCGTTCGGCGAGGTAGCGGGCGAGGTTGCCGTAAGTAGTGACAAGTTTGTTAACCCAGCCTACCACATTATCAGCGTTCACTTCGTAAATGGCAGATCGGCCATCGAGGTCGGGACGACAGATCTTGAGGCGGTCGACCATGAAGCTGTCGCCTTTTCGGATGCGAAGCTTCCAGGGAAAGGGCTTGCTTGGGATAAACGAATAATCACCCTCGAAGTAATTTTCGATCACAGTCAACGGGGGCTCCTCCCAGATGACGTTGGCCAGTTGCATTCGAAAGACGATTTTTGGGTAGCATTGGCGGATAACATATCTCAGGAAATCACTGGCAGGGGCGTCCTTGTTGACGCGGAAGATATTAAGCATGGCAAAGACGTTCTTGGAGTACTCCTCGAAACTTGGCCTCGGGGTTCTTTTCCAGATAGTCAACGGGATCATCTGGTGACAGAAACAGCAGAAACGTACTCATCTCCCCACTCCTCGATGGCTTTGAGGGTCAAATCGGGGTTCTCGTCTGAAATGTCAACCATTACAGGATGTGCGAGGGTTGGATCCGTCGAGTAACCTGAGGTATTGCGAGTCACGAGAACGAGGGCCTCAATACTGTCCGCAGATGCATGTCCAGTCACAGCGACAGCACGATTTCCTTTCGCAAACTTTCCACCCCCAGGGGTCCCGTCGGCGTCGCCTGTTGTGAGCAGCGTTGCGATATGCTGCATGATGTCCAGGGGTGAAGAGACCTTCTGTTCAGCAGCGGTAGATGGCCCGCGAGAGTGTGATTTAAGCATCGTTGTTGCGATATATATCTTCTCGAATAAATGTGCATCTGCGGTTTCGGAGGAATGAGGATGCATTGGTGTTTTGTGGTTGGTGGACGAGAGAAAAGGTTGCATCAGGGTCAAACCAACGGATCAATGACTCGACAACTTTGTTCCCACGCATCGTGGCTTCGCCTTGAGCGCCTAAATTAATGGACACCGGAATCCTCAAAACACGGTGCATCTAATCACCCCGTTCAACTGCTCAGCGACAGTAAGAAAACATAATTTGCCCCAGTCGTTGAGGCACTCGAAGCGCTGGGATGTCCCCCCACCACCGGATAACCCATCGGCGCTTCTTCGAAAAGCTGCGATTGACCCTGTACTCACACTATTGTTGAATGCGTACATTCATTACATCTAGACCTGTGTATGTCACCTATGGTTTTTTTTATTTGCTCACTGCCAGTTAGATATTCCCAATCTCGAATGCCTAGTCACTTTTCCCATTAAGTATCCGTCCCGTCGTTTCGAGAACTGTATCATATATTACACGCCAAATGGCTCTATCCTTCTAATACACCTTGGGACAGGGCGATCCCAGTCGTCGTCTGGGCTGCTTCGGTCACGTACAACACCTTCGGTTTTATTCGGGTTATCTGGAGTTGGACCTGGCGGCATGTGCTTGAAGAAAGGCCATTGAGGCATGTAGCACATTTCCTTTGGGTACAGTTTTAGCTTATTCGACTAAATGAGCAAGTTGGAGGGACGTACCTCATAACTGCACGCAGGCTCGCACCTCGCCCAGACGCTCCAGTCCAACCAGGCAATAAGGCCTTCTATTTTTGTCTTCCAATTCTCTACCAACTTCTTCAAGGAAGTGCCCCTCAAATTCGAGACGGGGTTTTCTTCAATGTCGAGCACGTGTATTTTTCCCTCAGCCCACATCCCAACCAGAACCCTACAAATCTCTTTCGACGTATCCCGAACCGCACGTGAGAGCAGCCTCTCCGACCGCGTCAGCTGTGGGTTCATCTCCACCGCACGCGTATGCGTTGTCGAGCAGTGCACCCATGCAGGGACCGCCCACTCCAGATCACTTGCTTGCGCTCTAGGTGGAGGTCGCACAGAATGAAGCAGGTATGGTCGCAAAGTCGCGGTCAGCTGGCGGTGAACTTGCTTTAAACCCGCGAGTGTCTCGTCCTGAGGTGCTGTAGAGAGAGACCGGAGGAGGTAGCGCAGGATCTCCAGCCGTTCCGCATGCCGCGTTGAGACGACGCTGAACACAGCCTGCCAATCCACGTCGCTCTTCGTTGTCCCCCACTCTCCTTCCATCACCCTCTCCAGCTCAACGCGCAGCGTGTCCACATCCTCTTTGCTGATGCCTTCGAGACGGTGATCCCACCTCTCATGCCCGGCGCGGATAGTCTGTAGGCTAGGGAATAGCTCTGTGTCGTAGAATGACACCAACCGTGAATAATCAAGGCGCACGCGATTCTCTCCGGGGAAGTGGTTATGCCATGAGCCGGCCTCGAGCAGGCGGAAGGCGGCGGCGGAGGGTGTTGGGTAGGGGAAGAACCCGCCGTCAACGGAGGGGAGCTTGAGGAAGGAGACGACGGACAGTCCGGCGGAGAAGTCGCAGAACATCACTTCACTTGGAAAGGATTAGGTTAAATTTGAAGGTATAGGGAGGTGAGGCGTACAAATCCCCTTGCATCCTGTTCGATTTAGCTCTCGTTAGTATATCCTTGCAGAGTTTATTTCGAACGCACCTAACAAACCCATCGACCCCCATCCCCCTCCCCCACTTACACAGACCCTCGATCCGTCCCCGTTCGTCAAACGTCCGCTCCTTCCTGACCCTGCCCCAAACCAGCAGGTCCTGGCTGTCCATCGGGCCGCCCCACATCTTCGCCGCGCTGCTCCCGTCGAAGTAGAGCACCTTTAACGGGCGCGTTGGGGTGAGGGTGAGGTGCCAGCAGCCCTTATCTCTGTCCTCGGTGTCCTTGTTCATAGCACCATCTTCGCCGCCAGTGTCGCCGCCGGTGACTGGAGGGCTATGGCAGTAGACATACGAGTGGTCGGGGTCGGTCGCGACCCACTCGGGGACGGTGGGGATCGCGTGCGTGGTCGTCGCGTGGTAGAGCAAAGTGCCAGGCGCAATGAGCCCAGGGACGATGGTGTGCCCTGCATTACAAAATCGACGACTCGGTTAGGGAGAGGGGTAAGATAAGTACGGGTAGCGCGTTACCATTGCGCAGCCGTGTGTTAGGCCAGTGCTGGAGCAGAGAATTAACGTTGTCGAATATCCAGTGGCTGGTGATGTTAGGAGAGGGGGTTTGGTTAAAATTCCATTCTTCGGTAGAAGAGAATGAGGTTTGAACGTGTCGCGATGGCGCTTCCGGTGCTACTTCTCCGAGAGTGCGTCCACAAAATATACCTAAGGCAATTCCTCCCAAGACTGGAGCCTTCAACGGCATTTTCACGAAGGAAGTATTCGAGGGTAGGAGAACGAAGAGTGTGTCATGGTGGTCCTTATCATAGTGATAGAAACCGCTATCGTGTATGACTTGGGTTCAACGGTTGGTCGTGTGCGAACGGAGATGTAGCACATGCATCTTCTTGACAATCATCATTCCCACTCGAAATCCGAGAGAAGTGGTGAGTATAGCGAGAGGAAAGTGGTGGTTGATGTAGGAGTTATTTTCGCCATTGGCGTTCCTCGTTCGAATTCCGCTTGAATTCCGTTGTGGATACCCTAACTAGTTCTTCTAATCTATAGAGCAGATGCAACATACAGCAAATCAAGCACAGAAATTGATAGGCAACCCATCTAACACATAAATTGACTCCAATAAATCCTGTCAGACGCCAGCGTAAGGCTCCATCCTCCGAATACACCTCGGCTGAGGCCTCGACCAGTCATCATCGCCCCCTCCAGGAAGAACACTGCGGCTTCCCAGTCCAGGAGGCACAGAGCTCTCGAGGCCCCATACCCAGTTCAAGAACTTCGAGGAGTACCTATCCTTGTCCTCATCCGAGTTCTTGGGCGGTCGTGGACCTCTAGGTCCACCACCGAAGAACGGCCAGGTGGGGAGGTAGCACATTTCCTACGAAAAGCCGATGTTAGAGTTTCTGGTGATTTTTGTAAGGCATCTCTCACCTCGTAGCTGCACGCAGGCCGACACTTGACCCAATAGCTCCAGTCCAACCAGCCCATCAGGCTTTCGACGCTGGTTGTCCACTTCGCGAGGACATCCTTCGCCTCGGACACGCTGAGAGTTGTAGTCAACCCGTCGTCACGTTCTGCGTCGCTCAGCCCAAGCTCCTCGCCCTCTGCCCACACCAGTACGAGTATACGGCAGATCTCCTTCGAGACGTTGTTGACCGCGCTCAGCAGAAGGCGTTCTGACGGCGTGAGCACTGACTGGAACACATCAGAGTCGAGGTAGCTCGTATGGGTGGTAGAGCACTGCTCAAAGACCGGCTCGGCCCAGGTGTACCCTTCTGTCGGGGTCTTGGGAGGCACAGACGAGTGGAGGACGTACGGCGCGAGCAGGCCGTCAACGTGACTATGCGCGCGATCGAGAACATCCCTCGCGTCGTCTACCTCTGTCACATTGAGGATATACTGCAGCACCTCCAGCCGGTCGTCGTATCTCTCCGCCACAGTCTTCAGCAGTGTCTGCCAGTCCACACCACTATCCCCCTCGACTCTCCCGTCCCAGCCCTTGAGAAGTTCGCCCAGGCGCCTGAACATCGTCTGCACATCCTCCTTGCTTATCCCAGCAAGACGGTGGTCCCACCTCTCCTGACCCTCCCTTGCGGCGCGTAGGCTGGGGAAGGTGCTCTCGTCGTAGAACGAGATCAAACGGGAGTAGTCGAGCTTCACGCGCGACTCGCCCGGGAAGCCGTTGTGCCAGCTCCCGGACTCGAGTACACGGACGTCCATGCCGTTACCATGAGGGTGGAGGCTAGAGGGCGGTGGGTTGACGGGTGAAGAGGTTGGTGGAGGAGAAGGAGGAGAAGAACCAGAGGGACGAGGTGGACGTGGCCCGCGCATGAATCCGCTGGATTTGAGGTTGAGGAAGGAGACGGTCTGCACGCCGGTTGTGAAGTCGCAGAGCATGACTTCACTGTAAAGTGTGTTAGAATTGGTATGGTGCGCGTTCTGACAAAACGTACAAGTCCATTTCCATCCTATGAATCCATAGTCAGTCTGCAGAACCACAAGAAGACGAAAGACAAAACCCACCTCACAAACCCACCGAGACCATACCGCTTCCCCCACTCACATAAATCATCCACGCGCTTCCTTTCCTGGAACACCCACTCCGGCCTGATCTCGCCCCACCCAACCAAGTCCTGGGTGTCCATCGGGCCCCCAAGCATCTTCGCCGCGCTGCTCCCGTCGAAGTATAGCACCTTCAAAGGACGCGTCGCCACGAGCGTGAGATGCCAGCAGCCCGTCCCGTCGTGTTCGCGGCAGAACAGGTAGGAGTGCTCTGGGTCCGTGGCGAGCCATTCCGGGACTTTGGGGAGCTCGTGCTTGTATGTACCGTGGTAGAGGAGGGTGCCGACGGGGACGACGCCTGGGACTAGGTTATGGCCTGCAAGAGAAGATTGCGTCGGAAATGAGCAAAGTGACGAAAGAGGTACGTGATTTCCTCACCATTGCGATATCGGGTGTGCGTCCAGTGTTGGAGGAAAGTGTTGGCGGTGTCGAAGATGAAATTGCTCGTCGTGTTGCGAATACCTTGGTCCGTCAGGTTCCAGGAGCTCGGAAGAGCGCTCCATTTGGGGCTTCCGAGCACCTCCTGCGCGTTGTCGACATGGAGGTCGATACGCGCCGCTTGTATGCGCGCTGCGAGGACAGAAACCAGCACAGTGCCTCCTCGCGAAAGCCTCATGCTGGAAGTCCGTGTTCAAGTCAAGAACGGTTATCAGATAACGCCATCCTTATAAGATAACTTCTCTCCCGTAGTATCGGAACTGCGCAGTTGATTCGCGGCTTTCAACACCGCATCATGACATCCGATAAAACCGAGCATGAGGATTCGGAATGCGATATTGACTTAGGGTTGTGCGGCGTGAACACGCAAAAGTGAACAGAGAATGAAGCATGCCTGCTGGCGCTGATGACTTGTGTTCGTAGAGTAAAGAAAGAGAAAGAATGGGAAGACAAGAGAGAGAGTGCCGGCTACGGCAAACGCCACATTTTTCTCACGATCACACAGATCTAGTGCGCCCCACTAGAAGTCAGACTGATACTTACAGCGATTTCTGTCAAAATCGTGCTATTCCTCCTTTATACACCTCTACCGCTGACGCTTGACGCCCTGCCGCTCTACAGAGAAATTCCCACCACCTTCGCGGCGTTATCATACAATGGTTTGAATTAACTTTTGAAACTGTGACTGCGGCAGACGCCACCATCCCGAAGCTTCGGAGTTCAACGTCAACGTTCATCTGCAACTATGTAAATCTCTTTATCTTCTTTCTAGATTGCTCTTTAAATTAGTTGCATACACTTCTATTACTTCCTGTGGCCCATGTAAATGTTGATTGAGTACCACCATACTTAAATGCATTCAAGATCAAGCAATTGATCAATTTCATCCTTGAAAGTGTCTTGGCGCAATATCTGCTACATCGAAGAGGTGAATGGAACTGTCTGGACGCTCCTGTACCGTCAGGCTCGCGATGTTGTCCAGGAGGAAACACAGCACTTTTGCTTGTTCGGTATACTAAACGAGTTGCCTGAGTCCAGGGAGAAATTATCAGCCCAAAATATCTCACAGAATACATGGAATATATGTATATACAATTTTGAAGAAGTTTCTGCGACGCCAGAGGCGCTTCTACGACTTCCTTGGAAGAATATCCCATTAAATAAAATCGTGAGAGTATTGAGCGCGCTATTCTGCGGGAAATACCAGTACTGGAATGTGTGGATCAGGTGCTCAAACGGGGTCGTAACCCAACGCCGTTAGGTCGTGGCGGAGTGGTAAGCAAAGTTTGGACTCAGTGTAGTTCCTCAAAATTTCCGGTGATTTGGGCTCGTCATGCTCCCATTCGTGCCATTCGACGATTTGCCCTAGCAAGCGGCAAAGATCTGCCAAACGTCTGGCAACTACCGACATTTTTCTCACGTACATACGTCACAACTCGTTTTCCGGATTGACGGATTTGCTGTCTGCCCTTACACCTGGACGATCTCGACGCGTCGATATGCCTTCAATGACTTGATCAAAGCTATTCAGAGGTAGTAAGTAGTACCACTTTCAGCCCCATACTCATCGTTTAAAGATTTACTTATGTCGTATTTAACCGTTGAGGCTTGGTAATTCCGACAGAAAACGTTCGGGTCCGGTTCAGAATCGTCCAATGTCCAACCCCGTTCTTGCTTTACGGGGACGTCGAACTCAGATTTGGTTGCCCGTGAATCGATGAGACAAGACACCTATACTTTACCTCATACGTCGGGGTACGTGTTCCACAAGGCTGTAAATTTAATTACTCTCCTCGTTAACTTCCCTTGCTGGGAATCTAAAGTGGGAATGATTCGATAAGTTCCTTGAAATACTTGTCCCATTTCCTGGAGTTCTTTCAGAACTTGCAATCTGAAAGTATAAAATATACTTACAGTCCAGATGTCCTCTCCGGAAAGCAGGATGATATGCCTTCTTCTAGCTCTCGTGTTCCCACCAAGTACCTCGTGCTCAGGATCGGCGACTTGAAGAACCTGAATACCATTTCTGGAGTTTCAGTCTCTATGTTGCCATCAAGACACCATGTATTTCCCTCCATCGTGCTCTCCGGGAGGTCTAGTTTTGGTGATAGGGGCACCGTCCAGCAGTGCGCGTCACCGACGCGCCGAAGACCAATCGCGAATGCTGAGTTAGGGTCATCACACTCGCGCCACCACCCATTCTTAACGATCTTCCATCCGCGGTCGGTGTACTTCTCGTACACTTCCTTTCGACCCTGAATGGTGGGAAGGTAGGCAAGTGAGCGGCGTTCGTTAAATGTTCCCTGCGGGTAAAGGGAGAAGGCTTTGTCGTAGGTGATAAAATTCATAACACACGCTGAATTCCAGTGGATTGTGAGATCTTTTGTAGATTTAAACGACCGAAAGATAGAGAACACGCACTCGAATGGAAATTGAGTACGCATTCCAACGGTGTATGCCAGGTGGTCATCAGCTGAATCTTGACGTTGTTGTCATTCGGTTTCTTGAAGTCGTATATATTCAGAACGCGAAGGTATCCCGAGGCCGATCGATCCAGAAAGGAGTGGTCCTTCCTGCCTTCAAGTAGATGTTCCTTCAGGCGTTCCAGAGGGTCCACATACTCCAACGCTGTCTCCAACTTCCGCAAAGCGAGCGGTGCCCGGCCTGTACTCTTCGGCTCGTACTGATACCCAATGCTCTGCAACCAGAGACCAATTGGCTTGCAGCTGTGGTGCGTAACGTACAGGTCGAGATCCGAATTCTCGTAGTGCGATCGATCAAGGAGCTGAAGGGCCGTCGAACCAGAAATGAGGGCTCCGGTTTCGAACTGCAGCTCGCGGAGTTTGGTGATCTGGGTGGGGGTGAAGTAGCGCGACAGCACGCGCTCGAGGTTGAAGGCACGGCGGTTATATGAAGATACGGCTTCGCGGGCAGCTTTGCAGGTGCGCGAGTAGCGTACGAGGTCGCCTGGGCCGATGTTATCGAAGATGGCGTCGTCGGTCGTTGATGGCAATCTAAAACCATGATACCATGAGCGTGGTATGCTGCCAGTAGACAATGTGTTCATACAGCATTTCTTTCATCTCTGGTGTCGTTCAGTTGGTGATCGCACTGGAAGAGGATACTATAGGGTGATGATGGAACGGAGCCAAGTTCGTTTATTTACGTCACTGTCAGGATAATCAATTATCGGACTTGTGAAATCCCACCCGGCCCGTCGCCACTACAGTACATGTTCTCATATTGCATAACGTCGGTTCTGGGGTAAAAGTGATGCATTATTAGATTTATGCAGAACGACAATGTGTGACTAATGTGACTACTGTGACTTTGGCTGTGCGCGTGACATCAGTTCGGCTTGAACCAGTTGGTCAGTGTTGTCTGCTTCGCTCCCATTGCCTCCCGCCTCCTAAGATGTATTCTGAAGCGTCTAAGCCCATGGAGAAAGTCAAGAGAGGTCTCCGGATCGTTCTCACTGATTCATGCGCGCTCAAGCTGGGTGCAAAGATCCATGATCTCGCGGGTTGACAGTCGAGGGTGATCGTCATCCTCTTCATCTTCGGAATCCAGCTCAATGACCTCTCCTCTAGCCACAGCTTGTTCATGACGAACCCTGGCCACGATCTCATCATCATCCTCAAAATGAAACTCCCTTTCTCCGATCTCGTCACCGCCAACCGGGTTCAGCATCTCCTCCAACGTGAGAGGAGCCCCAATGATCCTCCTTCGTGCCTTCAAATCTTGAACGACTTTCATCAAGTCTTCTTCTGCGGATTGGAGTTGGGGAAGAGGTGGACGACCTTCTGCGGCTTACGCGGTTTGTAGGGGGCATGCTCGGTTCGGACTTTCCGTTTGCGCTCGTCTGTGTTACGTTTGGCAGGCATGGGAAGACAGAATGTGGGTGGTGGGTTCCCCCGGCGGTTTTGTTGGATGCGCAGTGCTTTTTAGAATATTCTCGAACACGATCGCATAGATATGTAGTGTGGATTAGATGAAAACGACCCTACTGATAATGCATAACTTGGCCCGAGCCTTCATGCATTATGCATTATGCAATTTTCCCCCTGTACGGAGTCAGTTCTAGTCAAAAGTCCATGCACTATTAGAATTATGCAACATGAGGTCATGCATTATGAGAACATGTACTGTACCAACGTATCAGCGCGCCGCAACTCACACGGACCTACATCGTCTGGGAGGCGCTCCCGGCATTGTGTAGCCCCTTATTGCCTTTCTTGCAGTTGTGGGTCCACTACTATAGGCCCGGCGTCACATGGCGGTCTGAGTACTTTTGTCACACGCACCACCGAATCGTTGCCGAATCGGTGCATCCCTCTCAAAACATCCCTTATGGACTCCTTTCTATTAGCTCACCAAGTCGAATTTCCCACTCACTGGCTTTTGAAAGGCGTCGTTTCTGCCCGGGCCGGCGACTCCATACACGGCAATCTACGTCTCTCGCCGCCGCCATACTCTCCCCATTGCCCAAGAACTACTCCAAACAGCTCGTTTTACCCCAACATCACATTTGTGCACAATCCGGGAAGATGGGCTCAAGTGTATTGGCCGCCCTACCTTGGGAGAAATCGACGTCCGTATATAAGAGCGGAACCGGGTGAATGCCGCGAGTCTCCATCGGTACTAGTCTCTCAGTCGGACTCCTTTCGACATATGGAGAAGCTCATGGCTTGGACGGAATCTTGAGCATATGGGCCACTGGATCACCTGCAAAGTACCTTGTTTGGCAGTTCTATGATGCTTGCTTGGTGCACATGCTCATTGACCTTTATGAAAGTCGCTTTTACCTTGAACGCCTTGTCATCTTCAGGTTAAGACCGTAGAAGAGAACGAGGCCCATCTCGCCGTGGAGATATCCTACGTCGATGGAACTCCTTTCCTGGAACGCTGCGATGCGCTTGGTGGGAAACTGCCCTGCGACCAACCGTGACGATGGTACCACTTGGTGGGCACGCTGTTCCAACAGTTCTGGTTGAAGCACGAACGCGCTGATTACCATAGTGCCAGACTCTCTCACTCTTTAAGAGCGTATACGAGCCTCACCAGTGTAGCATTTGTGACCTGGACATTCGCAACAGCAATATGTATGTAGTCAGCACTCCTGACGGCAATGATCGTCCGGTGTTTTTCGACTTCGCCTTTGCCCGCCGCTCCTCGTGTGGAGACGAGTATAAAGACGCATTTCACATGACTGCCACTGCAAATAGAATGGGCAAAGCACTTCGTAGCAATTGCTACACAGTCTTCAACACCCGAGGATGACAGCAGGGCGTGAGATTTTGTAGGGTGGGGCTCAGGTGCAATGGACAACCTTGAACCCCTGTAAATTGATTAAATTAAACAAAATTGCATCCCACTGTATTATCGACTTGCGCCACGACCTCGACGCTCGCGGAGAGAGAAAAGCAGCCAGCCCATTGGAACCTGAGGCCATTGACGTAATTGACATACCTACTCCACTCCCCACACGTATGGGGAGAAGCACCATCGTTTCCCAACATGATTGTAGGGAAAGGCGCCCCCAAAGAGGTGAATGCTGGGAGGTGATTGTGGAATGCGTGAAACGCTTCCACATCAGGTAACGGCTTACCCTGAAAAGGAACCTGACTTTCGCGTCTCATATTTTGCACTGGCGGCGGCATAATTCCCGAGCCAGCCTATAAAGACCTGTGAGATCTATTTTGTTCTATATTCGATCCCCTCTGACTTCTAGGGGAAATGCAGGAAACCATTCGTACGTAAGTTATCCTCGCAGAATGCCGAAAACTTCAAAGCGCGATCGGGAACACCCGGATAAGCAGCGTCATCACGCATCATCACCGGAAACGGCCATTCCACTACCACCGCCGCAATTTCGAGGGTTCTCGTCCTCCGCTCAGAAGGCCAATGCCCCATGCTGGTTACTCAACCCCTCTTCTCAAAGGTCTCGGCTTTAATCTTGTCCCGATTGCTGAGGCTCCACGCGACTGCGCAGTTCTTGCAAGAAAAGCGGACGATCTATAATTATCGAATATGAAGACGTTGAAAAAGGCTCTACCTTCGACCAAATGAACAGACGATGACCTTCCATTCGATGCTGCTTACCGGGGAATCAACGGGAATGTGTGGTGATACGGCTGCCACGTTCCCTGGTTCTCCACAAGGGCTGGGGCTATCGTCCGTGCACCGGTCTGGACATAGAGCTTAAGGATGCCTCTGGTTGATCTAGGGTGGTGGAACAAGGCGCGCCGAGCTTGCATCACACGCATGGGCGACCATCTGCAACTGGTGAGTTTCCTGGAGCACAGTACGCTCTTATCTGAATCTTGATCCAGGGGATCGAATCGTGCCCCAATGAGCAGCAGAGACGGACAGTATAAGAGGAGAGGGGAGGACGATGTCGACTCACCATCTTCACCATGTTTCGAAAGAATCTAGCTGGCGGCAAGCCCGACACCGATGTCCCCGTGGATTCTCTTCCGCGATCTCAGGTCAACTCTTCGAGTGATATGGACAAGGAGAAACAGGTATCAAACAGCCCGACAACCCCTCGACCTGGTGTTGGAAAGCACGACGAAGCCCTCGACCTCGTATCTTCTTACGAAGGCTGCAGTATCCATATTTCTCCGGAAGAAAATGCCCGGCTTCTCCGGAAAATAGACCGAAAGTGAGTTTCAGTTTTACTCCCTCTTCACCGGAAATCCAGCTGATCTGCTCTCCTTCGTCAGCTTAATGCCCATCATGTTTATTATATATTTCCTTCAATGTGAGTACCCTTTCACCGTCCCCTATAAGGGATTCACTGACTCTCGTACAGTGGCGGACAAGCAAATCCTCTCTTTCGCTTCCGTCTTCGGCATCTCAAGCGATACAGACCTCGTTGGTGAAGATTACTCGATACTGGGATCCATGCTCTAGTACGCCGAATCAATATTCAGCTCAAATGAATTATCTCACACAAATGATCATCTAGTATCGCGCAAGTGGTGGCACAGCCCATATCCGCGTATATTCTCGTCAGACTGAGACTGTCGAAGTATATTCCTGCCATCGTAACCTGCTGGGGCGCGACATTAGCCTGCATGGCGGCTGCTCATAATTTCCGAGGTCTCCTTGCGGCTCGATTTTTCGTAAGTCGTGTGGAGTACTTCCACATTTTGGTTTACACTAAACTCGTCTCACAGCTCGGAGCATGCGAGGCATCCATTACGCCGGCCTTCATCCTCATCACTCAGTTTTGGTACCGCCGTCACGAACAGGGCATCAGACTAGCTAGTACGTCCGACCATTACTTATTCGTTCAGAGACAATCCTAACACTCACTCAATAGTCTGGTACTCGAACTATGGATGGGTGAACATTTTCGGCAGCCTCATCGTGTATGGACTTGGCCACATCAAGTCAAATGCGCTTCATTCGTACCAGATTATGTTCCTCCTCTTGGGTGTGATCACCTGCCTTGTCGGTCTATTGTCGTACGCGATTCAGATGATAGGACAATGCCTCTAATCTTACGAAACTCCGATAGGTTCTTCATCTTCCCAGACAACCCCGTTCATTGCAAGTTCTTGACCAAAGAAGAGAAATTTATGGCAATCGAAGTGAGTTGATTAACTTTCGGTGTAAGCTGTTGACTTCTCGCTGATACCTTGCAGCGCCTGCGCACCAACCAGCAAGGCGTCGAGACAAAGGAGTTCAAGGTTAGCCAGGTGATAGAGATGTTGTGCGACTTCAAAAGTTGGTGTTGGATGCTCCTGGCAGTCGCTTTAAATATCCCTGGTGGGAGTATCTTAGCGTTCGGACCGCTGATTATCAGCGGTTTTGGTTTCGACGGGTACGCGCTTCAGGCCTCATGTCCGAAGGGGCCCGGTGCTGATGCTCTTCCGTTAGGTACAACGTTACGCTGCTGCTGATTCCTTACGGTGCGATGCAAATCATCTCGCTGTTTATTGGATTTGTATGTGCATTCCCCCCGAAAAGTATGGGTTGGCTGACTCTTCATTGTTAGTGGGCAAGCAAGAGATTTGGAGTGAAGGCACCTGTCATACTCGGATGCTTGCTGCCGGCAGTAGCAGCCTGTGGTCGGTCCCACCTTTCTCTCGGCTGAACTATGTGATTCTAACCCCGCACAACAGTCGTTTTGCTTCGCGTTGGTCGCGACAAAAAGGACCAACCCGCGCTTGTCGCCGCATTTTATATGTTGGGCCTGTACAACGCCGCCAGCCCAACCCTTCTGAACTGGCAGGCGTCAAACGTCGCGGGACATACAAAGAAAACGACTAGCACGGCGCTCGTGACCGCAGGGGTCATTGGCGGGAATATTGTGAGTCCTGTGAGGGTTATCATAAGTATCCACGAAAGGCTGAACTTCGGTGATCGTCAGATTGGTCCACTACTGTTTTCTCCGAAGGACAAACCGTACTACCATCGAGGTGAGCTTTGACGGGTCCGTGTCAGGAGATGTTAGAGTCTAAAACTTGGCATGCGACAGGCATTGTCGCCGTCCTCTGCTGCTACGCCGCAAGTGCGGTCATCGTCTGCATTACCGTGGCGTACCTATGGCATTTGAATGAGTGGAATCGAAAGCGCCGACTCGCGAGAGGCGAAGGTATTCACATGTTCGACGTAGACTACTATCGATTTATGCTCACGAATCTTTCGTCTAGCGGGAAAGATCGTCGACTATTCGATGCTTAGCGTGGAAGAGGCGGAGAAAGCGCGTCAAGATCAAGATGCTAGCGGCGCCTCCGCGCGTGGGATTGGAAATCATGCCTTTGAGGATCTTACCGATCTCCAGAACGACGAGTTTATTGTGAGTCCTGGCTCGTCCTTCGTTAGATGTCTGGAAGCTGACGTCCCTTCAGTACGTGTATTGAACCCGTTTCCTTAGCTCGCTGAACATCGTTATAAGATCCGCCGTGTCAACACCGAGCGGTACTAGCTTGCGGAGAACCCTTCTACATGTTGGTCTTCGCCCAATTGGCAGCTCGTAGCCTTTCGATGGCCAGATTCTCAATGAAACTAGTATCCACTGCACCTCTGTCGTTCGCCTAGCCGCTGAGTTTTCCTCGACTTCTTCGTACTTACAAAGAATAAACATACAGCAACACAATGAATACTAGGCGGTAAACAACCCCATTGAGACTTGTGTGGCCTCTCTGAAGCGTAATCCTCCGATCAATATCGTACTGTCCTGGGCCCTTGCCGGCGATCTCAGTCCTTGCGCGCGGATGTGTATGATCGCCCGGCAGGCGAGTATAGCGTGGAGGACTCGTTCCATCCTTTTTTCAATAGATGATTCCCACTCGGAGGTTAGTTCTCGTCGCAAGATTGAGAGGTCAAGAGACCTACGTAGAGAGGAGAGTTACGAGGTCAGACTGGGCGGTCAACGTTTCAACGGTTAGTGTGCAAACTGTTGACGGCATTAAGGGCCCATACATGGGTCGTCATGATCACGATGATATTGACCAGAGATAGTACTGAAAGTCAAGCAAGTTGGAATCAGCGCTGGCAAAGCGAAGCCAAAATATACAAACCAAATAGGTAAGAGTAGTAGATGAGGCCTGGTGGACACGTTATTTGAGAAGGGAAATACAGAACTTGAACGCATACCATCCTGATAGACCACCTTCGACAATGTGTGGCTTCCACTGAGCTGGACTAATAGAGAATAAACGGATTCCAAGGCTTCTGAGATAAACTGGTACTTACAAGTCTTGTAGGCTGGTATGGCCATCAGAACTAGCATCACTGGAGAATAGTGGTCATAAATGGATGTCAGGCGGAAGACTTGACATGGCACACTTGTGTTCCAGAGCAAATATATGACCCAGGGCGAGATTAGAATCGTGGTGGATGAGCTGGGAATGGCGTAACATACAACGTTGGACGCCTGCGGGGTGACGCCGTCTTGTTGGGGAAACATAGATGGGAGAGTCATAGTTAGCCACTGTGAGTAGGTAACGTTCAACTCACATTGCACAGCTCTCAATATCGTGACGACTAGAACCAAGGCGGTACCCCATGCAATGGCCCAGAGAATACCGAGACCCAGTGCCATTTTGCGTGATCCACCCCATACAGCCCACGTCCGCAGTGAAAGAAGAGCTGACAAGGGCGTCAACACGCGGAGAGTACCATTGTGCTCGTGGCATCATTTAGACGTGAATCAGGACCCCTCACCTTCGCCAGCCCCAACACCAATTGTTAGTGACCCTGGGACAGTCGATTAGCCAACAAATAAAATATGAGGTGTTCTCATACCCACACACATGAATCTCGTAGGCGATCTGGCAGACCTTTGGTACGGACGTGAGTGGCTCTGCGCCGTTCGGCCGTGGATTATCTAGGATGCTCAATTGAGAAGCCCGATGATGATGAGAACGCGCTCACAGTAGACAAGGTCCACGAATTGTAGATATGCTACATAACGTGTTGTTATGTAGAGCACTTTCATTACGCTCCACTGAGACTTCCAAATTGTGGCGACCTCGAGGCGAATGGTGAAGAACCAATCGTAGATCTTCGGAGAGGTATCAACGAGGCCCACGTATTAGGAGGATCATGAAAGCGCGGCTCACGAGGATAACAAGGCTGGCGACTGACACGAGACCGATAAGAAATACAGACAGAAATGGGTGCCTCAGGTTGATCATAGACTTGCCGTTGAAATACTGCGCAATGGTTAAGAACAAAATATTGAGAAATTGGACTTGCATAAACATACCGATACCAGCCTCGCCCGTTGCACGGCCAACGTGAGTGTCGGAAGGTCTGAGGGGAGCATAGCTCGAAGGTAGCACGTCACTAGAGCTCCAGGACAGCACGATGATCCAGGCGTCCTTTTATTTCCCAGAGTGCTGCTTCCATGATCAACCTGAAACCATCCCGAGAGACCAGAGGGTGATGATGCCGTGTCAGGCCCATCGAAGCTTGCTATAAATTATGTAGAGTATTAGCAACAACTTTCAGTCCCGTTCCATTCGAGCTTGACGGGCATGAGAACTTCACAGCTTCCATAATTCTTCCTGACGCGACTAAATTTGCAACATTTGTGGCGTACATAAGCTTTCATCTGCAAAGGGCTGCCTTAGAGCCAGACCCAGATTACAACCGAGACTGACGCACCAAACACGATGATACCCTGCGAAGACCGCTACTAGTGCAAAGCATACTTGCTAACTCAGCGGATCTGTCGAGACTTGCGCCGTAGTTCGGAAGCATATCTCCTCCCCTGATGAGTCGTGCCACCGCCAATCCATGTGTCCATCAATGCCTCGGAAGGCGGCAGGGAGATCCCCGACTAGTATTGTTGCAGCTGCCTGTCCTTGAGCGCGGATGTGAAGGATTGCGCGGCATGTGAGCAAAGCATGTAGAGTGCGCACAAGCCTTCGGTCCAAAATTTAATGGGTAAGGGGAGAACGGGGAAGGTGATCGTACAGTGCACGTGACACGCCTTGGGGGGAATATGAATGCCCAAGAATGCCTACTGTGATTTTTGGCGTCACAATAACATTGACAAGGATAGAGCTTCATCGTATTTCCGTCAGGCGCGGTTTTCGTCGGAGTTAAGGGTTAAGATACGAACCGAAGAGGGAAGAATAGTAGACGAAAGGAGCGACTCACCATCACGATAAACTACTTTCAACATTGCATGGTTGCCCCCTTGCCTGATTACGCGGACGCCACAATTACTCCTTGTGGATCTTTCAATGGAACAGTTCTACGAATACTTACGGGCCGTATAGGCTGGTATGGCCATCAGCACCAGCATTACTGGTATATGTGTCTCTTCGTAGGTTGGCCAAATAGAGAAAGGAGAGGACAAGACGCACGTGTGTTCCAGAACAAATACAAGGCCCAGCACCAGATTAATAGGGGTGGACCACCAGGGATGTAACACACGATGTATGACCTGAGAGGGTCTACATCGACTTATGGTATGGCCATTGATAGGTAAAAGAGCTGTGGCGAAAGATAAATCCTCCGCTCACACGCCCGTTCTACGGCAGGAGAGAGAGTCGGGAGGTCCAAGGAGGACATAGAATGGAAGAGGGGGTCGGAAACAACTGAAGTTGCACCTGGCCCGGCTTTTCATCTCCCAGCCTGCGTCCCGCATCATGATGTTTAGCTGCTGTTCCATGTTCTCTCCGACGGTAACGAATGACTAAGCATCGCCATAAGAACAACGTTAGAATAAGTACCGATTTCAAGAAGGAAAAGCACAACCTGCTCTCGCCGGGATGATGGACGATCTAAAGCCGTGGGATAAAACCTTGAAACGGTGATCGAGGTTCAAATTTTCAAACACCTGAACCGAGAACTGGACTAAAAAGTCCAGTTCAGCACATTCACCGAACCTTGGACCGAATATAGAGATTTCACCGGCAAGGCAAGGCTTCACAAGCTGATTGAAATCACCACCAGGTATTAACGACCAATAGTCCCAGAATTGGCAGTCGAAATACACCATAGGTAGAACACGGATTCCACAGAGCGTAGTCGAAACCTCAAACTAGGATGACCACGAATTCGAAGTGTTACTGCATCCATACCGTCCATATCCCAATCTGGTAAAGAGGAAACCAAACATGGATGGAACCTGAGTCAAAAAATAAAAGCAGTAATAATTCTTCCCAGAAAAACCAGATTTACAGAAAAGCCACGAGCACTACCGGGTAAACGACGCCATCGAAACCCGCGTGCCCTCCCTGAAGCGTAGCCCTCCGATGCTCGTCCTCGTACCGTCCTGGGTCCTTCCCTTCAAACCTAGTACTTGTGCACGGATGTGCAAGATCGCCCGACAGGTTAGTACGGCGTGGAGGGCTCGTTCCATCCTTTTTCAATAAGTGATTTGAGGTTGTGAGGTTGGTTAGAGTTGCAAGAGAAACGTCGAGAGACCAAGAGACATACGTCGAGAGAAGAGTTACGAGATCGGGCTGGGCGGTCAGATGTTAGTGTACGTTTCCTGAATTGTTGAGGACTTCAGGAACGCTTACAGGCGTCGTCAAGATTACGATAATGTTGATTAAAGATATTACTGGGAGCCGAGGAGGTTGGGGTCAGTGCTGGCAAAGCGAAACAAAAATATACGAACCAAATAGGTAAGAATAGTAGATGAGGCCTGAATAACACATTATCGAAGAGGGCAATTACGGAACGTGAATTCATACATACCGTCCTGATAAACTACTTTTGATAGTGTCTAGTCCCCGCCGGACTCCTGGACTAATGAAAAAATAAGTGGGTGCTCAATTACTGTTAGACCGTTACTTACAACTCTTGTAGGCTGGTATGGCCATAAGAACGAACATCACTGGAGAGTAGCCGTCATAAATCATTGCGGAAAATAGTCGGAAAGAAGAAATGGCGTACATGTATTCCAGAGCAAGAATATAACCCAGGTCCAGAATATTGTGGTGGATGAACGGGCAGTGGCATAACATACAACGTAGGAGGTGAGAGGGGTAACGCCATCTTGTTGGAGAATGGAGAGTATCAATTAGCCACTGGATCATCCCGAGACTAGCAGTATTCCACTCACACTGGATCTTCTGCAAAAACATGACGACCAAAGCAAATGCAGAACTCCAGGTGATGATCCAGAGAATCCCAAGGAACACTCCCATTTTGCGTGAACTACCCCATACAGCCCATGTTCGCAACGAAAGAAGAGCTGGCAAGGGCGGCAATGTCGAACCGTTATTTGAACAGGAATCAGGACGCCTCACCTTCACCAGCTCCAACACCAATTGCTACCGACCCTTCAAGACTCGATTAGTCGACAAGGAAACCTTGAGGTGTTCCCAGTACCTACATGTATGAATCTCGTAGGTGATTTGACAGACCTTGGGTGCGGAGGTGAGCTGCTCTGTGCCGGTCGGGGACCTTGGGTAATCTAGGATGCTCAATTGAGAAGCGCTATGATGACGAGAATACGCTCACAGTAGACGATGTCGACCAACTGTAGATATGCTATATAGCGTGTCGTTATGAACAGCACTTTCGTTAAGCTCCACTTGGATCTCCAGATTGTGGCTACCTCGAGGGGAATAGTGAGGAACCAATCGTATATCTTTCGAATGATATTTCAACGAGGTCTGGTTATCAGAATTACCCACAAGAGTGCGGCTCACAAGGATTGCACTGCTGGCCACTGGCACGACGCCAATAATAAATGAGGATCACAGAGATGGATGCGTCTGGTCAAACTAGGACTTGCCGTTGAAATACTGCGCAACAGTCAGGGCCAGAAAGTCAAGAAAATGTATTTATTTGGAAACATACCGATACCATCCTGGCTCGCCCTATAGTCAGCGAGAGTGTGGGGAGGTCCAGGGTAGACATGGTTGATAGGTGAGAGGGAGAACAGTGATCAGAAGTGGCTAATGAAGCTCCTGGTCTTGCTTTTCAGCACTTACCCTTCATTCCCCGTCGTGGTAGGTTCTGCCGTTGTTCCGATGATGATCTCTCCGATGGCGACGAATGATTACGCATCTATGAAACCGAACGACAAGGAGAAGCATGCCAATGCAGCGCACCAGAATAGCTCTGTATCAGCTGGGAAAGACATGGACGGAATTTGCCACGTTGCTATTCAAGGTTTCGACCAGCAATCCAAAAACTTGAAGCTAGCTTTTAGGTCCAATCATACAAACAACCCGATTATTTCCAGCTAAGACTTGAATATTTTCTGTGCTCTTGAATCGCCTCCACCCCACGTCAGGTTGCTTCTCGCTCTCATGTGTTCTGTGTATCGACACCGACTTCTTATATCAAAGACTGCTGCCAATTCAACGACAGGTTGTTTGAACAACTAATCATGATTATCATCATGAAACCGGGCGATCTGCTATGCACGTAGAACTCTCGACTCGGAGAAGATCATCGACTTTTCGACGGTGTAGAAGAGGCGGAGAAACTGCGTGTGGACCACGTTTGAATCAAGATGCTAGCGATGCCTGCGCGCGAGAGATTAGAAGCTACGAAGGATCTCACTGATGTCCATTGTAATGGTGCGAGCTAGTACATCCGTGTGTTGAACCTAGACAGGACTCGAGAGTAGAGATTAACCGACTAATATGTAAGACACAGTTCCTAGAATAAGATACAAAAAGCCATATTTCACCACAAATGCGCACGAAGTTGCTGTAGGTAAGAATTGGGGCGAGCGAAGAGTGGAAATGTGTGGACTGCCGGCCCCGTCCTCATTTGGCGCAAAGGACAATGCAAAGAGAAACATGACGTGAGTCGAGCGCTAAGACATCCAGTAGAGTCCATTTCAGCACTACTTTGGCACAAACACAGCCGTAGGAGAGATGGGCAATGGTTTGCAATTTGACATGAGCGCGGTGAAGAAAAAAACCGTAGGACAGAATCTGCGTTATACATTTCGGAGATTTAAATTTTAAACGGAGCTATATACCGGTTCAGAAGATCCCGAGATGCGTCCACTGCCAGCCAGAGACTCGAAGCTCTTGATTTCTTCCTTCACCATCGACGTCGATAGCGACAGCGAAGCCTACTTTTCGATGAGCGCTAGGCAGCCTTTCTTTCCGAGGCGCGAAGACTATCCTCGAGCTCAGTCTCGTGCTGCGTTTGTCCCTGATCCCAACAACCCCTTGCACAACAGCGGCGCTTCAGGTAACGCTGGACAAGCTCAGGACTCGGAACTGCTCAAGAACCTCGATGCTGCGTTTGCTGCGCCAGGGTCGCGCCCTGGGAATGGAACCAACGCGTCCGGACGCATGCCTACCTCAGGTCTCGGTGGATTAAAGAAGAGGAAGATGTCTGGTCAGGAGAATGGCGTCCAAAATCCATCGGCTGGTACTACGCCAATGCATAACAACAATGTTCGGCCTGGAACTGCCGACCCTCGCTCTGTTCATGCTATGGGACAACAAGGCGCCCATATTCCGCTCGCTGTGCCGATTCCTCATAATGCTGCGCGCTCTTCTCCTCTGCTCTTTCGCGACAAAACGTCTTTTTTCTCGTCCAGCTCGTTAAAAAATGGCGCTCCGTCCCTTTCCTCTGGTGCTTCTGACAAATCTGCAGAAAATAGCGCGCATATACCTACTCTAGACACGAGCTCTCCGTTCACAGCGTCCTCAGGGCAGCACCCGCCCAGCACTGTATCTGATCCGCACCAGTCGCCCAACTTCCCGTCGTTCTCGAACCAGGCAGGTCCTCAGCGCATCATCGTTGACCCGGAAGTTCGTCGTAGGTCCTACGCTCAACGCATGCCCGAAGGCGGACAAGGTGTTCCTGAGGGACACGAGATCACTGAGGATGGCAGGCTCAAGATGTCTCTTCATCAAGGCGTAAAGCGAGGTAGAGAGGACGAACAGGAGGATGAAGACGCCTACGTCTACGCTGCTCAGGCCAAGCGCTTCAAGGGAGTTAATATGGAGGCTGAAGAAAACGTGTGTCCTTCAGCTTCTCCAACCCCGGCAGGGCATTCTAACCCTCCTCTATAGATAAGCCGACGTTTGTCCCCTGTTACTGACCGCCCGAGCTCCGGCCAGTCGCAATCCTCCAGCTACCGTCGTACTACTTTCTTTGCACCTGAGGGGGAAGGCGCCTCTCTTCCTCACCATGACCACCGTGCTCAACATCGAGGCTCGGTGTATAACTCGCCCGCCGGCAGCAAGCGTCCTCCGTTCTTCCCCGATCGAAGAGAGTATGCGGAGCCTGGTGCCTTGGACAAGTTACTCGGCCGCGACACGGATGCGTTCGTAAAGGAGAAGATGGATTCTTATGATGCCCGTGTCAAGAAGTGGAATGAGTGCACGTTGGCTCAATGGGTCGCTGGATCTGATGGTTCGTCGTCGATCATTGACGGTCTTCCTTGGAGCTGCATTGAACCGATCTTGGTCGTTCTCATAGAAATCGGGGCGATGTTTCATAAGATACTTGACCTCGTAAGTCGGCCATTAAGCCACGTTTTCTTGTTCAGCGTCTGACGGGTTTATATTATAATCAGGTCAAGAAAGAGATGGAGTACGTTTTTATTATACCATCTTTATTTTTGTGTTGATTTTTCCTTCAGTGGCAAACTGAAGCTATACGCAACTCTCAACACGAATGTTGCCAACCATAATACCATTTTGGAGGAACGAAAACAAGTTCTCGGCGCTGCGCAGATGAAGCTCGTCAAAGAGAGTGGAAATGCTCTGGGATAAAGACGGCTTGCTGTTTCGGCTCATTTCTCTTCTTCTGCTCTGCTTCCTCCGTTTGCAATGTGCTCCTTCCGTCAATGCTTCGTTCTTACAGTCTCTCATGGCTTCCCTTGTGCCGGTTGGATGCTTATCTTCGCTTAGTAGCATCCCTTGTCTTTCTACGCAACATAACTTGTGAAAGCCTATGGAATTGCAGACATGCTTGTCACTGGCGTCTTTCACCCCCCCAAGCTTGGCTCCTGTCTCTCTTTGTTATATTTTTGGGCTGCTTATGCTTCCGACTGCGAGTTCTCGCGCTAAGGATGGCAACGGATTCAATTGTGCGTTTTCTGGGACTCTATCTGGCCTCAATCGAGAGATTCCAGGAGATTCCTTGATATTGGATTGGCCAATCATGAGGACAGCCCGCCGGCCCATCGTTCATTCTGAAGACGTCACTGGAGGCCGTCATCTAATCGCGTTGTGCGGCCCGTACGACTGGATGATCGTCTTCTTCGCGACACAAGCAGCGAAAAATCGGACCCGTTGCTTTCGAAGCTCGGATGTTATGGTCGACTCTTCGTAGGGCATATGTATGAGACGCAGGCTGCAGTCTCTCTCCCCAAAAGACTGATCATCGAGCCAGATATCATATAAATTCTTGCACACTTCGTTCACGTTTGAGGCTCGAAGCAAGGCTACAGGAGGTCGAAACTATTCTCGGTTGTGGTATCGTAACAAAATATCAATACAGTACAAGTTCCAATAAATTAAATAGTAGCTGAAGGAGTGTGCGGGGAGAAACGACCAAAATGGGTTGGGAGAACGAAGACAACAAACGGTAGCAACGCGAACGAAGTTGAGTTTTTGGTCCCAAAGAATGGATGAAGAGGACGAACGCACGCAGGTCAACGGTAGCCGTTGGATTCGACGGTCCCTCTGCGTACGGGCTCTAGTTTGGAGTTGAAAGTCGTGCTCCGAGAGACTCCTGCTCCGCCGTGGGATTCGCCGTGTCCATGCGAGCTCGGGATCGCTGGATGGACTAGACCTGTCTGCGACGGTGTCGCTGACCACGCGCGGACGGACCCATCCATGTCATAGTCGAGATCGTTTGCGGTCGTAAACGATCCACGCGGGACAACTGGTAGGGGACGCATCGGGACAGCGGCCTCCTCGTCCATTTTCTGGCGGCTCACGGGGGCTTGGTAGGAAGGCGTGTGGTACGAGTCGCGAGTGTACTCTTGCGTGCTGTGCAGGTAGTCTGGGGGGTCTGTTGAGAGCTGCAGCGGTGGTGGGTTGGGCTTGTCCCACGTAAAACGCTCGTTTAGCTCTCTCGCGCGTCGAAAGAGTAAGATGGCAATGACAATGAAGATGGCGAGGGAAATGACACCAAAGGTGATTCCAAAAGCCATTGCGGCTTTCGTGTCAGTTGAGCTTGTCGAACTATTCGACGCGGCAGCGGCAATGGATGACCGAGCCGTAGCAGAAGTGGAGGAGGAGGAAGTGGCATTCGCCGCTGTAGTCTCAGATGCCGTGTATCTGGACCACGCTATGAGCGGTGGTGGCCATTGGGGATAAATGAGACTCACATGAAGGCATCGATATGTAGAGTCCTGCCGTTCGCTCCCGGGAACACTTCCAGCGTATGGTCGGTGTCTTGCAGACCCGTTTGACCCCACACTACTCTTGAGCTCGTAAGATTTGCGGTCTGACCAGACGGCGCGGAAAGACTGATGGTTTCAGAGAGACTTCCATCTAGTCTGAACCGCACCAACTCTCCATCGAACACTGGAGACCGATAATATACCGCGACTCCTGGGAGACAGGATGGAATGATGAGTGCTGTATTTTTGGACAAGAAATGGAGACGCACCCGTAAAATCTATCCTTGCCGACGGGCCCTCATCGGCCGTACAAGAAGTGTACGAACCAGAATACCCCGCCGTAGAATTTACCATCCATCCCGATCCAGCACACCGCGACGGGTAGAAGGCGATGAGCGTCGTGTTCCTATCGTCTATGGTCACGTTGTGCATGTTCTACGGCAGCAGCCCAGCTGGCAAGCCAACGGCTCTTGCGGAAGGAGGATGGTGGCGAACGGAAAGAGAAGGCGGGGAAACTCAGGAGGCTGTTTGTTCCCTCCTGAACGGGGACATGCCCAAAACTCAAATAGCCACAGGGCAATCGACAAGAGAGCTTGAGAACGTGCCAAGATCTGCAACATTATGCTTCCAAGAATAAACTTTTGAATGCGATCGGGGCAAGCGGACTCACGTCTCATGATCGTATCAAATGTAAGTCCAGGTGGTGCACTGGCTGGAACTATAAATTGCACCCACTCCGCCTGCAGTTCCTGTGCGAGCCAGAATCCACTTTTCATTACGCGCCGCAGAGAATGCGCTCCTATGCGCTCCTCCTAAATCTCGACCTACGAAGCCGTTTCATCGGCGTAACAAACAGAGAAGTGCTTGGAAGACACAGAAAAGGGGACGAGAAAGTCGCGACACCCAAGCTCGCCTTCGCTCATGTTCCCCCTTAACAACCACATGATGATGGCCAGAGAGAGGCCCGCGTTTTGTCGTGGCGGTGACATCGGTTATTTCCTGTTTTGGCAGATTTGGGCCCGGCAATGCCTTTGGACGGAGAGTTTCGAGGTCGAAAGCTGTTGACGTTGGCAGTTAAACTTCACCGAAGCACAGCTCTAACACAGTTGTCGACAAAAGCAGACTATGCCAGCCCTCCAACATGCCGTACGAGGACTCCTTGTTTGAGAAAAAATATCTCCGCATTCCCCGCATCGGTCGCACTGCCAGGGTCCTCTGGATGTCTTGGTCTCTCTCAGCCCCAAATGACGTCGGTCAAAATTGCGGAGATGTGAGTCGAGAACTCAGACGGGTATCTGGGCATTGACACGCGTTCGTTAATGCTGGTCTCGAGTTTAATTATCATCGACGCCTGTGAAGGTAAAAAGACGGCTGCCCGGGGCTGCCTTCTCGGAGGACTTCACTCTGTCAGTCGGCTCCGCGATGACCTGTGCCTGTGTCAAAAAAAAAACGATTTATGGGTGATTGATCACTTACTGACGCCAGACCTGATGAATCGGTGCACGATGACTTCCCTTGTCAATCCCTGTCAACCTTATTCTTCAGAACCCAATGCGCATATGCACAACTTGACCAGCTGGCCGGGATATATTTAGAAAACTAAATATGCGGCACAAGCTTCGAGTTACCGAATCGTCAAACCTATTGCCCGGTCTGTCCGTTACAGTCTCCAAGGTCATTGGAACACGCCAATTCGGCGCCGTAGGTCGGCTTGGGGGTCGATGAACATCCCGGACGAAACCATAGGATCGATCATGAAAGCTGCGGACCACACGAACCAGAGCAACACCCAGGCGTAACCTAGCAAACGCAACGCAAGAGATGGCCTTCTTCGCAGAGCGACGTTACTCGGGTGTGCTTTCTTCGTTAGGCCGGAGTGCCCATTTGTGTTGCCATTGGGATGAAAGGTTTTTATAGCCTTGGGCAACTTCTGGCTTCCTGAGGAAAACGGCCAGAGATGAGAAAGTACGTTCTCGAGGGTGATAGCAACAGCCTGGAGGGTGAAGAACTTGAAAGCCCCCGTCCATATTATCTTGTCTACGATCATGTACTCTCCTCCCAGGTGGATGACTCCGATGATCATGAAAGCGACATGGAGTCTGATGAGCTTTTTCAAGATGCTTGAAGAGTTGTGCGAGAACGTCACGGATGGGATAAGGGCCAATGTGCATGTAACCAAGGACTAGAAAAGTAGATAAGGAACATGACTAACAAAAACGGCAGACGCATATGTACGTACCTTGCGTAAGAGCTGATGCCAAACGTGCCTGCGACAAGTCTTCAGAAGGGAACTCGTACAAGATGTACTCCGGACGTACCTCCAAAATCTCTGCACACTCCACGCATCCAACGGTGAGCCAAACAGGTTTGGCCATCGTTCAGGTGAAGATAATCCCGAACCGACAATTATGACAGAAAGAAGGCAGTTCAACATGTTGATTCTGGCAAAACCTGCTGCTGCAAAGCCTGCCACTCCAGCAGCGCGCCAATGGAATGACGACTGCGATAAAATCCTTCCTGGTGTCGTTGTACCGGGGTTTGATGCATTCAGAACGTATGCGACGCATTCTAAGCCAATGCAAATGACTGCATAGAATGTTCGAGTTCGAACGAACGTCCAACGAGGTGTTAAAGGAGAAGGTCGGTCGGGAAGATGAGAGTGCTCGTGCGACCATCCGATTCCTCGTGGGTTGGTGTAGAGACGAAAGGCCCACGTTATCCGCTGGCGAAGAGTGCGTTCCGTGACCTCGTTGGTGAGAGGATCTTGAGAGTTTCGTAATGCATTGGGTTGAGTGAGGAGTAGGGCGTCGAGGGCGATCATATACTGGGTCAGAATAGCAGATCCAATGCCACGTCGATTGCAAGGTCGCCCGTCGTATTTTGGGTAATGAGGATGTAGGAGACCCAACCGAACACCAACAATGCTGCTCCTCTACCAACTTTTGGGATTCCTGGCACCATCCCGACTACAGAGATAGCCTGCAGGAGCCCAAACAGGGCGCCATTGAACGGCTTCCTTGCGACGGTCATCTTGGGGTAGAGGAACCAGTAAAAAAACGTAGTTCAACGAGGTTACGTGTCGCGTCACGGCGATCTCGCAGGGCTGATAAAGTAGGCCGATGGAGTGGGCGCTTGGGATCCGCCGAATTGGATCATTATGCTGCTCAAAACATATTTTCGGATATCTTGCACTCTCAGAACGCTAGAACGACTTGTTGGCGACTTTGAATGTTTAGAATAATAGGCTGGTACTTGCCTTTCAGATGTCGAATTCATTGCGACAAGTGGTGAGGTTCCTGACAGGTGGCTGCGAAAGTGAGAGCTAATATTGGAAATTTTGTATGGACGCCCCACACCTTTTCACCTTTTGCGTCTATCGAGGTAAGGAGAGTGGTAGTTGAAGTCATGGAAGTACTTAGAAGGAAAAGGCTTCGCGAGAATGCCAAGGAAAACATGGAAGACGAGATCTAATCTAATCTCGTCACGTCTCCGTTACTTGTGACTTGTATCCAGTGCCACTGGCACACTGCGACCAACGACGACGACGACGAGGAACAAGTTGAGTCTATCGACTGATATTTGACCTGCTATTTTTTGATAAATTGCGAAACTCGCAGTGGAGGAAGCTTCTACGGGCTCAGATTCTGACTACTCCAGGTGCGCAGACCCTTACTTCTTTCGACGACGTGAAGTATGGAACTGACGCTGTTAAACGTTCCGCAAAAACAGCACAGTATGCCTTCCTTGCTAATGTCAAGCCGTAATAATGACCATCGTGAGCGCAGTGGATCTCATGGTTCCTGTCTTCGAAAGGCAACGAATATTTTTGCGAAGTTGATGAGGACTTCATCTTGGATCGGTTCAATCTCACGGGTCTGAACAACGAGGTGGCAAACTATGCTCAAGCGTTGGATCTTATCACAGACAGTCTGGGTGCGTTTTTTCTACGAGTGGGAAGAAAGTCGACAACTGAACACCAGGTAGATGACGACATCCAGGACGAACTGCGAGGATCGCTGGACGTACAAGCAAGACTGCTATACGGTCTCATTCACGCACGATGGATTGTTACAGCACGCGGGCTACAGAAGATGGTGTGTCCGAACCTCCTTCCATTTTATGCGCGCTTAAGTCGCCCACAAGCTCGACAAATACAAACGTGCAGACTTCGGTCGCTGCCCACGCGTTCTCTGTGCATCTCAACCACTTCTTCCCGTGGGCCTTACCGACATCCCCTATGAAAAATCTGTCAAACTCTACTGCGGCAGATGCGAAGATATCTATTCGCCTAAATCCTCGCGGCACGGTTCAATCGATGGCGCTTATTTCGGCACAACCTTCCCTCATCTCCTTTTCCTTGTCTACCCGACCCTGATCCCACCAAAGGACGGCGAGACACCGTTGACTACCTCCACCAAAGACGCAAGCACGGCTGATTCGAGAAACAGAAGAAGGCTTCGCGAGGAACCTGAAGCTGTCGCAACTGAAGGCGGTGGAGAGGGTATTAGCACTGCGAGCGTTTCTCTGAAGGCGGAGAGATATCGACCACGCATTTATGGCTTCCAGATCAATGAAACGGCGAAGCTACAACGGTGGCAAGAGGCTATCAGAGATCGGTGAGTCGGGCTAACATCTTTATGTTACCCTCGATGACTGAATGCCCCTAATTTTGTTACTAGTCAAATCGCTCGACTAGAGGCTCTGGAGGGAAAAAACACATAGATTGGCTGATTTTCCTTTTCATTCTGTGGCTCGTGGCGTTGAAAGATTTTCCTCACCTTTTACATTACTGAAAATCAAGTGTTTTATTGCATTTCTGCAGGAAAGTCGGACATGTATTTGCCGAGGAGAATCCTCAGCCCAGATTTCACTGAAATACACAGCTACGAGTAAGCAAAGCCTGAGGCTATCGGGAAAAGGTACGTTAGACTTCCAATCCACTCATCAAGGCTGACGAATTGCAAAGAAAGCACTCTTCCTGTCAAGTTTGTTGGAAAACGAGAATTGGCTTAGCGCTCAATCACGGCTTCAAAAAGCTGACATCATCGCAGAGATGAGCCTGAGACTTGGGATAGTTATGCTAGAACCTTATGAGTCTGCAGTACGCCTGACCTCTTTTCGGTCCGATTTGAGCATGTGCATGGCTGCTTGTTATTCGCGAACTTGTCGCATATCACCCAACGCAACCAACTCTGGACCAACAACCCAGGTATATCGTCGAGGATCTTTGTCATTCCGACTCTTTCGCGGAGGTTCTACGTCAATTTCGAAGACAAATAACGCTTTCCAGGCCGTACAGCGCCCGCTGACAAACGGACTCCGACGGTGAAGAACGCCGCCTCCTCAGACCGCTGACCCCCAAGGGCCCGAACTAGACCCGCGACGCGTGCACCAATGCCAAACGCGATGGATCAACACACTCCAGGTCTTTCGCGTGCCCCATCCTCTCGAATCTATTGGCTGAACCGACGCGATGTTCCAGGTTTTCTACTCCGCGCCAAGATCCGAAGATGCCTATCGTCATTGGCTGATAGGAATCAGACCTCGGGATGGTACTAGCCTCTCCCATGCCGTCGTTTGCCTCTGGCAGACGCGTCTCATACATGATTCTAGGACCCATATGGCCCTCTCGGAGGCACCCAGTAGACCGTCCGCCCCGAGGTATAAAGTCGAGGAGGACATGCCCGACAAAATTGTTGAATCCAATTCATCTACCCATTCATACACATCATGATCCTTCATACTGGCCTCGGTTTCCTCTTCCTCTCTGTCTTTGCGAATCTCGCTGCAGCTTCGCCCGCCGTTGATATCGAAGAGCTGGAGGGAAGACAGGCCGTCGACAACATCGTTTATGTTACAGACGCGAACCTATTTTGGTGAGTACATAAGCCTCCTTCGATCTTCCTGAAACTAACTGTGTCGATGCAAACTCTCTAGCATGATCATGCCACGGTATGTACCTCTTATTCCTTCCTTTCTTCATTCGAAAAGTCTGACGGATTCATATAGCAATCCGAATACCAATATCGGAGATAGCGAAGTCCCAGGAGGGATGAAGACATACTGTTCTCCTGCCGGACGTTACTCCTCGCTGCAAGGGCAACTCCCACCCGATTTCTGGAGCAACGTCGAGTTCAAGACCGGATATAGCTCGCGAGGAGCACGCTTCGCCCAACGTAAGCCCATAGCCAAGCTCGAAGACCGTCCGTCTTACTCACACGCGCTGTGTTCCCGTCTTCAGTCACTGGGTGCATTCGCCCCGAGAAGCTAAGCCGGCTGAATCCCAACGACCCAGGAGGGCAATACGACTCGAGCGGCGGAGCTGGGGGGCAAGGAAACCCTCAGGGAAGCAAGTGCTTGGGGTAAGCATCTCCTTCGATCGACATTTCGATGTCCATTCTGCAAGCCCGATCTAATTGCGCTCTTTATCAGCTACAACCATTATGTCGAGTTGGTTGAGCCTGCTGATCGCCGTGCATGCATCAAGTGCTGCGATAACTTCGACGATTGTCCCCTGCATCTAGGTGCGAACTTCTTATTTCTGCTGTCTACGACTGCTGACCAGTGTCATTGTTTCATTGCTTCTTTAGATACATCAGGGTGCCCTGCTGTGATCCAGGGCAATTACTTCAACTGCGCGTAAAGCTCGCCGTTCTGAAAATTTCGCGAACAATGGACCAATCTTCATGCCTCTGACGTTCACTTTATGTACCTTTCACGAGGACTTTTCGACGATAGCTTTGAGAACGAACATTCACGTTTACTTCCCGGACAGGACACTCAATAATCAGCTGTATAATACGATCGACCTTTGTTAACGAACAGTTTAACACCTACTTGCCTAGTTACAAAACAATTAAATAAATGTACCAACGAGGGATGAGAAAAGTCAAACAAAATTGCTTCAAACCCAGACTCAAAATATGTATGCGAAAGAGGTGTAAACAATGTTGAACGGCTACCGAGACTTCCTTGAGTATATAGTGCTCAGGTTAAGCCATACTATCCTCAACATCTATGTACTCTGCTCTGAACGAGGCCAACTCTGCAGGCAGACGGGCCACGCTCTCAGTGATACCTTCCAACCAGCTAGACGGCCAGCCGGACGGCGGAAGGAGCTTAATTTTGCCAGGAGAAAACTTTGCGTTGCTGTCGCGACTTGAGCAACGCATCGAGGTAGGAGAAAGAGAGAAGTAGTCCCCGAAAGTCGAAAAAGCTTCGAGAATAGGCGATCCTAAATCCGACGAGACCGAAATCGGGCTTGACGGGCTGTCATCGCTCTCCGATTCGCTGAAGCTTTCGCTCTGTCCTAGAGGCGGAGTCGATACCATGGCTGGCAAGAAGTCGTCAGCAGAGCGGTAAACAAGACAGTTGGCATCTTCGAGGTCAGATAGGTCGTCCTGGGTTGTTGGATCCGCGTCTGGAGGGTGTTCAATGGGTTTGGGCGGTTTGATCAGCTTGCGGGGCTTATTCGTGAACGATTTGATAGGTAATTCCACAACGAGCCTCGGAGGCTGTCGTGGTCGATACTCCGAGCCCGAGTTTGAGCGGTTGATCGAAGGGGTGAGGTAACCCGTCTGGCATTGCTCCTGTCTCGCAGGCGAAAGATCTAGTGCCCTTGATAAGTGGAAGTTGGACATCCTCCTCGAAGCGTTCTCGTCTTGAACGACCTTGCTTGTCGTTATCACCTCCCCAGCAGAGAGCCGGCCGCCCCTAGCAGCAATAATAGCCTCGAGGTCAATATGACCAAGCTTCCCATCGCGGTTGATAGGGTTATCGTCGTCGTCTTTGGGTCTCTTGGGACAGTTGGTTGGCTGGCTTGGGAAGCATCGTTCCTCGAAGGGATGTCGCCACCGATTGAGATCGACGGAAATCGTACGACCTAAAGATGACACGAGGCAATGAGCCACAAGGATGGGTCATACGCGCCAGATGCTGACCTCTTTCCTTCTCGCTCTGGGGCGAAGATGAAGCGAAGTCTGGTAAAAACGAAGAGAAAATGTAGGCCATTGCAGAGCCAGAAAGCGAGATAGACCAGCGAGGTTCAGATGAACAGAAAGTTCGGAAAGCAGAAAGCAGGGCTCCTGAAACAACGTTAGCGAATGATCCCCGTGTCGTTGACCTCTACACAAAAGATGTTGCAGCAAGAGGCTGACATACCTCTGCGTATCCCCAGGAAACTCTGAAAACTCGAGTCTTGATCGAGACCATAGCACCTTCCCATACGGACAAACGACACAATCCTCAAGCGACCTGCTATCTAGAAGTCAGAAAGGCCGGGTTGCATTTAACCTGCGAAAAAGCTCGCCTCATAGACTGACCCCGACACCCTCATAACGTCCATTTTCCTGTCTCCTAAGGCCACCAATTTTCTCAGAGAACAGACTTTCGATACTTTGACGCGGTGCCTTTTGGGTTTTCAAGCTCTTGATGATTTGAGGATAAGCGTGACTGGTTGCTGAAATCAGGGCGGCGCGCTTGTGCCGGCCCTAAAGTTGACCAGTCGCGTGTCTTCGGACTACGATTTGTTGTTTTCAACTTGTTTACAATTCAAAAATCATCAGCCATGCGGAGACGAGGAAATAAGTCTCACAAGGCAAGTCTCAACGACGTAATCCTCGTCGCCGCTAGGCCTTACTTTAAACTACTAGGTGCCCAATGTCAAGCTTCGCCCTGCAGAGAAGGGCTCGATGTCGCGACCCGGAGAAGAGGATGTAAGTACCTGTTGGGCACAGGATACGCAGTTCGGGAGCGACGACACGACATTTCACGACCCCTGCCCTCGTCCATTCAAGGGGATAGTCATATGTGCGACGGGAGTTGAGGACAAGGTGAGACCTGCTCCGCTATCCGAACTCCGAGCCAATGTATTGAAGTCGACAAGCCCACCTTGTTCAAACAGGCTGTAGAACTCGGAGCAATCGCCACACCTGCATTTACGGATCGTGTAACGCACCTGGTAGCGGAAGGTCATGGTGGGGCGAAGTATACGGTGAGTGTCTGACCGTCTTCTTGCCACATTGTCTAAAGTGGTCTTCAGTGTGCCTTGGAGCGCAAGATACCAATCCTGCAACCCTCGTGGATCACTGAGAATCATCTAATATGGCTGAGGGGCGACGATGTGGATGTGGTGAAGGTATACCGAACGTTGCTGCAGCAGACTAGTTGCTCACAGCCGCTTCAGAGTATGGAACAACATCGCCTTCCTGTCTTAGGCGGACTAGTCATCTGCACCTCTGGAATCACGGACATCCTCAGACGAACGCAAATCAGCAAACTCGTCGTCGCACATGAAGGTCAATACGTGTCAGCCCTGGAGCGTCCAGTCAAAGTTACGCATCTTCTGTGTTCGGGTGACGAGGAGACAGACAAGATGCGATATGCGGAGAAGTTCAACGGTAGAGGAGAGGCGAAGATTCATCTGGTTTGGGAAGAGTGGTTCTGGGACTCGATAGAGTTTGGGGGAAGGTTTGACGAGGCGACGTATCAGGTCCGGCGCCCACGTCCTGAGCGTAAAACACTGCCTGAAGGTTCGAGTGCCTTCCCTTCGTTCTCCTCTCTTGACTGACGTCTTCGTTCCAGTCCACACATCACCACCACCTTCATCTGACGTCGCCTCACATGACGAAACATTGTCTTCAGGACCTTCGAAACCTCTTCCACGTGTACCGAAGAACACAACCGAAGAGCAGGAAGAGGAACCAGCCTTCATGAACGTCCTTCCAGCCGTCACACTACAACTATGGGGCGGGCTTCTCGAGCGGCGCGGGTACCAAGTTACAGACGGAGAAGTCATCCTCAGTCCGTCCAAGGCGAAGGAAGATGCAGAACGACGAAAGCTGCAGCCCCATCCGCCCAGTTCACCGGTACGGCCACAACTTGGCCTAGGTGACAGTGTCATCTCGTCGTTTCGACGAGCAAATTCTTTTGCTCCTGCAACAACGAAGGAACCAGGAGCTTCGCGGAATCTTCCTTTCAGACGAGCGAACACCTCCGCCACCGCTCTCGGTGGCAACGCAAAGGCTGGTCCCTCGAAGACGGCCACGCCACCTCCACAAGCGGGCGAGTCCTCAACAACAACGGCGAAGAAGATCTTCGAGGGTATGGTCTTCCGGGCCTTGGGCGAGGCGAAGAGCCCCAGTGTCCGAGGGGCCATCGAGGACCTCGGAGGACGGATGACGAACGACCCAGACGAGAACGTCGACTTCATCGTCGTCCGGATCGTAAGCGGTAGCAAGCTCTACCGTGAGGAAGAGGACGAGAACCTCAGATGTAAGTACCGCACGGAGTGCTGGTTGGAGCATTGCATATATGAAGAGCGGGTGTGCGCCTCGGATGAGAACGTTGCTTTCGTGCCGCTTTCGATACCGGTTCCTATTGCTGGTGCGGAGAGGGTCGTCATGTCGATTTCAGGGTTCGACCAGTCTGAGTCATGTAGTCTGAAGAGGCTCTTACGTGCTCTTGGTACGTCCTTAACTACTCTTCAGGGGCAGTCTATCTAATAGTCGTGTAGGAATCACACAGGCTGCGACCTTCTCTCGTCGGTCAACGCATCTCCTCTGTCCATCAGGCAAAGGTCTCAAGTTCGACAAGGCTCGAGAATGGAACATACCCGTCATCAACAACGACTGGCTCGCCGCCTTGGCCTCGTCTGGTGCTATTCCCCCAGTTGACGAATTTCTGATCAAGGGCCCTACGGACGAGATGGACGTCGATCAAAAGGACGTGAAAGGCAAGGGTAAAGCCGTGGATAAGGGCAAGGGCAAGGCAAAGGCTGTCGACGCCATGGACGTTGAACCCAGGATGAACGATATCACAAACAGTACGTTGGAAAGTTTTTACACTATACACTCATGGCTAATCTCTATTCAAGATGCTCCTACCGATATTCGCCCCGAAAACCCCCCACTGAAACCAGCCAGGAGCCTAGAACGACAGCCTACGACCATCATCCGCAACTCGGAGCCTCCAGAGCAGCCCATGTTCGGGTTACCGACAGGGTTAGGAGGCTCTTCGTTCTACGTACCTCCATCCTCGCTACTGACGCCACAGCGCTCGCTGGCAAGCCCTCCGCAATACCGACCTGACCCGAATGAGCCCGAGACAAACGACTGGCTCAGAGAAGTAGCTGGTTCAGCTACCCAACCGAGCAACCCCGACCCAAATCCGAACTCCAACGGCCAAAGGCGGACAGCGACGATACCCAACTTGAACGAAGAGCCCGTTGGGACAGATCCAGGTCGGATACCCTCCTCCAAATCGCCTTCGCCGATGAAGGCCCCGGCATCGCTCCGGCACAGTGGGAGCAGCAGGCTGTCGTTGTCGCCTGTGAAGATCGACCACGAGGCGACGAAGGCTCTGCAGGAGAGCATTACTTCACTGTTGGGCAAGCGGCCTTCGCCTGATGGTGATGAATTGCCAGGACCTGCTGCTGGGAAGGGCAAGCGGGCAAGGCCGCAACGAGCCAAGGTCAGCTTTTTGTTCCCGTACTTTTTGACCACGTCCTGAATCTTGTTGAAGGCTCAGTCACGACAAGCCTCTTCCGCGAAGATCGGAGAGTCACCTGCTCCTCCCGCACCTGTTCCCAGATTGCGAACAACGCGGTCTAGGACCACTGCAGCTGCCGCCGCTGCCTACCACGTCGTTGCAGATGCGGCATTGAACCCGTTCGCTTCGTACCCAGAAGAAAGCGTGGCCATTCCTGGAGCCGAAACTCAGTCGCAGCAAGAGAGCATGCGTGTGATGTACGAGGATCCAGGGATGATGGACGAGAAGAAGCGCTTGATGAGTTTGCTGAAGAGCCAGACGGGGGAGGAGACGGCAGGGACAACGTTGAGTTCGAATGGGTCAAGGAGGAGCGCGAGAGTGGCGGGTTGATGGACTGCGAAGGCATTTATGATTTCATGCGGTGGATATTCTCTGTTGTATTTTTATTTTTATGACATCTATAGGTTGATTCTACTCACCATCTTAAAATACTTATCCTGGGATGAATGGCAGCTCTGTAAGGAACATTCGCACGGTGAGATTCTCTGTGGCGCACAGAACGTGGGCCTGGACCTCTGCATTATGTCAGCCATTTGAAGCGGCGCCTCATCGGGTCGGAGCTTGCCAGACCCCCTTGGCAGCCCTTGCTTTCTAACTTCCAAGTTACCTGTCACCATCGAAGCCGTGAATGTGCTGCTGGCCTTCTGTCGTATGATATCTCGAACATGGGTGACCAGGAAACCTGCATATCAGCTCCAAATCCCATTTCTCATGGTGTGATCTCTCCTTATGTTCCTCTAACGCAACCGAAATCTTAAGGTTTGGTGTTGAAACAGATTTGTATGCCTCTTTGGTGTTCTACTTCAAATATGCGTCTTCTGCGTATACACTTGTGTGCCCGCGCCCTAATGGAAACATGCTGGTGACGCAGGTCATTCCGTGCCCATCGCGTCCAATCACTCGAGCGCTCATGGGTGTCTATTCGTGGAACAGTTGGCGAACCCTCTAACGGACATACAAGGATTCGTTGCTCGTGATGACCATCGGAAAGAGGTAGTTATTGCTCTGAGAGGCAGGTTGGTTCTCCCATTATTGCCTGATCGATACAGGGGCTTTAAGACAAATTGTAGCGCTTCAGTGACCGATATATTGTTGGACTGTCATATCGCCCTGGTTCCGTTTATTTCTCCTGGAGTGAAGGTTCCACGTGAGTACCCAACTTGCCCTCCTTGTGACTTACCGATAAATATAAACCCGATCTTTGAAGCCGGCGCTCGCGTCCATGCCGGATTTCTTCTTGCGTAAGCATAGTTCCCTCTTCCTCAGGCCTTACCCACATTCTCTTGCATCGTACGCAGATGGGACTCTGTCGCTCTCGAAGTGATAACAGTTGTGAAGAAGCAGCTATCAGCCCACGAGGGATACTCCGTCGTTACTACAGGTCATTCTCTCGGCGGATCTTTGGCTCTCTTCGCTGCTGTCACCTTACGGCAAAATTTCAAATCTGTGTGAGTAGTCTTCTTGTCGTAGAGCTTCTTGTTTTCCATTACTGAATTATTACTCTCCCTCTGGCACAGGCATATCAGAACGTATTCTTACGGGGCACCGCGATCAGGGGTAATCGCAGGATGCCCTGTGTAGGAGTCCCTGCTAACCTCTTTCTGCTAGAACAAAATATTCGCCGACTACGTTAATGCGACTTTCGGAGAAGCCGCTTATAGAGGTGAGATCACTGTGTCCCAGATACTTCGTGTCTAACGGCAGAATTAGTCGTTCACGGAAACGATGGGTAGCTGGCTTCCTCTTGGTGTTGTCCCCCAGCCTTCGCTGATCTCTGTACCGACGTAGAGTGCCCACGATGATACCGACTGGCCTCGGGTACCACCACCACGGTGCGATCTCACTAGTCATCTCTCGCCGACAATCGTCGACTCACCACTAATTTTTTGTGATCAGGCGTCGAATATTGGCAACGGGAGAGCCCACCATCGGAGGAGACCACCGTCCAGTGCAACGCCGAAGGTGAAGATGCTACTTGTTCGGCTTCTATACCGTCTCAAGGTGTTAATGTGGCACATACGAATGTAAGTGTTTCTTGCATCTCTGAGTTTATGGCGGCTGATGAGCACACCCCGACAGTACTTTGGTATTCTGGTTTCAACGCCGTTTTGCCTTTAGTCATTATCACTAGTCATTTCACGCTGCGCCTTGTCCATATCTCGCTAACTATCGAGATTCTCACAATTGCTGCCCTTGAAGACGTCTATATCGATTGTCTGACATGATGATCGGACGCACTTCCTCTGCGTCTTCTTTCACGATTCAAATTGGCCTTCGGACGAGGGCATTAGAGTACAGGGTCAAAGTAAAAAAACTACGTCAAGCTGAAATACTTTTCTGCTGTCTCAACCTGTTCACGCCAACTGGGTTTTATGGACTTCCTTGGCGGCAAGAAGCCAATGTTCCCACGCGAACGACGAGCGCTAAATGCCATCGAAATTACGTGAAGAACGTTATACTTGCTGTTTGATGCAAATACATCGTCAAAGTTGAGGTACAATGCTTAAAATAAAAGGCGAGAAACACCACTGGTTCAATCTTCATGATCCCCCACTTCTTCCTGTTATTCCCAATCCTCCCAAACGAGTGGTAGACTGGTCATATTCCTTGCCGTCGTCACCCCAGCCGTGTCTGTGACGGCGGTCATGACCAATAAGAATGCCAAAAGCAGATGATTGAGTGATGTGTTATAAATATTACAAAGAAATACAGTGTTGTTGCAGTTGATCAAGTCCATTGCGCAGAAACTGAATAAATGAGAGAAAACAAGAACGGTCCGGGGCATTAAGCAATAAGTCCCCTACCCCTTGCGTGTCGCTTCACGGCGTCTTCCCTCGTAAACACCTTCCCACAGGTGAGCCCATACGCAGAGCGGGGGAAAGGCCTCTCCTCCATCTTGACTGGAACGTTGTACGCAGTCGGGAGGGACTGGACAACGGGTGCGGGGTTGCCGAAGAGAATCTGCGGCTACTGTGAGGTCGAAGTAGCTATCCCAGACCCAGTGAAGCGGGTCCTTCACCTTGATCTCTTGCTTAACATCCAGGTGCGGGGTGATGAAAGGGGTGGTGAGAATACTCGAAGAGGACGAGGCCAGAGAGGCGGCGGGAGACGGCAGCGCCCAAGGCACAAGAGTGGGGCTCGGGAGTGTCGAAGAGCTCGTCAATCTCCTCACTTTCAGGAGACGACACTCTCTCGGCAAGGTAAACGATGGGTAGGATATATGGGGACAGCAGGCAGGGTGGAGACGGAAGGCAAAACGGGCGGAGTCACCTGCCGGCAAGCACTGGTTGGGTTCGGATCATCCGACTCGAGGATACGCTCGACGCGAGCAGGGACGTTGGGGTATCGCTTCCCGGCGGCTTTCTTCCTGGGCAGCATCGCGTTGAACTCCTCCACATCGAGAGAATTTTCTGCACATGTCGTGAAGAGTTCTAGTGCGGTGTTGGCAGGTATTGCACACATGGGCACATTCTACGAAATCCTTGTCCTCTGCCGAGTCTGTGCGCTGTTCCCTTCGCGAACGTTGGGTGACGGATACACCTACGATCGTCACCTTGCCACCCGCGCGGCGGGCGAGAAGTCTTCTTCTTCGGTGTTTTGGCCGACGAGGGCACTACAACGTTCGCTCTCGATGACGAATCCAATGGTCCAATCTGCGAAAGACCGCTGCTCAACGGCGCCGAGTCGGGCATGACTGGTGTGCTAAGAGTCGCGTAGAATATCGACTGCAGGGTGAGGTAAGATGGTATTGCGCTGGAGCACGGAGTTAATTCAGTTCTAGCGGGCACACATAGAGGACTTACGTAGGAACCATTCTATATCCTTGTGTGCCACCCACGCGTCGAGAGGTCGTCCTCTTCGGTGCTTTGGACGACGAGGGAACTACGACATTCGGCGTCGAGGACGACGCCAGTGGCTGCTCAACGGCTCCGATTCAACCATTATGGCCTCGACAGGGGATACGTATATTAACAGCAAGGGAAGGAAGATTGGGACGTCTCCTTAGGTGGAGAAGGGTGTTAATGCGAGTCGAGTGAACAATATAGGAGTTTTAAGAAATAAGGCTTACCGTTGGGGTGTCCTTTAAATGATGTCGCCACTCATCAAGCAGTCGGCGCCGGCCGTGTATCCTTTGGATCATCTTCATAGACGTTCAAGTTAGATAAAGATAATCATGACAGCAACAGCTTCTACAGAAGCGTTTGTATTATAGAGCTTACTTACGCGTAGAGAAGCTAGACTGCGTTCGAGTGGACGATCTGAACGAAGCGTTCAATAAAATCCCAACGGGAGGCAAGGAAACGACATACCGAACAAGTCATCAGATAGCTTGGAGTTTTTTAGAGTTGAGAGATTCGAAGTATTTCACGAGAGTGGGTGGTCGAAGAATCAAGATATGAGCCGGGTGGCGCCCAATTTTTGGGGCATCCTGACTTATACCATTTGGCGACAAAGGCGAGTGGCTTCGAGTTCAAAGGAATATTCATGTTTAAGGCCGCTTTACGACGTTCAGACAAATACAGAAAGAATGGCAAAGCGGATGATTGAGCGATAGATAATGATACTAGTACAAAGAAATGATACAGGTGTTATTGATGTCGATTTAGTCCATTGCGCAGAAACTGAATAAAGGAGAGAAAACAAGAACGGTCCGGGGCATTAAGCAATAAGTCCCCTACCCCTTGCGTGTCGCTTCACGGCGTCTTCTCTCGTAAACACCTTCCCACAGGTGCACCCATAAGCGGAGCAAGGGAAGGATTTCTCTGTATGCCCCTTCTTTTGAAAATGGCGCGCCATATCGTGGAGTGTTTTCGTGCGCTGTTGGCAGACATTGCATACGTGGGGCCATTCGAGGGGGTCCTTGTCCCCTGGCGCTGTGCGTTGTCCCCTTCGCGGACGTTGCGTCGCCGGTGCACCTACGATCGCCATCTTGCCACCCGCGCGGCGAGAAGTCTTCTTCTTCGGTGTTTTGGCCGACGAGGAAACTGCAATGTTCGATGTCGAGGACGACGCCAGTGGTCCGTTCTGCGAAAGACTGCTGCCCAACGGCGCCAAGTCGGGCATGATCGGCGGGCCAGGAGTTGCGTAGAATATTGACTGCAGGGTGAGGTAAGATGGTATTGCGCTGGAGCACGGAGTTAATTCAGTTCTAGCGGGAACACATAGAGGACTTACGTAGGAACCATTCTATATCCTTGTGTGCCCACAGAGACCCTTTCAGACATGAATACGGCGGTTGGGTAGCTGGAGGAAATAAGTATCAGTACTAGGCAGCGTTAATAAAAGAATATGGGGCATACTTGCTACGCAGAAGGTCGTTGATGTAATTGGTGGCTAGGGCTTCATGTTGGTTGGGTTGTTCCCAGTGGTAGCCATGAAATTCTCCGGTCACGACGTCCACGAAAATGTCGAGTCGATTTGGGTCGAGAGGAAAAAAACCGGCCATGTCGTCTTGGGTTGGTAGGGGTGTTTGTGGATTGGAAGTGGCGTTCGAAGTCGGGCTCGGGAGGTTTTTGGAGTCGTAGTTCGTCTCTGACCTCCCATTTTATATCCCAAATGAGTCCGGTTCCCGTTTCCGAGCACCGTAGACGCTCGATAGAATCTAGACGGACGCGTTAAGGGTTCAGGCGCGTACTCCCCTTTAGGCCTAATCCTGCACCTTGAACAATGGCAGAGGTGAAGTAAGCATGAGATGGAAGCTTCCCCATTTAAAATCACCGACCATTCTTTTCTAACAGACCGGGGGTATTTCGTATGAATGTTCCCTACAGTGGGGTGTACAGCTCTAATTTGTTCGCCTAGATTGGAAGCCTGAGCTTGGGCCATTCTGACTCATAGCCAACTTCGACTAGGAGATAGGACCGGTCAGTCAGATGCCGATGAGTGGCACCTCACTGTCGCTGTGCCATTCTCTACTGACTGTAACCTGTCCCGCTGGAACATCTGCAATTTGGAGTACATATAGAACTCTTGACATGTCTCTGCAAAGTCGTTATAGATAATTCTGCGCTTCATTTGAAGGGTTGGCTCAACGCCTTCAGTCCCTCGCACACTCTCGCCTGAGGCCCTCTTACATTTCCTTGACCAACGGGGAAGCCCGGTATGAAGCAGGGTCAGGTTCTCCCCGAGTTCCTAAAAGTGAAAAGTTTTGCATTGCGGACAATAGGGGGAGATTGGGACAACAAATCCAAACCACTTTGCCGGAGCTGTGGCGCGCTTGCACAAATAGCCGTTTTAGGCACTCGAGTTGCCTGAGAATGCCTCGGCAGATTCCGCGGGCCATCGCGCACCACGCGCCCGCGTGGATCTGCGACTCTGGCTTGCTCTTGGCGCGCGTTGCCTATGGCCCGGTCGGCACAAGCGTTGCAACCTTTGTGCACTGTTCCTACGAATTTGACACAACTCCAGACGTCCATTGCATTTGGTCGCTCAGCGAATTCGTGACGGTTGGCGAAGCGGCTCGATCCGCTGTGGTGATGATGGCTTACAATGCACCCGGGCACCAATGAGGTTCCTCGGTCGTCGTTGATCATGATTTGAGCTGCCTTGCAAGCGACGAAGATATGTACCTGCGCGCCAAGTGACAACAGATGCGGCCCCTTCTTGCTCTTTTACTCCAATACTAATACTTCAAGTTTAGGGTATGATGGGCATGCTTTCGGCGCGAGCACTAGCACTTGAAAGCGTCGGTCAGGAAAGACGAAAGGAAGCTGCACACTCGCGCTCCTTGCTATCGCCTCTGCGCGAGTTTGCAGAGTTTACTTAGATTGCTGGACATTATTGCAAGTTTGGCCTTTGGACCAGGGATTTTTAGGCCATATTGTACGGATACGCGCAAGGAGGTACAATGAGCTGAGCGTCGTACTATGTCAGATGGGCTGCCATTGCTATATTCCTGAATGGTATTGCCTTGCGTGAGGTTCGAAAACGTAACTCGGGAATTGCCGGGTAGAGTTATAAGTTGCGTCTTGCCGAAGTTCTTGAGCTTGAGCTCTTACCACTACCTTCTTGAATATCAGTTTCTACAACGCCTTCATGCCCCAATACGATGGACCTATTGTCGACGAACAAAACCCCTTCTACTGCCCTTCTATTCCTGCAGACTCCTATCATCAATTTCTCAAGGAAGCTCGCCAAATGCTGAATACTGAACGCCCTCCAGACCACGACATTTTCCATTCGTACCAGCGAGCTCTCGAGAAATCTCTCAGCAAATCTGACGACGGAGGAAGTGTGTGCAAGATGGACTGGATTCGAGACGACCCGATGCCCCCCGATTGTGCATGGCCTTCCAGTCAGCCTGCTCCTGGTTCAGACGAACTGCCTCCTTATTCCTCGGTCGAACTTACTCGAGCTCCTGCTAAACCACGGCATAATACAGCTCTCGACTCGGAAGCTGCGAAATCTCTTCTTCAGCTTAGGGAGCGACAACCCGACTTCAAAAAGAAACTCTCCGATTCCTTCAGCGACTTTGAAGCACCACCCCAATACGCTCGTTCGATGGTCTCTTTTCATAACAGCTCTTTCGAGTTCGAGGTCTCGAGGAAAGGTCTCAACTTCTTTACGGCATCTTCTTCTCCGACCGCACGAGTGGACGCCTATCTGCATTCTACGATGGACAACATTGGCCATCTCATAGACCAGCTAGATCGTGCTCTTCCCGGTATTCGCCTCGCTGAAAGGCTTAGATGCCAGCCGCGCGCAACCCCTCAGTCTATCATGGATTTCCTCGTCGAAAATGGTATCTTAATTGGCATTCGTTGAACTTCATCTGACCACGTTATAGAATACGTGAACGGACGGACCCTTGATATAATGAGCGGCACCAACGTCGAGCGAATCTTAATGGAGTCTTCTGAATTTGAGCGGAATGGGCTTAATCTCTGTTATCAGGGATTTTATTCAGGTATTTCACCTATGGCTTTGGGTTTTATAATATCTTACTTCGAGAGCAGTGTTCTGTAAACCCAATGCGTTCCGGGACCTTGCTCATCTTTCGTTTTCCGGCACTGCTCTGAATAATTCCGATATCATGCATATTCACCACCTGCCCAGCCTCTCGGTTTTGCTCTTGAACGAAACCGGCATTGGAAACGAAGCGTACGTATCCATTTCCAGTATTAAACGGAGTGCATCATCCTTGCTGCAGTGTCTTTCTCCTCGTGTCTCTCAAACAGACCCTCACCCAACTCTCTCTTGCGACAAATCCATCCATCGACAACGATGCGGTGCCCGCTATCATCTTGCTTTACAAACTCTCTTTCCTGACAATCTTGGATACTGGAATCGACATGGCTGGTCTACGCAGGCTTGCCGGAGTTATCTACGAAGATAATCGTGTCGTCGACATCGAAATACCTTTCGCATGCGAGGTCTACGTCGATAGTGAGCTTTTCACACCCTCTGCCTCTGGTCAACTGTGCTGAACATCGGCCCAGGTATTCACTCTCGCTACCTCCTTAATCCTCGTCCACCCTTGATTACCGACCCCTCTGTCTGCGGCACGCTCTCTCTGGTCGCCCTGAAGCGCAACCTCGAAGCGCATGCAGCTTGCAACCCTTCGATCGTAGCTTCTGGTACCCACGCTGAGATGGTCGAGCGGCTCTCTGAGATCTTGGCGACTCGCAAGTTGGATAATCTGGTTGTCAGCATGCTGGAAGGAGATGACCCTGTGAATCAGAAATACGGACTTGCTGTTTGAACTCGCTGCTGTCTACGCTTTTTATGCTTGCTTTCGTTGCTTGTTCCCTTCGTCTTTCGTGTCTGTTTCTGTGACCTTGTATGCTCTGATTCTGTCCTCTGTAAATGCGTTCAATCACGCATATATGCCATGTACTGAAGTCCGTTGACGGTACCTTACGATCGCCCAGCTTCGATCATGGTTGGTGACAACGTGGAATTAAGAGTGTCCGTATCTCTGCTAACCTCGCCAGACACGTTCATCCGGTATTTGGATAGTATGAAGGGCCGCCCCCTCGTTGCTCTTCTGCTGGCTTGCGCAACGGCCATGTACGAAACCAATGGGGAGGATCTGGGATCCTCCTATACCTCCTTGTCAAATTGGTGGCGGCCTGTATCGGCTTCGTTCGCCTCGCGGAATCTCACCACCCCGAACACGACAAACCGCACCACCCAGCCTTTCGTAGGCAAGATCGCCTTTTCAAGCAACCTCTTGAAGATTCGGGAAGGGCGGACATGGGACGCGTCGTCAGTCCCACCTTTCATGGGCCCAGAAAGTTACAAGGTCATCAAGATTCCACACCGCTATGTTGCTCTGAAACCGTGGGGTACCAGGGTCTTTCCTTCCATACAGGCTTACGAGGATCGCGTCTGGTCGGCTGCGCCTACTCGGGTCTATGGGGAACTACCTTTGGTCGTCGAGACCTCGACGTCGCTTTCGCTGTGGTTTTCTACGCTTTGTATCTCGCCTCTCTTCGCTGTTCGCCTGTGGACACTCAAGGAACTTTTGGGAGCCGCCAAGAGTTCGGTTGGTGTTTTCATTGGGGTGTTATCTGTCGCGAGGCCATTTGCGTTGGTCTTCCTGCGGTGGCTTGTGTTTATAGTCCTCGAAGGACTAGAGCGGGGTCTTCGGGTATCCGAAATTTGCTTGACGGCTTTCTACTCTTGTATAGAGACATGGATCCAGCTCTACCAGCTAGGTCTCGACAAGAAAAGGATGAAGAAAGCCGATCGGCTTCGGGAGGAGTGCATACAACGCAAGCGCCCCTTCGTACGCACTCGCAGACCCGCCCAGCACCAGCAGCCTGCTCTCAAAGAGACGCCTCTCTTTAGCTTGGACTCCTCGGAGATGCCAAAGTGCAAGTACCTTCCTGAAGAGATCCAAATGGCTCTTGCTTCGCCCAGTTTACACCCGCTTCGAGACATGTACGACCCACTTATGTTGAGACTTGTCCAGCAGATAGGCGCTGGCGCGTTCGGATGTGTCATGCAAGTCGAGCATCGTCCTACAGGTAGGGCGATGGCGCTGAAGAAGCTGGTCGGACGAGACAACTCGGAGGAGGATTTCGAATCTGAGGTTAGAGCTATGGTGCGCCTACAGGGCGGGGCGTGGTATCCGGAGCTCTATGGATCGTTTAGGGATGTGGATTCTTTTTATATCTTGATGGTACGTTGCGTCTGGATGCTTTAAAATTTTTGCGTTATAATCATTTGGTTTTAGCCTTTTTATCCGAAGGGCGATTTGTATGAAGTCGTCAGCCTGCATGGAGGTTGCTTCCACCGAACGTTAGCCAGGTTTTATCTCGCCGAATTGGCAAGTTCAACATCCTCTGCTCGTTTTCCAGTCCATGTTTAACACCTCGTCCCTGTCGTTAGATTCTGGCAATCCAAGGCTTGCATCAGAGAGGAATTATCCATCGCGACCTCAAGCCCGAGAACATATTGTTCAAAGAAGATGGCCACCTCGTCGTCGCTGACTTTGGGATCGCATATGTGTTCGAGCACGAAGAAGACGAGTTTCTGGAAGACGAATTCCCTCTTTGGGCGGAAAAGAAGGCTCAAGGCGGCGACGACTTCCCTTTCCTGACTCCCAGCGTCGATAACCCTCACACGACTTTGGGCACCTATGGTACTCCTTTCTATGCGGCGCCAGAAGTCCTTCGGGGCCTCGAGTATAGCTATGGAGTGGATTATTATTCAGTAGCTATTATTTACCATGAAATGATCACCGGCTATGTGAGTAGTCGATACCATCCAGTTCTCCCGTTGTTAACTCAAGCTTTCTAGGTTCCTCTGTTGGTTGGTTCGATTAAACCTGGATCGGGTCAACCTGAAGTAGAGGTCAACCTTGGCAGGCAATATATTCACTTACAAACGGTCTCCGCTGCAGAACGTGACTTCCTGGAGAAGGTGCGCCGTGAGATCTTCCTCTTTGTGGTATCCCCACTGATTCGGCGAGCCTGACAGATGTTGCACGAAGATCCGTTCGCTCGCTTATCGGTCAGACAGATTAAATCGCATCCTATCTTCAGCGGCCTGTATGTCTTTGTTTTATGTTGCGTGATATAAAGAGTGACTCACCTAGGAGCTTTATAGGGACTGGTCCGGGATGGCGAAATTAGCAGGGCCTATTCCTCGTCCTCCAGCACTTCGAAAGAGAGTGGCCCTTGGTCATTCTACTCTATGCTCCGACTTGGCAGACGATTAACTCATCTTTTAGTTATGCTTTAACTTTGTCGGTTTCATGTCTTCGCATTCCTTGTCGTCCATTCTATTTTTTTTGTTGTGTGTACATATCCAATGTTTTCCAATGTCATCCGTTATATTTTTCTGGTCTGATAGGTCCTGGTCTCTCAATAATAGCCTCTGCCCTGTCACTGTCAGCACGTCATTGAACACCGTGACGGTGAATCCTATGCATGTATGCGCTGAGTCCGTTCTGCAAGCGTGGCTTAAACTTTCCCACATTTCCTTTGACCGCAACCACGATGTCCACAACCTGGAGGCCGTAGCCGCACCGCGATGGACAACACCCAACTGCTACCACTGCACTCTCCGAAGAACTTAGAAGTCGTGTATCCGCCAATGTCCTCCTCAAAACCGACGGAAACAACGGAACCACGCGCAAAGGGGGTGGCACGTTTAACGGTCCATATACCCTCCGCTTTTCGGGGTACCTCCAAGCGCCCTGCTTCTATCTCGCCCTCAAGATGGGGGACACTAGAGTTCAAGTTCTACTACGTGGTGGCTCTGGTAGCTGTGCCGTTGATGGGATGGATACCCGTATCTCTCAGCCAGAGTGAGTGACTGAGATTTATGTGGAAAAGTTCGCTATAAATTTGCAGCATCACACCCGAACTATCCAATGTATGCGAGGAGACTAAGTGAAGGGTGGCTTCATGGCCGGATGGTGGTGCGTCACACTAATCCAGCTGTCGAATGACGAGCTCAACCTACACAGGACAACAGCGATGCCCAATACCGCTCCTTTCGCAGCAACCTCGGTCTTCTCTCTTTGGCTGCCTTCGGTTATCTTATTATCAACTATATCCGCTGGATTTTATCTACCAGTTCCTTCGCAAACAACCTCTACCTCATTCCGACCAACGTTGTCATCTCGCTCGCCGTCGTCGTTGCACTCCATGGGGCTAGCTCCCTCAAAGTCTTCTTCATAATAACTATCAACTTTCTAATCGCGACGAAGTGCCGTTCCTCTAAACTTGGACCGCTCCTCACTTGGGTTTTCAACGGTCTCGTGCTTTTCTTGAATGAGAAATACCATGGGTACTTCTTTGGCAGTCTTTCCCAGTCGCTCGAATTTTTGGTATTTCTCTTCTTACTGTGAGTGTAAAGCGCGCTAATGAAACGCAGGATGACCTCTCGGGAGTGTATCCTCGATGGCACGTAATATTCAACATCACGATGCTTCGCCTCATCTCGTTCAACATGGACTACTACTGGGCTTGTAAAAGTCCGGAGACTGCAGATGTAGGTATGTTCGCAACTAGCCTGAACCACCAAATAGCTTATTTATCTATAGCTCACCCCGACGACTCTGAACGAGAAGCAACGAACATCTCTACCCCATAGCGATGAGTTTTATTCGCTCGTGAACTACGTAGCATACATCCTCTACCCACCACTCTATATCGCTGGTCCAATCATCACATTCAATGACTTCATGTGGCAGGTGAGTTCTACCTACTCACGCCACGCATTACTCTGTCTGACCTTGCCTTGAAGCACCGAAAACCTTTGTCGATGCGAACTCGCGACAACGTCATGTACCTTGTTCGATTCATATTCTGCTACCTGGTCATGGAGTACATCCTTCATTTCATGTACGTGGTGGCCATCAAGGACAGGAAGGCGTGGCTGTGGGATTCACCCGCAGAGATTGCCATGATTGGTTTTTGGAACCTCATAATCGTCTGGTTGAAGGTCAGTCTTGCCTATTCTCGCTGCTCGAACAGATTAAATCAAGATTCGAATCCACAGCTCCTTATTCCGTGGAGGTTCTTCCGTGCTTGGGCTCTGTTAGATGGTATCGACCCGCCCGAAAACATGGTCCGATGTATGGCGAACAACTACTCAGCTTTTGGGTTTTGGAGAAGCTGGCATCGCAGCTACAACCTTTGGATCATTAGGTGTGTTCATTTCTTATAATGGTGTCTACGTTTTGAGCAAACCCACGCTTGCCTAGATACATCTACATCCCTCTGGGCGGCACGAAGAACGTCTTCCTCAATACGCTCCTTATCTTCTCCTTCGTCGCTCTATGGCACGACCTCACGTTCAAGCTGCTCGCCTGGGGCTGGCTAATAAGCCTGTTCGTCGTTCCCGAGCTTCTCGCGTCCTACGTCCTACCAGTATCCAAGTACGGCAAACAGCCATGGTATCGCCACGTATGCGCGGTCGGCGGCGTACTGAACATCTTGATGATGATGGCAGCGAATTTGGTTGGGTTTGTAGTCGGTGTGGATGGAGTGAGATTCTTTTTCTCGCAGCTGTTTGGGACATGGGAGGGATTGAAATTTATGGTTGTGTGCTCCTGCTGCCTGTTTGTGGGGGTGCAGCTCATGTTCGAGTATCGGTATGGGCCTTTCCCTTGGGTTGTTAGGGTTTGCTAATCGTGCTTCTTTTGCAGGGAAGAGGAGCTGAGACAGGGTATAGTACGACGGTGTTGAGTCAATTATTGGACCTCTGGTTGTATTTATGTTTATGCTGGATAGATTCGCTCTCTAATCGGAATGCAGATGCTGATTAGTGCCTGTGTGATACAAGTGGTCTCTGGATGACGACGTTCCTCAGTGCTTCCTGATGAACTTGAACAATTTTTCAGAAACAGGGCTGGAGGACAAACACAGACAAACACGTTTTTCCTTTTCCTTCTCTGCCATGACGTTGGCGGCACCGATTACCCCGCCAGTCGCAACTATTATCCTTTCTTCACTCTCCAGAAACCCTGGAGCATATGATGGAGTCAATTTACCTCCTCGAGAGACCCCAAAGGCTGACTTCGATCCCGATACGCGCAAACTAGCCAAGATTCTGGACGCCATCGCGTCATTTCTTCCGACTACCCCCAGGGCCGGACTCTCCTACGCCGTCACGTTGAGGGTAACTTCGACGAGCTCCCACATAACCGTTGCAGGAAACGATGTTGAGCACTTCGAACCCGACTCAGAGGGTCGCCATCCCGAGGCTCTCATCAACGCTATTTGGTCCAAGATGCGAGGCATCTGCACATCTGAAGGAGACGAGCGCAAGCGCCACATGGAAGATCTTCTTATCTTCCTCTTCAAGACGCACATGGACAAAATGCGCGCTCGATATCAGAAAGGAGACGAAATCTGTCGTATCTTCTTCAGTGTTCTCGATTCCAGCGATGCATGGAACAAGCTACCTAAAGATACCATCAAGATTTTGGAGATCGCGCAGAAGATACATTCAGCAAGCACCAAATTCTTCGCACTATCGGACAACATAGAAGCTTATATGGCTGCCTTCCACCAATCTCTGATTCGATCCCAGAGAGACTATAATTCCAAGAACGCGGACGATCTCTCACTCGCTTATATTGCTATGTATGAGAAGCTGGCCGAAGAACAGTTTGAGACGACGAAGGGAGCAGGTATGTTGATTGGAGATTCTCGGGGCCCCTAAAGTGCTAACGGCAATTTCGGACAGTTGGCTCGACAGATAACGAACAGCGTAGGCGCCCCGGAAAGCGTTTCAGCCTCGACAGATACATGGGAAAACTTGTGAGCCCCGCAGTTCACGCCCTCTCCTTACTTTCAGTGGCGGATGGGTCGTTGTTCAGGCGCGTACAACACCTTCCCCTATCTATCGCCGTCATCCATCCCGCTCGCTCATCGTCATTTAAAATCCCATTCCCTGATCAAGCCGCCATACGCTCATTTCTTGAGGACGCCTATGGGGATGAGGACCTCTCAGAGGAGACCGACGTGCGTGCTCTTGTCATAGACGAGAGATTGCTGGCCATTGGTCCCAAGTTGGCTGGACACAAGCAATTGAATGGTCCTCATTGCGAGTGCTTCCTGATCAATCACCACCATACTCTCCAGGATGTCCCTTACCCATATATTGGTGTCTCCAAGCTATCTTGCCTCCAGTGCGGACTGTATGCTGAGGCGTATCAGAAATATGTAAAGCAGCAGACAAGCAGCCTCCCGCTGTTCCGAACTCGTGGCTGTGGTGCTGATATCGTTCCTTACTTGTTGCCATCTGCATCGACTGCAATGGGCACTTTCATCGAGGAACACATTATATCTGCCATCAAGCAGGTTGTCGGAGTGATCTTGCGTTCTGATGCGGCCGAAAAGCGCGCTCACTGGCGAAAGCTATCCCAGAGCTCTGCAGCGTCCAGCGATTCTCAGGATTCAGGAGAGTATCATTTCGAGGGCAACATCCGTGGCAAGTTCTCTTATATTACTGCACGGCAAGCGGCTACTAACATACCTTCTAGCAGATATCTTCCCCTAATCTAGGCAACTTGCAGGTTTTGCGCAAACGAATATTACCTGGTAGGAACGACCCGTTTTGCGTATCACTTCAGCTGTCATTGTAATCTATTGAAGAGTTGGTGTGTTCCTGTCTCAACAATCGAAACCTACATTGATAATGCGGTCTCCGAACGCAGGTCGGAGGTGCCTAGGATCTACAGTTTACGGAGGACGCAGTTGGACATTTGGACAATGTACAAGAACAAGACCAATACCTTGACGGCTTGATTCGGGCGGGCATGTCAAGAATGAATGGCTCCAAGACGCGAACGTCACGAGGGATTGTCGCGGGAGTCGGAAACGGAATGGACCTCGTCGTACACGTCTTGGAGGACCCTGAAAATGAGAGACGCGATCCTGACATTGCATTGGCCGTCCTTGAGCGCGAAGTGACTCGCTTCGTTCGCAACTCCGAAGAACCCGGAAAGACAGGCGGAGCCAATCCACGGGATGAGCTAGCGCAGACGATGAGGGAAGTTGAAAGTTTCGTTAAGAAACTCGATTGGACTCCCGTCGTCTTGTTTGATTCTGTGACGTAGTTTCTTGCTCGGAATTTTGGAGTAGATATTTGCAATACCTACTGGCTGTCCTGGATGACGATGAGTTTAATTTGTGTCAGTGGTTGGGAGAACCCACCCTGACCCCCATGTGGTTTTAGTCGTATGTCCTACCTGCATTGGCATAAGGCCACGCAGGTCGGGGATGTGTCCTCTGATAGTGGTTGGAGTTACACAGCGGTGAGGGAGTTGGTGTCCCAAGGTGTACTAGAAAATACTTAGTTGTAGCTTGTATCTCTGAGTACACTGCGGGCCGGTCGTTCCTCATTGGGACCTCGCCGGTAATCAATATTCCTTCCTTCCTTCCTTCCTACATAGTTACTTACAAATAAATGCGATAAACCGAATCGCTGAACGCGGATTCAGACAATCGTTGGCAAAAGTTCCTAGGTTAGCGAGTATGCTCGAAGAAGTTTGGGGCCACACTCTTCTCTGCGCTTACGGCCAAGATGCACTCCCCCGCCCGGGGGTGCGCTATCGGCATGCGGCAGACGGCCTAACCGCATGTCGGACTTCTAACATATGACTGGACGCGTTCGCCACACGAAAGGCAAAAGAGGATTTCCTCGACTATGTTAAGTATTACAAAATTCAGTTTTAAACGACGTATAAATACATGTCACCAGCCGTCTAGAAGTGGTGGATCCCTAAAACAGCGGAGCAATGCTCCAGCTGGGCCTTCGGACCGGGGAGCGAGCACTCGGGATGCGCCTCGGGAGGCGCTGGGGATAACCACGGGAGAATCAGGCGGAAACTGGCACAGGGGCCAGGAGCGTAGCGTAGCAGTCCAGTAGTACAAGGCCATTATGGAACCCGAAAGGGTACCGACAGGCTAGAACAAAACACAAAAAAAAAAAGCATGTCAAGAGACCAAACAGAGAAACCCAAGCTCTTATCAGCTTGGAGAACCGAGTCGCCCCTCAAGCATTAGAATCCTGGGGACTAGTCGGATTCAGCGGGAAAGTCCACGGTTCGTCTTCACTGCTTCCCATCTCCAACTGACGCCAGTCCTCATGTATCTTCCTCAGCTTCTCGATATCTCTACCGCTCTTCATTTCCTCCACCCATGCATTTCCGAGATGACAGTTAACATGGCGCTTGACCGCGTCCAGTCGTCCGAAATGGCGCGGTTTTAGGCATGGGTAACCGTAGTCCTTGCAAAAAAACGATTTCTCAGCATGGACTTTCTTGTGTTTCGTCATGTCGCCCTTGCAGGACGCTATATGCCAGCAGATGTCGCACTTGAAGCGCCATAGCGCCAAATTATCTGCCTTTTCCGCGGTTGTGAGCCTGGCCGCTGGGTTTCTGGGCCGTCCGCGTGGAGGGAGCTTCCTCTGCGCCGGCGATGTCGAAGGGCCAGCGATGTTTTCCCTACTTGTGCTGAGGAGATCATGATCGCTGGATCCCTCCATGAGCGCAACGTCGCTGGCGGCTGGAATCGCTGGGTCGGACGAAGGGACGGGCATCGGAAAGGAGAGCATTGAAGTGACAGGTAGGTAAGCTACGGCATATGGTCTCATACGATATAGCGGGCCTATACATTGTATCGTCTCAACCGCACCGCGCGGTCTCCAGCGGACCTGCCTTATATAGTATGTATACAATGTATCGTCTCATCCCTAACTAGCAGGCCCGCTCGTTCTGCCAACCAAAGCCCCAGAGGCCCACGGCATGCCTGTATCGGCATCGGGGGTGGCAGGGACCGGCACTTACATTTGGGTGCCAGTCCCCTCTGGCTACCAGTCGGTCCCTTGGGGGCCCCGATCTTTCTTAATCGGCATGCACACAGCTGACGCCGACAGGTTGCCGGCACCCAGGAATTGGGGGTTGGCCTCGGGTCAGCGCTTGGGGGTCACCCTGGGTCGGCACTCAACCAATTGGCCCCGACAGGTCGCTGGCACCCAGGAATCGGGGGTTGGCCTCGGGTTGGCGCTCGGGGGTCACCCTGGGTTGGCACTCAACCAATCAGCCCCGACAGGTCGCTGGCACCTAGGAATTGGGGGCTGGCCTCGGGTCAGTGCTCAGGCTCAGTGCTCGGTGGCAGCCTTTGGTGGCCTGGGTGGCTGGAATCACTTCTCGGGACCGGGTTGTAGCTATCGTCAAAACCGAATATATGATTTTGAAAAGAAGCAGATGAGAGGAGGTGAAGAGACTGAAGTCAACCAAATGAACAATAAGCAGATGAGAGCAGGGGCAGAGGAGTGCATCTGACGCCGGCTGGCGCCTTTCCATCGGGGGCTGGCACTCGGGGACAGCCTGTCGGCACCAGGTCCGCCTTCCCTACCGGCCATCCCTCAGAGTCGGTGGACGAGGGCAAGTATGTTAGCGATGGGGTGTCCGGCACCTCCAGGCTCCAGGTCTGCCTTCCCTACCGGCCATCCCTCAGAGTCAGCGGACGAGGCCGAGTATGTTAGCGATGGGGTGTCTGGGTTGGGCGTGCTGATCTTCTGCGACAAGAGTTCCAACCACGAAGTTGACTAAGTACCGGACGGAAATCATGAAAAAGGCACGAGGTCAGTTCATCATAAGGTAGAGTGTGCTTCAACTGGGATTGAGTTAAGAGTACGCATTAAGGGGAATTGAGGTAGACTAGACATGATCGGCCCATCGGCCCATCGGCTCCCAGGTCCTACTCTCATATCGGCAGCAGCTCCCACCGGTATCGGCACTGGCGTAACGCTGCCGGGTAGCCTCTCGGCATTCCCTTTCCCTGCCAGCCCCCCGTGCCGCACCGTGGTTGATTTCGTGCAGTTCAATCTGTGTTTCTAGCTTCTGGCTCCTTCCTACACCACTACATGAATCACACCAGGCAAAGCAACCCATTTAGGCAACTAGCGGGAGACAAATTCATTCATATTGTACAAAAAAAAAATTGCGTGGTGCAAGAAACACCCTCGGCCCTCTGTGACCATCAAGACATGTCTGCATCCTCATCCTCCGTTTCATCCAGGCTATCGTAGTCACTGTTGGAGGGGGATGGTACAAGAAAGCTAGTGGGGAGGTGGTCAAAATGAGCTCGTGTGTAGGGGCCGTCGGGGACTGGAGCAGCAGAGGGTTAAATGGCGGCAGGGCCGACAGTGGGGATCAGCAATTGGGTGACTGCCAGCGTGATGGTGTTGCTGGTGCCATCTGGCTCATCTTCAGTCTCCTGGTGTCCTGCGCTAAATTGGCCAGAAAAAAGTGCCATTAATATTTGCGCACCTAGTCCCCCTTCTCCGTTGGCCTTGTCATCATCTTCAAATTCACCCTCCTCGTACTGCCCATCATCCCCACTGTCGTCCTCGAAAACCACATCATCGTCGACATGTGTCAGGTCAATAATTTCAGGGGCCGGCACACCCGAAAAGTTGCTGTCGGTGCCGTCGTCCTCCACATCTGAGGAGTCGACGCGTGTCAGGTCGATGATCTCAGGTGCTGGTGGTACCCCAATGTCGCTGTTGCTGCTGTCATCCTCCTTGGTATCACCTTTGCTGTCCACATTAATTGAGGGGACCTCCAGTCCCATGCCATCAGAGTCCAATGATAGTGGGTCAGGGAGGTCGGCGCAGCCTATGGCGGGGCTTACCCCAGTGCCATCAGACAAGTCGGGATCGGGCAATGGGTCGAGGGCCATGCCGTCGCTGTCGGATGTGAGAGGGTCGGGTAGAACGGCACGCCCCAAAGGAAGGGCCCCCGATGCCCCGATGCCTGCATCTGTCAGGGTGTCCTCTGGCTCAAAGAGCTCTGCAACTGTTGGGACAGTGTCCTCACCCTCAGGCAACATCTCGGGAAGGGCAATAGGCCTCATGGGCAAGCAAAGCCTCGAGGAAGCCATCTACCCGATCTACAAACTCTCGCAGATAGAAATTTTGATCCTAGAAAAGAGAGGCTTAAGCAACATTCAAGCACTTCAATCAGTATTCCCTGCCTTGCGTGGTCGTCCATGGGTGGAGGCCAATCCCTCATCCACCTCGTCCGGATAGCTAACTGGGTGGTGGGCCTGTTGGACTGGATTGGTTGCCATCCCCGTTGGGCCAGATGCATCTGGGTGCACAGGGGGTAGAGAAATTGGGTGCTCTACTGTTCGCACCGTGGGCCCATTTGGGGTGTCCTCTATGATATCCTCCTTGAAGATGTGTTCAGAAGCATCGACAGAGGGTTGCCTAAGATCTTCCTCGATTATGAACCTCCTAGTCCTCTTCCGCCGTTTGGCAGGGGGAAGAACAACGTCCATGGTGGTAAGGAGGAAGTACAAGCTGGTTTTGAAGGGTACCCACTGGTATATAACACGTCTGCAAGCGAACATGTGTTTTGACACATGTTGAGAAACATGGTTTGCGCAAGGTTTGAATGGTATTATTCCAATGCCGAAACATGGTCCAGGATATCAAAGAATGGTTAAAATATGAAGGTTATTCAATTTCCGACACGAATTGGGGAGCCCTGTCCCTTGTGGAGAGAGGGAGAACAACGAGGAGTTGCACAGACACGACATCCCTGATGAGGCCTCCTTCCTGATATGGCATAAATGCACTAAAAATAGACGGTAGGGCCTTGTGGGTCACCCTGAATTCCCAAAAATAGCAAAAGCCAAAGGTGCGACAAGTGCCGATGCCGCGAAAACCTTGGCCTGTGCCTGGCAATGAACCAGCAGCTGTTCCAGAATGGCAACTCTTGTGTGGCTCATCACTTCTTCTCATGTCAACCATGCCAGCAGTGCCGAAACAAAAGAAGCCTTGCAAATCCTCGGTATACATGGACGAGGAGCGCCGCCTGATGGCGCAGTACAAGGACGACTTCATGGCCGTTTTCCACGACAAGGAGGCCCGAGCCAAAGTTATAAAGAGCAAGGTAATGGTCACGTTCTTCAACTACCTGGCCAGCAAGGGGAGGGCCCCAAAAAATGAAGAGGAGCATCTGGCGGAATACAAGGCAGGCTTTCCCTATATATTTATATCTTCATGGCTAACAAGATATACAGAAACTGAGTCGTTGGATTGCCAACAATTGGCGCGGACCCAGGACCAAGACTCAAGACACAAAGGCTGGGGACGGGCAGATGTGGACAACAACTTCTCATGTTGTCTGGAGAACTATGAGGGAGCGAGTGGACAAGGAACTGAAGGGCATGCTTGGGGTAGAACAGGTCGACACTCAACATCCGGCATTCTTTAGGAGCCAGCCCACCGCAGTTAAGAAGGTGTACGAAAGTTTGAATGCTCAAGAGCGAGAGGTGGTTAAGCAGGAGGCAGCCAAGATGCGTGCCCAAGGGAACCCCCCCGAGGTCCAACGCCGGTGAGTACGGCCGATGCCGATGCCGATCCAGTCCTGATACCGATACCGATACCGCTGCCTGCCACAGACTAGCCACTGCCGGGGGAGCTTGCAACATGCTTCGGACAGCAAATGAACATTGGAAAATGAGGGGTGTTATGTCGATGACATTTTACTGCTACAGGAACACGGCGGGCAAGATGGTTCACCAAATGTAAGTTGACCTCATTGGTGTAGCCGGTTGAACTCAACAGATCACCAGCTGTGAGAATTTTGGTGAATGCAAGGGCCTTCCTGGCGAGCTCTTCCAAAGAAAATACACAGCAGACATTAAGGCTCTTCAAATCAAGCTTGTAACCTTTTTGAATGACCTCGATGCAAAGATAGCAGGAGCATCAGGGATGGCACCAGCACTGGCACCGGCACCGGCCACCCAAGCGTCGGGACCTATTGTAATGCCGGCACTGGCCCCTGCCCCGATGGTAGTTACAATGACCCCATCAGGATTTCCCATTGTGCCGCTGGCCCCTGGGCCCACGGATGTCGTCGACAAAGAGTCACTGGAAGAGATGCTTCGTATATTCCTCAGACAACACTACCGTAAGCTCCTTGCACATCATGGTGCAAGGGAATCTAATGATATCTCCAGGACTTGCCTCGGGGCACGGCACAAAGCATCTGACATGGGGGTTGCTCAAGAGTGACCCTGACAAACTCGTGGAGTCCAAGTACTACCCAGCAAACTTCCGGTGGACTGACGCCCATAATCTCAAGATAAGCAGCATTTTAGACTTCTTTGAGCATGCCCGCAGCAGGCAAACTGAGTTCGGACCCGAGGATGCATTCTGCTTCAAGGCCTATTCTTTGAAGACCAGTACAAAGGAGCGGGTATTCTGCCCTGCGAACTACCCTGAAACTGCCAATGCCGATGCTGATAGTGGTGCTCCGAACGAGGGCACCAAGTCCCAACAGCCAAAATCGAAAAAAGTGGCAGCACCCAAGCAGAAGCAGGGGAAGCAAAACGTAAAACAAAATGTACGTTTCAAGGACGTTCAGACATCCTGATCAGAGCCGGTGCCTCCGCTTCAGAGCAGCGCTGACACGCGCACCCAGAGGCCGATGCTGAGACCAGTGCTGAGGCCGATCCAACTGATGCAAGGGCCGCTGCCGATGTTGGATTTGGAGAGGCAAACGCGCCCGAGCAGTGCACAGGTTCCACGTATGCGTCTCGTGTCAGCACGGCCTGTCTCATGCTTGCAGATAGGTATTTTGTCTTTATGTTCACTTTCATTTTACTTCCGTCTACTCTACTTCACATCTAGAGTACATATAAACATTCTACATTATCTCGTTGCCGTTCTTATCATGCATCGGCTGCTCTTTTGTGTTTTATCTTCACATGGCTCTCCTGGGCAGTCGAGCCCATTTATACCGCGCCGTTTTCGTTAGCGCTCCCTCAGCCGTTTTTCCAAACGCTGAGGTGAGCTTTCTAGTTTATGATCTTCTATTCATATGCTTACATCCTGTACCTAGCTATTCTTAGGTACTAGTCAATGTTACAGCCGTTTTTCCAAACGCTGAGCTATTCTTAGTTGTTTCACAGCCGATGCCACCAAACATGTACCTGACGCCGAGCCCTGGTCCCTCTGAAGACGAGAACATCGACCCCGCCCTCCGTACCAATGCCGACACTGGTCTCATTTTGGTCGATCAACAGGAGATGGCAACTTTGAAAGCACTAGGATACTTGGAAAGTCCTCCAGTGAATGGGCCTAGTGACAGCCCCCCCCGATATGCCGTCCCCTCCAGTGCCTTGGCATTCCCCAGGAGAAATGCAACCGCCTCCGGCATCGGCAGCGAGGCAGCTTCATCCACCAGGATAGATCCACATGTGACACCAAACACCCTGAGTGGCACCCCCAATGTGGGCCTTAATGCCGTGTTGGGGCAGCTTCCGATTTACGATATCGGCACTGGAGGCGTCGGCATTAGCCCAATCAGCAGTATCACTGGCACTTCACCAGAGGGCATGCCCAACATTGGCCTTAGTGCTGCTGAAGCACAGCCGCTGACCCCGATGTCGGCGAAGAAACTGTCGGCGCATCCCCGATGGCACCCATCGCTGGGAACCTGCCAGGTAGCCCAGGTAACACATGCGCACCCCTGACCACAACCACTGCCAGTAAACCACCACCCCCGATGCGCGCGACAAGGTCTGTCACCACGGCCCATGCAAAATCTAATACAAGACGAGAAGCCAAAAAACGACCTTCGAGTGCAAAGGAGGCACAGCCTGATGAGCTGGCATCCAAGAGGAGGTGGTCGGGGAGGGCCGACACTCTGGCATTAGAAGAATCGGCAAAGTTCCTCAAGGGTTCCAGCATGCATAAAGGACGTAGGGCCTCGGGCCATCGTAGGTAGCTAGATCCAGTACGATGTATAGTGAATGAATAGAGGTGTTATGGTCATCTAAGTGCTACTGGAGTGATGCTACAGCATAATTTGGGTGTTGAAATTCTTTAAAGAAATGCTGCTGTTGTTGCTGGGTTGGAAGTGCAGATGGACGGCATCAATCAGAGTGCCGATGCCGACGACCTGCCCGATCGGGCCTGGTGCTCGCAATGCCGGGGACTTGCGGCTGGCATAGTTTTTCTTACACTTATTCCGACAAAGATAACAGCCACAAAAAACTTTATTGATGGGCCCACCCCGGAGGATGGGCCCGCACGCAACAAGATCTACAAAAAAAAACATAATAATTCAACATTTTTTTTGTTGGGCCCTAGTGGCCGGCAGCCCCCCTGACATGACATCGGCCTCGGCACTCAACTGTGCTTCTGCTTATTCTGCCCCTCCTCATCGGCACTCCCTTTCCGCTTCCTGCTCGTCTTCGGCTCGGACCATCAACGACCATCGGAGAGGGCGACGTCAGGGTGGGTGATCGCGAGCGGGACCGAGACCAGGTGCTGGCCGCTGGCACCTGCAAGAGCCCCGGCATCACTGGCGGAGGAAGGGGTGATGCGCTCCGAGTGCTCCAGTGCAATGGAGCTGGTGCTGGTGCTTCTTCCACCTCAGCGGGAAGAGGTGCTGGGGTTTGCTGGGGGTGGGGGGATTGGGGGGGATGAGGGTGGTGGGGGCGCTGGTGGCGGCCTCCTGCGAGGTTTGCAGCATTGGGGGGATGAGCTGCACACTGAGGTGTGCTATGATGGGTGCTGACGCTTCGCCTTCCTTAGTCACCAATTCTGGGGCAGGGGCAGGGGACGGGGCAGGGGTGATATTGACAGCGGGGGGGCCAGTGTTGGCAACAGGGGCAGAGTCGGCAGCGGGGATGACGGGGGCGGCAGTGGGGATGATGGAGGGGCCAGGGGGCGCGGGGTTGGCACTAAGCGGGGTCAGCGACGGGGAGCAGGACCGTCCAGGGGTGGTGGCCACGTCCTCAACCTCACCCATGGGAGTGAGAGGAGGGGCATCCTCCTCTGTGTCCGACAGGGAGAAGTCACTGAGGTTGAAGGCCGGCATGACGATGCCAGTGTCCATGTTGCTGTCTTCGGCATCGGCAGCGGCACCCATGGGCGCCTCCTCGGTGTCGGCACTGGCAGACTGCTTGGAGACGGGGGCGGCACCTGTGGAGGGGGCAGCAGCAGGCATGGCACTCGCCCGTGCGGCAATGCCGTCGGGGGCATCAGGACCGATGGCACTTCTGTCCGGCGCCGGCATTGGGGCAGCACTAGGCTGAGTTGGGGCAGGGGGGGGGGTGGGGGCATTAGTAGTGTCCTCTTTTTGAGGAGGGGCAGGGGCTGCTGGAGTGTGCATGCCGACGTCACTGCTGGATTCCGGTCGTGGTGGTGAGGGGGCGCATGGGCAGGTGGGAGCGGAAGGGGGCAGGGCGTTGGCCTTTTTGGCCTGCGAGCGGCGAGCCCTGGTCATTGGGGCCTCTGCCGGTGGAGCCAGCCTGGCTGCCTGTTCGTCATCGTGCATCGCTTCCACCACCGAATACAGGACCCTTTCGATGCGGGTCAGCATCCTCTCCACCCTGCTCATGTCGTCGTCAAGGCGGCACCTGTATCAGTTAGAAAAATATAGAATACAAGGCAGTTTCCTAACTATGAATCTAAGCCCTGGAGGGCAATATGCTACCTTCCGCTTTGGGAAGGCTCTCCTAATAAGAGGGAGGGGTTGCCGGGTGCCCAGCATCTGCAAGGGTGATGGGCACCCAGCAACCCCTCCCTCTTATTAGGAGAGCCTTCCCAAAGCAGAAGGTAGCATATTGCCCTCCAGGGCTTAGATTCATAGTTAGGAAACTGCCTTGTATTCTATATTTTTCTAGCTTACATGGCTGGAGGCAGTCGAAGTAGTTGAGGGTGTTCAAGACCCTCTCCACACGCTGCTCCACGTTGCTGAGGAGCTTGCTGACACGTTCTTCCACCTCTTCCACAATTTGCCAGGCTTGGGGAACATCTGTTTTAATTTTTAAGTCAGCGACGTATTCTGAGTCCCCGTGTTGTACTTACCCGGATGCTCTTCACGCATTGCCTGAGGGGGAGGGGGGTGGCGTCGGGGGGCCGGTGCTGGTGAGTCCAAGAGTTCAATCGTCTCGGTCACTGGGGCCTCTCGGCGCTGCCGCATTCTTCTCGATGCCGCTGCCGCTATCAGTGCTGGAAGGGGGGCCAGGGCCGGGGCCGGTGCTGGTACCGGTGGTGCCACTGCCGGTGCTAGGGCTGTGGCCGGTAGGGGTGGGGGTCGGACATCGGGGGCAGGGCGCGTCTTTTTCTTGGGCCGGGGCTTCGGGCGGGGCCTCGCTGCAGGGGGTGGGGGCCCTGCTGGGGCAGGCGTCGGGGCAGGCAGCACTGGCACCCTGTTGGCCAACTCATCACTGTCGTGGATGATGTCGGCGCTCGCCTTCTCGCTCTGCTGCTTCTCGAGCCGTGCCGCTGCGATGGCCTCAGCAGGGGCTGGCGCCATCTTCCAGCCAGCATCCAAACGATACTTCTGCTTGAGGTTCTTGCACCTCACGCAATTCCCCCCCTTGACGTCCACCAGGCAAATCTGCCCTTGTCTCGCCTGGCATTTCCCACAACCGGGGACAAACATCATGCCATTCAGGTCTCCTTTGCGATTGCCCCTCCTCTTCTTCTTCTCCTCCTCCTCCTCAAGCGCACCCTTCTCCGGCTCGATCTCGTCGTCCTCATAGTCCAGGTCACTGAAACCGATGGGGATGTCGACCTCCATGGCGTCTTCTGGTGGGGGAGGCAGTCGGCGCACACGGATGGCGGTGCCCATCGGGATGTCGGCGTCGGGGATCGGAAGGCATCTGCAACCGGTGGTGGCAGTGGCCAATAGGGAGTGGTCGGGAGGCGGTGGTGTGTGAGGCCTGCCGGGGCTGGATGCCGAGCGGCCGGGGCCCAAGGGCGAGCGGGAGCGGCATCAGGATGGGGGTCAGGGATCTGGGTTGTTGTCCAGGGCTTGCTGGGACTGGCACCTTTCACAGGAGAGGGGGCATTGGCACTTGGCTGAGGACGAGGCTTGGGAGGTGGGGGAGGAGAAGGGCGATGCTGCGAGCCGGACCCCGATGGGCCGACGCCGCTGTCAGGACTGATTGGCATCAGCCCTGCCCTGCTCCTCTCCTGGGCCTTCTTGAGCTCTGCCCGTTTCTGTCGCGCCTGGTTGATGCTCTGTGCGGTATCCTGAATGGCTGCTGCCATTAGTTCCTCCACGTCAAGGTGCTGGGAATGGTCGCTGTAGACACCGAGTGCCGCATTGAAGTATGGCACATGGCCGAAGACACGCTGGACAGGCTCTTCCTTGAAGTGCTCATTGCACATCACGTATACCAGTTTCTGATGAGATTAATGTCATTAGTGGATGGGACGATTGGTAGACTGCATCGGCCACTTACAATTTGGGACCACAGATGTTTGAAGAGCAGCTTTGCCTGACGCTGCTTGATGGCCTGCACCACCTGCCCCTCCCAGTCCTGCAAGAGCTCGGGGAGCTCATTGAGCTTGCTGCGGGGAAAAATGGCAGGAGTCGGGGCGGGGCGGGGCACAGGCACGCGCATCGGGGTTGGGGCAGGAGTGGCATTCGGGTTCATTGGGCTGACGTGTTGAAGTTAAATCGGATGGGGAAGGGGGCAACGGCAGTTGTGGGGCTGGTGCGGAACTGTGGTGGTGAGGAAGAAGATCGGAAAATTTCCCCATCAATTGATTTGAACCGGCATGTGAGCGACTGACCCCACGCCACCACGCACTTCCTTGTTTGGCTGAGCTGAACTTAGGGTGCACAGCCACACGATTACAACTTATCATTATCCTCCATGGCTCCAAAACTGAAGGAAAAAGAGTCTCGTTCAGTGGGGGCTTCTGTGTCAGAGGGGAGTTCCGTCGCTGGGAACTTTGTGCCACCGAACTTCGCCTTGGTCGACACGGCCAAAGGACCAAAGCTGGTGCTGACATTCATAGTGCTGGCAGCTGAGAGGGCCTACGACACCTATCGTTCAAGAGAGGCCCTCAATGTGCGTGGTGCAAAGGGAGGGGTAAGTAATGTCCACCTCTATCTTGCCCACTCACTGATGTTGGATGCGTACCGTTTTCCCCCTTCCCATCGGTGGCATTTCCTCATTTCAGCAATTATCGTTGGCTTTGGCTCTCGTCGGCCACGACCGGCTTGGCACAATTTCGCTGGCACTGCTCGCTCACGGCACTTCCCCGATCGGGATTACCGATTCGGCACCGGCACTCATACCGACTCCGGTGGCACTGCTCGGGTCGGCATCTGTACAGCCCCGGGAGCTGTCTGGCGTGGCAGGCGATGTGTTCTCCGCTTTCAAGGTGCCGGACCCAGCAGACCCCGTGAGTAAATCCCTCCTAGTAGATGTCTATGAGATCTAATTAATAGCAGGGCCTGAGTGAGCATGAGCTTCTCGTTCTGCATGCCGAGATCAAGGCCCTTCAAGCTCGCTACAGCTTGAGCTATGCAGAAGCAGCACATCGCCTGGAGATCGCGGAGATCAAGGAATTGGAGGCGAACGTCACAGCAATGAAGGCTTTTGCCGTTATCGAAGAACGCATTAAGAACAGCATCATTCATGATATCCGTCCCCCCATCGCACGTATCGACTGTGGGGATTTCGACAACAGCAACTTTGCAAAGGGGACCATTGGGGCTGGCAGTCCTCCCGGGAATGCGAGCTCATCTAACAGCAAGGGGACTGGGCAGTAAATAAATTGTACTTTTACTTTTCAATAAAGAGTCACCCACTTTACATGTCCTACCACTGCATAAGGAAGGTGGCATAAGTCCGGGGTGCCTTCATAGTAAACGACGGGGGCTGGCGGGGAAAGGGAATGCCGAGAGGCTACCCGGCAGCGTTACGCCAGTGCCGATACCGGTGGGAGCTGCTGCCGATATGAGAGTAGGACCTGGGAGCCGATGGGCCGATGGGCCGATCATGTCTAGTCTACCTCAATTCCCCTTAATGCGTACTCTTAACTCAATCCCAGTTGAAGCACACTCTACCTTATGATGAACTGACCTCGTGCCTTTTTCATGATTTCCGTCCGGTACTTAGTCAACTTCGTGGTTGGAACTCTTGTCGCAGAAGATCAGCACGCCCAACCCAGACACCCCATCGCTAACATACTCGGCCTCGTCCGCTGACTCTGAGGGATGGCCGGTAGGGAAGGCAGACCTGGAGCCTGGAGGTGCCGGACACCCCATTGCTCATATACTGGAGCCTGGAGGTGCCAGACACCCCATTGCTCATATACTGGAGCCTGGAGGTGCCGGACACCCCATCGCTCACATACTGGAGCCTGGAGGTGCCGGACACCCCATCGCTCATGTACTGGAGCCTGGAGGTGCCGGACACCCCATCGCTAACATACTTGCCCTCGTCCACCGACTCTGAGGGATGGCCGGTAGGGAAGGCGGACCTGGTGCCGACAGGCTGTCCCCGAGTGCCAGCCCCCGATGGAAAGGCGCCAGCCGGCGTCAGATGCACTCCTCTGCCCCTGCTCTCATCTGCTTATTGTTCATTTGGTTGACTTCAGTCTCTTCACCTCCTCTCATCTGCTTCTTTTCAAAATCATATATTCGGTTTTGACGATAGCTACAACCCGGTCCCGAGAAGTGATTCCAGCCACCCAGGCCACCAAAGGCTGCCACCGAGCACTGAGCCTGAGCACTGACCCGAGGCCAGCCCCCAATTCCTAGGTGCCAGCGACCTGTCGGGGCTGATTGGTTGAGTGCCAACCCAGGGTGACCCCCGAGCGCCAACCCGAGGCCAACCCCCGATTCCTGGC